TAGTCAAAAGTGCGTAGTCCGACTGATTTAATTAATAAGGTAAATATATCTATAATAAACTACTTCGTCAAGTGATATTGAAAATCTTAATATAGAACATTACTACTGAGAAGATTGCGCTGGCATCTTCGACGATTTTCAAAAGCGTTTGTGGAGGAAGGATAGTATTCTGTTCCTCCAATCTAAAGGGAGGTCCTCCACTCTAATGACTGACCTGAAGGCCCCAGTGTCTAAGATTGAAAAGCTGTATATATCCGTAGCAGAATGGCTTTGTTAGCGCTTTTCAGGATTTGAAGTAATCATACTGATGGCACAGATTGTGGATCGCTACACTTTTTAGTATTTCTAGTAGTTAAGAAATATTCATCAGGTTTTACTTACATACAGAGATCATGTTTAGAACGTAGAATGCTGAGTTCATATTCATGACTTGGAATACTACATTGGTTTTAACAAGTACGAATTCGCATGAATACAACACCGTACGGGAAATGATAAAAGCTGGTGCCGCAAACAAATAGCTTTTGATCAACGTTCGCTTTTTCTGGAAATATATAAAAACAATTTTTAAATACACAAAATTATTCCGGAACTTTTTAAAAGATTGGTTTTGTAATTGGTTTTTCATCCATTTTCTACCCACTAACTTCATTGTGAATAAAATCGGAAGCCTGCATTTTTCGTTACCAAGCAGAGGTTGTATCGTGAATACTCAATACATATATATATATATATATGTATAGTAAGTATAAATATATCAAGTAAGTCACAGTATTTAATTAATACAGAAGAATTTCAATATTGATATGGTCACTAAAAGATGTTAGCACTAGCGAATTACGTGATAACTTAAGAGAGAAGATCCCTTAAGTAGGGATTGAATAAATTGACCAACGTGGTATTGGCTTAACATAGATCTCAAAACTTCTTAAGGTAAAACTGCGTTGCGAGAGTTATGTTACCTAACATTAGTTAATTTTATATATATATATATATATTAAAAGTTAAATGTTAGTCATCGTCGCACACATGGCGCCAAAACACCAACCAACCAAAACTCATCAATTATATTACTATATTCATGTTTCCGATTACGTCCGATTATTATTGTTATGTCGTGTAATATAATAGGTCGGTTTCACTCTTATTGAAGCGTCATTAAGATTTATTACCCTTAAATGAGCCAAATTAGTTTATGTTAGCCTCGCAACCCACCTACCCTTTAAACAATTAAAGTCAGTTGTCACCTTCAAATAAAGTGTTTTATTTGAAAATAACCATACAAAAACCGCCACAAACTTTAATTCAATTGTTTTTTTCAAGTTTTTTATGGCACTAATGAATTGACGTAACATCGGAAAATAATTGCACAATTTTCTTCGACAAAGAGTTCGCGTCCTAGCCGACAATATATAGGTACAATAATTATACTCACCATAAATAATCCAATTAGCAAAATCCCACTAAAAACAAGAAATGCGACTGTTAGGCCTATAAGAACACCTTTGACAGCGTAAATGCAATTCAATTTACTTTTCCATTTTGCTAAATTACCTAAATTTAAAAAATATGGATCGTCTAGGCTATTTAGGAACTGCAAATGATTAATATCTCCGACATTTTTAGCTATTAACATAATATTGATGGCCTGAAAATAAGAAATCATTAAACCACATAGTTTTACTAAACATTGAAATAAAACATTTCGACGCCTACAGCTAAAGAGTATGACTTTTAAAAAACCGGGGGCAAACCGGAAGGAGGCTGACCTGATGTTAAGTGATATTGTCGCCCATGGACACTCTCAATGCCAGAGGGCTCGCGGATGCTTTATCTAATATATAAAATTCTCGTGTCACAATGTTCGTTACCATACTCCTCCGAAACGGCTCGACCGATTCTTATGATTTTTTTTATGGATATTCAGTAAGTCTGAAAATCAGCTACTATCTTTCAAACCCCTAAGTGATAAGGAATAAATTATTTTTATTTTTTTAGACAATTTTTTTGTTTTATTTTTTTTATACAAAAATACAAAAAGCATACAAAAATACATACAACCCTTAATTTTCACTTCTCTACGATCAACCTCTATTTTTTATTATAGTTGATAGTTATTTTTATTGAACTAATGTTTCCTAGAAATAATATACATGGCAAAACAACGTTTGCCGGTTCAGCTAGTAGTTCCATATATTTTAAAATAATCTTATTAAGTTTGTATTTCTATTATTTTTTACCTATCTATATGTCACCGTAAAATTGTAAACCGTTAGATTGTAATAGATTACTTTGATGAATGTAAATTGATGTCGTGTTGAAAGTAACTCACAGCTTTAGATTTGGTTATATTTATAAATTGTTGGGAAGTAAAGTTTGACGGTTTCACTTCGATAGATTACAATCTACCGAATAATACGTTAAATTGTAAGCAGTGCGTTGAGGTTCACAATCTTTCGACAGTTCACAATCTCGCGAGATAGATTACAATCTAACGGTGTTTACAATTTTACGGTGACATATACATAGGTTTAAATTTTTGATTATATTTGTATTGAACGAAAGTGATAAGACAGTCATAATAACAATGGTAACATTTCTTTTACAACTTCCATAGAGAATCTTGTTTCGTTTCGTTTTCCTATAGAGATAGGTTTTACAAAATGACTTACGATTTGAAAAGACGCAATACATAGGTTCTTTGCTTCAGCTGTCAATAATATGTCCATCTTTAGGCCTCTGAAAAGAGTCAAAACTTTTTTTAACAAAACCATTCTTAGTGGCTTTTGGTCCTACACTAAATCAATAAAGCTTAGTAATTGTTATTTTTAAAACTATACCGTGATTTGTAGGTATTGTGCATCTATTAAAATCCTATTCTCTGAAATTTTGATAAGGATGAATTGCACATAACGAGGCTTACAAATTTATTCTATTTTAATAAGCAATGTTGCAGTGTTGGCTTAATGGTGTGCGACTCTCATCCCAGAGGCCGTAGGTTCTAACGCCGTGCACCAATAGTATATGTCTGTTATCTAATGCTGGCGGCTTCAACATATTTACACTTTGTGCTTGTGTAGTGTCTGTGAATAGGCGCGAGGCGTGACGTCACACCGAAAATGCATCATGAAAAGACTGTCCGTCTCTCTCGCGCTCGGTCAAGCTTATGAGTATAAAAGAGACAGTTATTGTTTTGCTTTTGCTACTGTTTTTATATACATGTTGATCTTTTTTCTCATTATTATTATAGTAGGCACAGGAGGCTGATAACCTTGCCAGATAACCTTCTTCGATTGACAAATTATCAAGAAATAGATAAAGAAATCGGAGAACCAGAACTAAAAAGAATCATTGTTTGACACTATACAAGTACAAATGTATTTTTATATCACATGCATTGAAACAGTGAGTTTTGATCTCTGTTATGCCAGAGGAAACAAGACAATTTCAGACCAATGCCACAGTGTCAGTCAGAAACAGGGGAGAAACAACGTTGTTTCTGCCCGGCACATTCATTTATTTATTATATATGTCCTTATTTCAAGTCTGTCAGAATCGCATTTTCATAACATGTGATATGAAAAATACAGTGTGTGGCACGGGATGAAACAAAGACGATTTCAGACCAGGGATGACAACTCTCGGCTCAACTCTCGCCCTCGTCAGAAATAGCCTTGTTTCACCCCTAGTCACACAATATATTATTTACACAAAAATAACATAAAATTTAAAAGGAACGCGTTGTAAGTAGTTCTTTAATAAAGCATTTACTTACTTTTGCAGATTTGAAGGACACAACATTTGTCAGCTCTGTATGACTGTTAACGTGATAATAGCTTAAATATAACATAATTTATGAATATCACCCAAATATTTAAGGAAAATTTTGTTTTACTATTAGTAATCTACAAATACAAACCGGAATAAAGAGTCCGTAACATACCTCTCATTTGCGAAGCATATTCGGACCATCACAGCTGCTGCATTTGAGGTTAGGGTTTGTCCTACGAAATTCAGCTGGTCTCTCGAACACTGCCACCAGGGCGCTATATTAATCATAAGTAAGGTCAATTCTCGAAACCAGCTGCATCTTATGGTCTCCTCATGAAAGGGTGCAAAAGAAGTTCCTTAAAAAAATATATAAAAGAAGGTACAACTTCTTTCCTTACCTCTATTATACTAAGTTCTTGATGAGGATTTTATGGTATGATTTACTAGAAGAAGAAACTTCGTAGAGACTTAGCTTTGATCAAATTTGGTTTAAGCATAATAATTAAAGAAATGGAAAGCGCATACTTGCTGGGAAAGATTATGAGTCGGTACTGACAGTTCCGGAGAGTCACGTTCCCCGTTTACTCTCACAGCTTAATAGTTTTCTGGACTTCGTCGGAGAACGACCTATTTATGAAGCGTATGGGGGTTGGGGGGGTGTATTATAGATAGCAAAAGGTTTTCTGTTAATAATAACTTATTTATAATACTTTTAGTTCAAATTTGGCCATGTATAAACTGTAATAAATAAATAAACACACAACGAAATGAGACTTTAATTTTAACTTAACTTTTATTGTCTACCTCAATAAATTTCAAATAATAAAAACCATCTACGCCATAAATCTTCATCTGAAAAGCTATCATCATCAATATCGTTTATTTTAGTACCATCAAATATGCTTAATTTACTCTGAAAATATGCACAATTCATGTGATCGTTGCATGAATTTCATATATTTGGCCTCTCATACATTGTAGTTCACTCCCCTGGCACTTGGTTGTTAGATGGATGCACTGGATGTTGTGCCCTTCCTCCAACCTAAAGGGAAGATCTCCATCCAGTCTTGATACTGACTAGCCTCTCCACTAGTGGTTAGCCACTGCGGCTGACCAGGTCGAGGTTATAGCAGTGATTTGTATCCGCTGATGATAGGAATGGTGATGTGTATGTGTGAAATAAAAAAACTCAATTTTTAAAAGGTTTTAGTTTACAAATACAAATCGTATTATGAGCGATAGGTAGCCTGTACATCATCCACTAGCATCACATCGTAGTAACTCTTGATCACCAGGTTGAAATAAATGTTGCAAACTAGAAAATAAATTCATCATCATTAAAAGGCTCCTGTATTGAAGTGGACAGACCCCTTTCCAGTATATTTTAATATTTAATTAAAAATTATGTATTTCACGGTTTCCGAAAATCGGCGCAGTAGGCTGATTTACTGCAATATATCCCCCCTCATCCTCATCCTTGACGTAATCACCAAATAAGAAAATCAAACATATATTGACACAAATGCATGACAACATTACATCAATAACGTTGTTTACTAATTTAATACTTGAATTAAGTTTAATACTTGAATGTACCCCTTGACTTTAAAGAAAGCTGCTTAAACAGATCCAGTAAACTGGATTTAAATACATACTTGCCTGACAAATACCGTCAACGTTTTGGATCTAAAAGATGGATTCACCGTACGAGGGAGTGTTGCATTCATAGAAAAGTTGATTGGTTCAGCCGGGATTCGAACCTACCTCAGTACGTGTGTCCAACGCAATAAAGCTTAGGATAATACTCACAAATGGTGACGACTCCTTCTATTATATCGCCGACTCCAGTAATTCCATTGCCCAACTGAACGAAGAATGTTATAGCGTATACCACGAGAAACACTAGCGCATAGATTAGATACATCTTCACAAATGAGCGCCTATTCTGAAATGAGTAAATTTGGAATTTTTATAAATTTTGATAACATGTACAGTAATCCCCCCTATAACGCGTTTTCGTATAACGCGATTACCATACATTAGAAACATCTTGACAAATGAGCGCCTACGCTGAAATTAGTAAATTTGGAACTTTTATAAATTTTGATAACATGTACAGTAATCCCCCCTATAACGCGTTTTCGTATAACGCGATTACCATAGATTACAAACATCTTGACAAATGAGCGCCTACGCTGAAATTAGTAAATTTGGAACTTTTATAAATTTGATAACATGTACAGTAATCCCCCCTATAACGCGTTTTCGTATAACACGATTACCATAGATTAGAAACATCTTGACAAATGAGCGCCGATTCTGAAATTAGTAAATTCGTCCCCCCTATACCGCGGAGATTTCTTAAGGTATATTTTGTAATGTGAAATGTATAATGTCAAGTCAAAAGTTAGTTTTGCGTATCTTTGCGCATGTTTCAAATGTGTTATAAAATTAAACTAAATAACTTCATCAAGTTCGTGTTCATAGTTTTTGAACTGTTCAAGAAAACGGTTTTATGAAAATACTCCTTCAACGCGATTTCCTATACTGCGGTCCGGGTCTACCGCGTTATAGGTAGTACTGTATAATGTATTATTAATAACAGAGCAGTAAAAACATTTAATATAGTACTTTTAGTTTTAGTTTTATAGTCGAGCCCAACAAAGTCGCAGCTCTCAACTACTTACTAAACATGTGAGGCTAATCAAAGAATTTGCGAGATTTTGTACCGTCTACAGGCGTATTACATCGAAGATTAAAAAAAGCTTAAGCTTCATTTTAGGCTGCTGTCTTTTGTCTGTTGTATGATAAAACGTCCGTAAAATTTTTGTGTTGTATTGTCTTTGATTAACATAACTTTTATTCATTTAATAAAACACTATTTTGACCGGATTGAAGTTATGTATTATTATAAATTTACAACTATTTAACATAATTTTAAACGGTCACGGTCACCGTGACCACGCACGCTGTAAAGCACGCGAAACGTCGGATAAATTTAAAATTATGTTAAATAGTTGTAAATTTATAATAATACATAACTTCAATCCGGTCAAAATAGTGTTTTATTATTTTTGTGTTGTTTCAGCTACACTGGATGGAGCTGGGTGGAGCATAGATTTTGAGTAATGCTTCCGCTCATACTTAACGTTTATTCAAACTGTTATACTTATAATAATTACTTTTATTTATTTTCTCCCATATAACATTTGAAAAAAACATTACGATTTCAATTAAGAAGGTATTGGGAGACTGGTTTCCAAGTTCACCTGTGATTTGGATAACCAGGCTTCAATTCCACAGAAATGTCATACTGAGTCATAACAAAAAAGTACATAAATGACGACTCATTGGTCTAGTGGTACCCCTGACTGACTGCGAATCCATGGGTCCCGGGTTCGATCCCCGGCTGAGACGGACATCGATGTGATGAGCATTTGGTGTTGTGCTTAGGTCTTGGGTGTTTAAATATGTATTTATATGTCTATCTATCTATAATATGAATGTATATCCGTTGCCTAGTACCCATAACACAAGCTTCCCCAGCTTAGCATGGGACTAGGTCAATTGGTGTGAATTGTTTAAAAAAAAAAAAAAAATTAATATTAAAAAAAAAAAAAAAACAGGTATAGGCAACAAAATTTAAGTTTCTAAAAAAGAAAAAAAAAACTAATCAAAACAGTCTACAAGATTCCTACATAAATAGAGTTGTATGGGTGTGTGTGTATGTGGGTGTGTGTGAGTGAGAGAGTGTATGTATGTGTTAGTGTGTGTGGATGTATGTGTGTGTGGGTGTATGTGTGTGTGGGTGTACGTGTGTGTGTGAAATTTTAACCTAAAACGCGCAAAAAAAATTTTGTACCTTACCGTATAAATTCCGAAAAGAAGCAAGCAAGAGAACCCAATGAACACGGTTATAATAACCACAAGTATGGAATTACTGACGACCAAAGACACGCCCAATTCATTTGCCCCGATGATATTTAGGGACTGCAGAAGCACCCCACCTTCAAGTCCATAGCAAGCAAATACTTCCAGAACTATGTTACCAAGCTGAAAAATAAAATATATCTTTAACAGATTGACTAAATAATTGGCTGAATTGGATCAGATCTTTTGATAAGTAGCCTGCTGATTCTGATTTAAATGCTCAAATAATATACAAATTAAATACGGTATATTATATACACTTTACGAATTTTAATACTTTTAACAGGCTATTAAATTTGGTATCGCTTAGTTCAATGTATTGAATAATTTTTATTGTTTTGTTCCCTTCTTGTATTTGACTTTTTGTAGGTAAATATTATAATATATTCCATTTCTGGCTATATTTTAAGTGTAATTGTTTGTTATTATATATAATTTTTGTGAGCAGTAGGATTACGAAATAAATAAACTGAAATGAAAGTCAAAACCGTTTATAACGACATTGAAGGGACCGTATAGTTGCCGACGTTATATCCGATAGTCGTTATAAGCAATGTCATATACACAAGTACAGTACATATCGACGTAGGAAAGCACATTTGCTGTAAGTAGACATATTGCAATTGTTCACCAGAGCCAAAAAACTTTATTAATTTCGGAAAAAAATTAATAGTGTCTGACCTATCCATGATATTGCTACCATTTTTGAAACATATATTTATTTAACTGCCAGTCACCATTTGCAATGTAAACTTTTTATCCAAAGTTACTATAAGTACGTGTTTGGCTAGTTACAGCAAACAGTTTTTTAAATCACAAACCTTTAAAACGCTGTAACTAAGGAAGAAAAATGTACGCGCGGAAATATTATCAATTTACAGGCGGTAAATATGCTGTATGCAGGAAATTTATGTATTTGGGTACTTTTAATTGCAATTCAAGATGTAAGATTAGTTTATAATTATGATTAGATCTAGAAATGCAGTGGGTCATTTGGTAATGTAATGTTTGGTTGAAATAAAATGTCGTAAATGGTAAAAAAAACCAAAACTGTAGGTTCCCTAAACTTGCTGTAAGTAAACGAATGTAAAAATCACACGCCGCTGAAATGCTGTAAGTAGCGTTAAGTTTTTAAATGGGAAGAAGTAAGTATTTGTAAAGAAAAAATGCAGATTTTCTTTTGCTGTAAGTGCGAAATGTCTGAAATGACTAGATTTTGGTCTACATACAGCATTTAATCTTGCTAAAAATAATATAAGTACGGGCGTTTTCAACGGCGTATGTAATTTTTTTTTCATCGTAGAGACACAGGACCCAGGTCATTCGATGCGGCTTTCTTTTCTGATTCTAATGGCAGGAAAAAGTCACTTTAGGTATTTTGTCTACTTACAGCAAATATGCTTTCCTACGTCGATATGTATGTACATCGTTATATTATCATAGTTATCTATCTAGAATAGGTAGGTATGGGTTATAATATGGTATGTTAATATTATAATATGTAAAGGAGTAAAAAAAGAAACAAAAATATTTATTACGAAACAATTAGGTACAAAAGTAATCAGTCATTTTGGTCTGTTTTTTTAAGCCCAGTCTAATATTTTTTGCATTTTATCCATATGACATGAGATTTTTATTCAATAGAAAACACTTTTCTCTTTTTTTGCGACATGATAGCACATAAATGCACAATTGCACAGTCTAAACAACACCAACACTTTTAAATCAAACTGTTACTCACGCAGTCAATTAGCGAACTAAACATGTGTATATATATATTCATTCAATGCTTATAAATAAGATTTAAATCGTTTGTATTGTTTTGTTTTGCTGATACAAGAAGCGGTTGGTCGTTATAGCCGATGAATATCGATAAAATTTCGTCGTTGTAAGCGATATGTCGCTGTATCCGATGTTGTTATAAACAGTTTGCTTACTGAATAGTTTACTAGGGATTCGGACGGGACCATACAATCTGGTTGTAATATCCGATAGGTCGTTTTAAACGATGTCGTTATAAACGGTTTTAACTGTATAACGAACCCTAGAACTCAAATCTGGCCACATTACCTCACTGTTATGTGATGCACTATGCAAGCAAAACTTGTTTTGGCTTTCCCAGTATGACCCACCGCATTGAATAAATCTTTAATGAATGTGTAATGTTTTTCATGGCACAAGATTCTACTCCAATATCGAACAAGACAAAAATGTATGGCCCTTTTTTGTTTAGCATTGTCCATCGCACAATAATACTATCACTTATACATTATAATTACACTTATACATAATATACATTATAATTAAATACGTTACCAAATTTATACATCCTATAATAAGTGAGCCCAGGCGTAGATCAACGCAGAAGCAGCAATATTCAAATGGGTAAAGTTTCATATTTGTCTGAAAATTAATTGAATTTTAGTCGAAATAATCTGTAATATCTTGATAATTAATTAGCAGTGTTGGCCCAGTGGCTTTAGCGTGCCACACTCAACCCTGAGGTGGTAGGTTCGAACCCCGCAGCAATGGACTTTTTGTCTATGCGCGCATTGAAAATTCACTCGAACTATGAAGGAAAACATTGAGGAAACCGGCTTGCCTTAAACCCAAAAAGTCGACGGCGTGCGTCAGGCACAGGAGGCTGATGACCTACTTGCCTGTTAGATTGACAAATTATCATGAAACGGATACAGATATCTTGGGCTGAGACATAAAAACGTTTTAGATTTATTTTATAATCTGGAATATCTGAATTCTAAACAATTAACTAATTTGCAACAATAAGTCCCAAGTTCATTCTTAGGATAACAATCACACCAGAAATAAGAAATATTCGTAAATATTGATCTATTACATACTCCATTGCTGGTCTTGGGTAAAAAAATATCCTATGAATACGTTATATTATGTAGAATAGAATATGTTATATACCGATTGCTTCCACAAGCGCTTTAAGGCTCTAGACCACAGATAGACTCTTTGGTTAAAATTAATAGTCGGGACTTGGCGTAAACTAAGACCGTATATTCAAATCCAATACGTTAGACATACACGGGTCATCTCTCTCTCTCTCTGCAGTCGGTAGCTTTAAAGTCAAAGTTCAAATTGCTTAAAATGAAGTAAAATTGCTTTTCCATTTCCCATACTTAACTTCTACTCAAATAATCTACAGTGAAACAAAACTCATGAAAATAAAACAATTATTTCTATACAATACCAGCTTAATACATCACTAAAATAAATCAAATTCAAAAGCGCAGATCACGACGCCCTCACAATGTAATTCTAACTATAGAACCAATTACGATAAAAAAACATTGAGCGTTGGGGGAGTGCTCGGTATAATAGACTTCCACAGAATATAAAAAGTGTAGACAGCCTGGCACAGGGTCGTGTCTGCTTCCACCGGTTTCTGTTTCTCTTATTCCAGTGTACAATTGATGAGTATTTCACACGGTCCATCTGGTTAGTGAACGGTCACGTGATCTTTTGCCTTCTGTGTTACCAACCACGATTTTCCATTGCCTCCGCGCATTCTATGGACAATATCAGATAACTCGTTGTTGGCATATGGTAGCCAGGCGAGTCTGTAGGCGAAGTTGGGTCCAGATCGAGGTATTGGTGCGATTTTCTTAACATTCCAGCACCACAACAAAGCCATTAATCGTTTGGCCTTTCACAAGGAGCAAACTTAGAGTTAAGTCTTGACTTTAAATCTAAACATAATAGGACCGACGTTCTGGTGTCAGGGTAGGGTATTTATTCCTATTTTTTATGTTACAGGAGCCAAACGACCAGGAGGCTCACCTGATGTAAATCACCTATCTATACATGAAATATAATAAAAATAACTTACCAATTATTAACGTACAATAACGCACTAATACCGGATTGTGAATGACGGAAATATTCTAGAAAAAGACTTCATTACACATATCTTCTTAATTAACGAGACAATTAGAAATCGATAATTATTTTCGATACGATGTAATAGACTAAATATATATTGAGTGATATGATTATTTTTAATTATGATTCGATTACAGTGAATTAGGTAGACTGGGTACGGCTGTGACAATTTTGGTTTGATCCCCAATTATTTTGTTATTTACTATTTGGCTGCGAAGAAAGTAATGTAAATCTTAATTTATACTTTTGCCAATTGTAAAATTACCAAAATGTTATACCTTTATTTATTTATTTATAGCCCTATATGAGAAATAAAAAATATTATGTCGGAGCAATGGCGCTGGTAGCGGCTGCCAATTTAATAATAATGACTATGGAATCATTATTATTATTGACCATTAAATAGTATCAAACAGTCTGTTATAAATTTATTAATATTGGCAAATCAAATATAACTGTTTTGAACTAATTTGACTTTGATGTTATTAAATTATGATTAAATTGGGAGCCGATACCAGCGCCATTGCTCCGACATATATTATAGTATTTCTTTTTTTTAATCTACGATAACCGATTCTGTGTGCCTACGGGCAAAGGCCTCCCCCATTGTCCTCCATTTTTCCATATTGAATAGTTATAAACAATATATAGTGATAAACAATAAACTACAAGCTCCCACCTTTTCAGAATGCCAAATCATAAAATGACTGCTTCACGACTGATTTGAGAGCGACCGCCGATTCGAAAACCGCTGTGTGAGTTCGAAAAGTAAGTTACAGAATCGCAGGGCATGTCTTAGGCTTTCCAGCCATTTATCACATCCCATAAAAAAGATAAAGTGTCACAACCGACCACAGCCCAAGAACGGGTGTGACAGTGGTTGGGGTCAGTAATGACAAATATAAACATACGCAGAAATGGTTTATTATTACTTTTATTAATAGAAATATTTAACATAATACAACATAACGGTCTTCTATAAAAAGTTAACATTTATATATTTACACTTCGTTATCTTATACAAAATCATACATATAAAAAAGCAGGTTACATAAGTTATAGGCGGCCTTATCGCTAACAAGCCATTTCTTCCAGGCAACCCTAGTATGGAACAATAAAATAAAGAAACACCACCAGAGTGTAAAGTACAAAAAGTGCATAAATAATTAACAAAAGTCAAAAACTAACATAAAATAAAATAAAAAAGTAAAATCTAAAAAAATAATAATATAAACAAAATTTAAAACCTAATCCTACAGCAGTCGAAGATTGCCCCAGTAAAGAAATCAGAAGGTGGAAGATTTTCATTGAGTCCATGATTGTTATCTACAGAATCAGGGTTTTGTGCGTTAGTCTCGAATAATAGAATTTAATGAAATGCTCGAGAAATACTAAAAATGACTCCTGAAGTATTTGCCGTTCCAATCGATTCCACTGGCCCGTCCCTAACAAAGTGATCATGATAACGAACTCTCGGAAATATGAAAAATGGATGTATGGCATTTCCCAAGGCATATACTGCACAAGCAACTGTTACTGATGTACCACGTTCAGCTGATGTAACAACTACCACATCTCATCTCATTGTATATATCCTGTAGCTTATATTATGTCTGTCCAAAACAGTTTTTTATTTTCATTAAAAGCTTCCACATTCGTTTTATTAAACTTATAGCTGCTATATGCTCTCTTGAAAGGCTCGTAGTCTGAGTTACGGGTACGGACAGTGACGGGTTTCTATTTATAAACTAACGGGATCATTCTTTACCAGCCGTCTTATTTTCAACCCAAAGCAGGTAGCTTTATGTTGTATTTAGTTGTCAGTTCAAATTGCTTTCGTAGTTTGTAGCAAGGCCAAAATGTATATCCGCACATCGTATGTTATATTTTGATAGCTTTCTTCTTGCTCCTTAAAAAATATTATGAGCAACATACCCCATACTGATGCTATCTTCATTGTGATTTCCAAAGGTCTACCTAAAGAAGTACCGTGTTTCACTTCTCCATAAGCATGTTTATATTTACTTACATGAGACCGCGCTCTTTCAGACTTCCGAGCGTGTTCTGGGCATCTAAAATGAAAAATATAAAAAAAACATGTCAACCGTACCCAACGCATACTTTCGAAAACAAACAATAGTCATGACAAGTAATCTACGTAAAAACTAATCACTCTTAATTAACTCGCAACAAAACAATATAAGATATAATCTATTTAACAAATTACAGCAAATATTAAAAGAAATTAAGCAAAAAACTTACTTTTGACTGTTAAAATGCAATGCTGATTCCTGTTTACGTTAGCTGCGCGCGCTAGCTGACACAATCTGGGCCCTGGTAGGGATGTGAAAAAATAATCGATTAAAATCGATTTTTTTAATAATCGATACACATGTTTACAATGCGATAGATTGAATCCGATTCTTTTAAGATGTATTGATATACTCGATACATTGATGTTTTTTTGTAAAACATCAAAAGGATGATAAAAGCAGTTAATTTTACAAAAACTCAAGTTTGAATGGAACACTATAATTTAAAAGTAAAATAAATTTATTCAGAAGCACAAGGTTACATACAATAAAAAATACAACAACTCAGCATCTATCAAATTTCACCTAAAACCTATCAAAACGAGATTAGGTTAATTTAGATTATTCTTAAACGTTAATTTGTGTTTATAATTTCTATTGTTTATTTTTAATTTAAAAAACCATGAAAAATAAAATATTTAGGGTGTTTATTTTGAAATTAATTCAAAAATTAGGAAAAAATCGATTAAAAAAAAATCGATTATTTTTTTAAGAAAAATCGATTATTTATTTATCGATTATTCATGCTAAAAAAATAATCGATTAATAAAAAATCGATTTTTTTATGCAGAATGTCACATCCCTAGGCCCTGGGGAACACGTTTGCATGCGTGCCGCTTCTCCCTCCCCTTGGACCCTTACCCGCATTCCGTATATTTTTACTGTTATGAGTCACTACCGTACCCAGTCTCCTCAAAATGGAAAGATACGTTATTGGCATGTGTAATTCATTAATTAGAATGTAGATTACTATAGCTATTACCAGCATACTATATAATGTATAATGTGACTTCAATTGCGTAAATAATAGTACAAATAAAATATTTAGGTTACAAATGAATTAGTTTTCTTTACATTTCTTCTTTAGAACATAATTTTATGCAGATTATTGGCTAGATGTACACCAATGTGTCTTTCAAAGTGACGTAACCAGCACATCTAACCCAAAAGCTGTATCAGGTACAGAAGGCTGGCTATCCCCTTGACAATAAAGCTGCGGTTGTAAATACCGAGCAATACCAATTTGTCATCTGATGTATGATGTATTATAAAGTATTTTTCTAATTATGTGTTTTATTATTTACTTATACAGTGTAAAGACTTTATAAATTTCAAGGGTCCGAGCATTTTTTCCGTTATAGAGAGATTTCATTATAGGGGGGAAGAGAAAAAAAAAACAAATTAACCAATTTCCTACAATATTAATATTTTCTAATTGTATTACTATCAATAGGTAAACTATTTTAAACACATATATAAAACATAACGCTTTTCTTTTACTGGCCATCTTGACAATTTCAAAGTTTGTTTACGACGATCATACACGATAGGTGACGATGGTGCGTTTAGTAACTGAGACCAAAATTTCCTACAGGCAATGTAATCTAAGAATAATGGCACACGTGTTAATACAATTAACAATAACAAAGGCGAGAAGGCTGTCTATAACCTCAGATGTCTTTCTTGGAAATTTCGGCACCTCAAAAGGTTAGTTTTGTAAGCTGATTATAAAAACAATTACACTCAAGTATGTTGTTGGTGTCTAAATATGACAATATATCTTCGTTATAAAGAGCGTCTGTTGCTTTATAAAGAATGAATTAATGTATGGGGTTTGTGTTAAACCAAACAAATGTTAAAATACGTTATAAAGAGCTTTTCGTTAAAGTTATAAAAAGTTTACAATATATAGGGTCAGATGACATGTATGTACTTGACCATGTATCAGTTCCTCAATGGGGCACAAGGCAGACAGTTTGCGTCAATTCAATAATATTGCTTCAAAGATTTTTGATAAGGCGCTTATTTTAGTAAGGTAAGCGTGCGTGCGAATATTTTCTCCCAATTTGTTCAAAGAAAGAACCTTCAACCGAGAAAGAGGTGACTTTAAATTGACCTTATTTTAAACCTCACTTACTAATTTATATATTATTATATATTTATGATGAATGAAACTCAAATATGTTGCTGAAATATGTATTTTAAGAATCAACATTAAGAGTTTGTTATTATACTGGAAAACAATCACTTTTATCCTATTTCTTTTATAATCCAAAATGTTCGAATGTCAATTTAAACGACAGGCCAAAACTAGCTTATTTCGACAGACTAAAAGCAAATTAAATGAAACATCAGTTAACACATAATAGATAATCAATCTAAATAATCTAATCTAAGAAATATAATTATTTCTTTACATATTTTTAACCATAATTCTTGGCTATAAAGCAATAATCATCAAATAATTCACCTGACTACTTAAATATTGCATAATATTTTGTCGCCCCTCTTGTGTACTGTACGAGACGAGTGCTATGCCGTGTGCACTGTGCAGTTTGCTTTGATTTTCTGGTGAATGTACAGCTTTGACGGACTGGTTTTTAAAATGATATACATTTTATAAGTAAATAATGGATACCTTGTTTTTCACTGTGAACGGAGAGCGGTGTGTTTTGTGTAAGTTTTTTTATTATTTATACCCTTAAATAGACATAACTTATACCCACAATAAGACGGGTAAAAAATTTGAAACGAGAGACAGGTACAAAAAGGGAATTTAGTTGAACAAAATTTTTCTAACAGTTTAAATGTTTCTTGAATATGAATAGTCTTTCAAGTTGAATAGTCCAATACTATATTTTTCTCTCAAAAAGTTTAACCTATTGAATACAACGCAATATTTTGTTTACATATTAATTTATATGTACTAGATACCATTATAAACAATCACTGTGAAATTCGTTACAGAAAAACATCCCGGATGTTCTCCATAAACATCTCTCTTGCTTTCCTCATTCATGTCGGTCCAGCTATTTATCTATAATCATATTCCCTAAACAGAATATTGGATATACAAATAGGCATTATCTAGTCAGTGAATGGAATATCAGCCATGACACGTCGCAGTGTACAGTTAGATTACTGTTTGTGACGATAACAAAAACCAACTAAAGTTAGTTGGTTTTTGTTATCGTCATTAACTTTTATTAGTTATTTTTATTTCATTATAATTTATTGCGGTTTCACCACGTCCAACGTTCCAAAACTTAGCGCTTTTGCTATTTTAAACAAATAAACATGATAAGTGATTTTTTTTATAACAATAACAATCTTTACATGTTAACATAAAGTATATGTAATTTGTCATGTCAACATCATGATGAGATATGGATCTTCGCGGACTTTCTGCATATGTGAGGAAAAACCATCGATCGGCATGTCTCAAATCGACGACATGTGCCAGACAGAATTCTGATCAACTACTTGCCTATGAATTAAAACAATATCGAAGATACAGCAACATACGGCCACTCCTCATTACATTTAATTATCAACGGAACACACAAACAATTGAACAAATTGATAACATTTCAGACTAATTATAGCCCTCGTTAGTCCAATTTGAGTGCCATCTGCATAGCTAAAAGTCAAGTTCAGTGGTAAAAAAAGTTTGTTATTATATCTCAATGTGTATAGTATTAGTATAAGATCCCGATATACAACGACCTTCACCGAGATGCTTATTTAATGAAACGTATTTTATATTTAATTTAATATGTCAATAAATATAATCCATATGGGTTGCCTAGCAAATTTCGGGGTGCACAGTTACAGTAAATTCAGAGCGATATGTAAGACGACTTCTTGGTGCCTGAACTTCAAAACTTTCCTGGCTATAACCAAAGACCATGGTGCCAGCAGGACGGAGCAACGTCACACACGTGCAATACGTCTCTGCCGCGAGTTCTTGAAATTTTCTCAAGCAAATTGATCTCCAGGAGAGGTGACATAAAATGGCCTCCACGCAGTCCTGATTTAACCCCTATGGATTTTTTCTTATGGAGTTATAATAAATCTAAAGTCTACGCCAATAAGACGACTTCTCTGGCGGAATTGAAACAAAATATCCGTCACGAAATGCATGCATGGCAGCCAAAACTGAGTCCACTTGCCGAGCCGTCATAAGTAATTTTATTGTTCTATTGAATGAGTGCCGCGAACGTGAGGGTCTACATTTGGCCGGTATTATTTTTAAGAAATAAATTCCCATATCAATTAAATATGAACTTTATTTTGAGACACCTTGTATTAGAAATTTTATTTTCTACTGGTTGTTCTACATTTTAGCGGGCTCAGAAGTAACACCAGTGACTTCTCTCAATGACTACCTGCGTGACCACCTCGGCCTTTACGGCACCAAGGCCATGTGTCATGAAGGAGGCTGTGGCGCATGCGTGGTCTCCGTATCCACTACTCATCCAGTTACGAAGGAGAAACGAGAACTAGCTGTTAATTCTGTGAGTGTAGTAAAAATAAAACGGAACCACTGTTCGGAATCATTATTCGGATTAATTTTGATTATTTGTCCAATCATAAAGCGTCTACACACAGCCCTAAATTGATGAAATCCGATCGTAGTTTGAATCGGCAGGAGCATACTCTGGGTCGTTCAAGTATTACGTAAACACTATAGGGGGGAGGGGGTCTTTGATTTTATTATTTGTTGATTACGCCAACAGTATATTTACAACAGTACATTTACTTTTTACAACAGTATTATTTACTTTTTTACACATATTTCCTACACAAATTCAACAAAAATCCCACGAAATCTAGTTTTTAATCCGCCCAAAAAAAATTATTTTATTCTTAACAATTGTTCGTATTTTTAACTTTTAATTTTATTTTATTTACTTCACACCATATTATACAAGACTTCATTACTTACACTGCTAACTTTTACTAATATTATAATTATTATTTTCTACTAAGTATTAATACATTCTTTTTTTTTGCGACTGAGGTGCAAACTAGCTTATGTGGTCTCTGGCAGAATGACCAGTGCTGTGGAACATTCTGCTCCTCAGCATAATGCTGAGCCAGGGCCAATTACAGCCACAGCACACACGCATTACATACTTGAAACGAACCGAATGGGAAAAGGAACAAAAAAAATAATATATCTCTCATAATATCTTTTTATTTCATTATTTCTCTTTGATTATTGTTATTTTGTGTGTATATGTGTGTGTGTTTTTGTTTGTAATAAATGATATGTCTATGTCTATGCTGGAAAAAGGAAATGCATTTTCAAAAATTAATACGTTTATCTACTATTATTTTTGAGAGCATTGCTTAGGCTTATTGCTTGCCTACTTTTGCTGACAAGAGGAGAGGGGGGGATAAATTAAAGTAAATCTGCTTACGTAATACTTGAACGGCCCCTCTACACACATCTATTAGGGTACGATTTTCCTACACACGAGGCGATCTAGGGATCTCCCACCACTTCCCCGATATTGCCTCTGATTTTAAGGCCGTGTAGACGCTTATACAAATTTAAGGGCATTGGGTCTATGGAAAAGCTTGAAAAATTCAAAAAAGAAAAATCGCTATAGTTTTTACATCTATTCCGTTCCGCCACAGACCTCATGATATGCTGTCCAAATCTAGATTCTAGACGTATGAGGTAAAGGTGTGGTTTGTTTTAATTAATAAAACATAGTTACGATGCTATAGTAGCTAGAACTATAAATTTGTATGTCACATTTCTTATGTTACAAACATTAACCACAACATATTCAAGAAATAGAATCGGCCTATGTTCTCATTTATAACCAGGGCCGCGCCACCCCGTGTACGATGTGTGCGACGCACACCGACGCCAAGACAATAAGGGCGCCGCAGCCGAAATAATTTTTGTCACAGAAACACCACAACATATTCTTTGTAGTGGAGTATCGATAAGCAAATAGGTACAATAGGCGCAAACTTTAATAAAAAACATATTTCGCTTATTGTACCGTTTGTGGCTTAATTTTACTTTGTTTATCTGTCTTTAATTTATGATGATGACGCTGAAGCTACTTCCTCTCCCTGAATAAGCAAGCAGAAGCCAACTGGTTTTACCTGTTTAGAAAAATATAATCTTATTATATAAAGCTGGAGAACTAAAGAGGCGCTTCATAGGTTTCGCAAACAGGTTCAGCCGGGAGTCGGCGCTGCCCCATTTATAACCTCGGTAATTAGTATGCAAAATCATGTTATTGATTGTAATGTAAACAATGTTTATCATGAGATATTTAACAGTACTTAATTAGAATTTAAAATATGTTATTTGTTTGAATTCATAAGTTTAATTTGGATTATGACTCGCACTATAGTATTTTAAATGATAAGAATGACCACGCTAAAATATAGATATCCGATGCCAAGACTTCCAGACGCCACTGTTTTGTCGCTGACAGGAGTCGTTACGTAATATAAACCAGTATGACTTTGAGATATAACTATTCTTACTATATTATAGTTCTAGCTGACCCGGCTAACGTTTTTTTTGCCATGTATATTATTTCTAGGAAACATTTTTTTAGTTCAATAAAAATAACTACATATCTACAATAATAAAAAATAGGGGTTGATCGTAGAAGGGCGAAAATTAGGGGTTGTGTGTATTTTTGTATGCTGTACCATAAAAAAATAAAAACAAAAAAAAATTATAAAAAATAAAAAATTAATTTTGTGGTGGACGCCTTATCACTTAGGGGTTTGAAAGATAGATAGCAGCCGATTCTCAGGCTTACTGAATATGCATAAAAAATTTCATAAGAATCGGTCGAACCGTTTCTGAGGAATCTGGGAACGAACATTGTGACACGAGACTTACAGCTTAGAAATAAGTTATAAAAATCTCAACTTATAAACAAGTACTTAATAATTAGATGGATGGGTATAAATAAAATCATTATAATCCAGGCTAACTGGTACAAAGTGCAGTGTTGGCCTAGTGGCTTCATCGTGCATTTCTCATCCCTGAGGTCGTAGGTTTTATCCCCGGCTGTGGACCAATGGAATTTATTTCTATGTACACATTTAAAATTCGCTCAAACGTGAAGGAAAACATCGTGAGGAAACGGCTAACCTTAGACCCAAAAAGTCGACGGCGTGTGTCATGTACAGGAAGCTGATCACCTATTTGATCATGAAACAGATATAGAAATCTAAGGCCCATACCAAAAAAGGTTGTAGCGCCATTGATTTGTTTTATTTAACTGGTACAAAGAAAATAATAAACGAACTAAATTTGTTGTGGAACACTTAGGGCCGTAATATTTATTAGACTTAAGAATTCAAATGTCAGAGCTCCGACACCACACTGAGGCGAACAGGCCAAATAAATCAATGTGTAATCAATGCTTTTTATCTGCGATTTTTACTAGTGCTTAGTACACATCCTATCGTGTCACCAATGGGACATAACCACAATTGAAGGTCTCGGAAATCACAAAGATGGATACCATCCCTTACAGAGGCGATTAGCTGAGTACAATGGTACGCAATGTGGGTATTGCACACCCGGGTGGATTATGAACATGCACAGGTACTTATAATAATAAAAGCCTTTACTGCTGTAATTACTTATTTACATAAAAATGTTAAGCACTAATAAATTAACTCTAAAAATAATAAACACTAATAATTAATCGGCAAGCCGGTTAATTAAAAAAAAGGCTAGCGCTCTGATCCGTCCAACTATCGCCCAATAGCTATAACCTCCTTGTTCTCCAAAATAATGGAAACCATTATTAATTGCCAGCTCTTGTGGTATCTAGAGGGCCACTAGTTGATTAGCGATTCTCAGTACGGCTTTCGTCGTGGTCGCTCAGCTGGTGACCTCCTTGTATACCTTACCCATAGGTGGGCAGAGGCAATTGAGTCCAAGGGGGAGGCGCTGGCGGTAAGTTTGGACATAGCGAAAGCCTTCGATCGGGTGTGGCACAGAGCACTGCTCTCGAAGCTTTCAGCCTATGGGCTTCCCGAGAAATTATGCGATTGGATCTCCAGCTTTCTGGCCGATCGGAGCATCAAGGTCGTCATCGACGGAGCATGTTCTGACCTTAAACCTATGAACGCTGGGGTCCCACAAGGCTGTGTTCTATCCCCGACCCTATTTCTTTTGCATATCAATGATATGTTGCAACTTAGCAACATTCTAAATCTTACTTATTACTTTACATTACAAAATCAGTTATCTCTTCATTAATACTGACCTTGGCATTTAGTGGAAACTACTTTTATGAGTTGCAACAATGTTTTAAATTACGTTTGTTAAATGCAATTTTGTATCAGTCCATTAATTTACCACATTTGCTATAATGTCTTGATATTATAATTACTTTTTAGCCTTCAAAAAAGCTCTGGAGATAATTTAAGCAAAAAACAAATAGATAGAGCTTTCGGTGGTAATATGTGTAGATGCACTGGATATAGACCAATTTTGGATGCTTTTAAAAGCTTCGCAAATCAATCTGAAAATGTTCAGGTAATACTCCGATGTTTTTTTGATAAATATCTTTATGTTTTAATGTCCGTTTAGACAAACAAAGGATATTGATCTAGTTTTGATAAGATATAGCTTTGATAAAACTAATGTTATACATATTATTTTTCTCATATGATTGCGATGTTTCAATTCATTTGTCTCAGTAATAGACATTAGGGGCGCTCTGTGTCATATTTTTCGTCTATCGAGCAACCCACGCTTTTTCACAATAATACCAGTATTTTTTGTTCATTACCATTTTCAGCCTAAATTAGGAATTATTTTTCACTTTTTAGTTTGATGTGCTTTAAAAGCGTGTGTTCTAGTTATTTTTAACTATTATTTATTTTTTGCCTACCCTCAACCTATTATAACAATTATGTAAAATATTGATATATGAGTGCTTTAATCAAATAAACGTTTTTTCTTTGTTTTATTCTTTCTAAAGTAACGTCTCTTGAGCAATCGGCCATTTTCTGAATAACTCTTGAACCGTTAATCTAGTTAAGAACACCAACTGAGTATTATTATTATTTATGAAGTCTACAATGTTTTATTACAGGACCTAGAAGATCTTCACAAATTGAATTGTAAATCGACTTGTAAGAATAAATGTAATGACGGCTGGTGTTTTATAGAAATAGATGTTATTAGAGAATTGCAACTTGGGTTAAATCGTTGGTTTAAAGTTTATACTATTAATGATATTTTTAAGGTAAATAAATCAAATAAATATTCATTCAGTCAATTTTTTTAATTATTCCATCGTCTCTTTCTGAGCGGTGTTGGCCTAGTGGCTTCAGCGTGCGACTCTCATCCATGAGGTCGTAGAATCGTCTGTTCACCAATGGACCTTCTATGTGCGCATTTAACATTCGAACGGTAAAGGAAAACATCGTGAGGAAACCAGCTTAGCTTGCCCATTAGATTGACGAATGGTCATGAAACAGATACAGAAATCTGAGGCCTAAAAAGGTTACACTAATATATACAATCCATAATACACTTTAAACAATCACTATAAATAATAATAACACAATAAATAATAATTTTAACAAAGTCGTAAACAGATCTGAGGCGTTTGTTCGTCTGTCGCTGCGATATTCTTTTTAATAAGTTGATCGAAATGTTGTATATTTTCAGGTGATAAATAGAGAAGGTGGAGATTATCAACTGGTGGCGGGAAATACTGGAAAAGGTGTTACTTAAATATATTTACTGCCTGCTACCAAATAATCCGTTCTAGCTTGATTAGTAATCATACAAAAATAAATTGTATTTTTGTATTTAGTAAAAATACACCAAACACTTTGATATTTTAAATAAATTTGTTCGTATCAATCGCTAAAAGCAGCATAGTGTTTTTTTGTAGTAAACAACTACAATAACACTGTTTATAATAATATATATTTATATATACAGGGTGGTCAAAAAGTCGTGGTTCAAACGCAAATAGAGGATAGATGAGGTCATCAGCTGCAAAAAATTGTTCTACGGGAGGTCTCTAAGTTTTGCGTTTTTATAAGAAAATTGACTTTTTTTGCTAATTCTTATTGAAATTCTAAAAAATCTACACCTGTATATTTTTCATAATATCCACTAGATTGATACTGATGAGTCCTTGCGTTAGACATTCTATCTATAGTTGTTTATTGAGTGTATTGATGATAATATTAAGTTATACGATATAAATTTATTTCAAATCATAACTTTTTTGTTTCATAAATGTAAGTGATTATTTCATTTTAGTAACCAGTTTTTTAGTCCATAAATATAATTATATAAAGCCCATTCTGCTCTGTCCTGGGCTAGCCTGCTCCATCTCAGCAGATTATCAGCCACCATCTCCCATCTGCATCTTTTTATTTGATGTCCTCTCTTCTTCTTGCCTTCTCTTTGATATCATTCTAATACATATTTTGTCGATTTCTATTTTGTTTTAAGACTGGATAAGTAAGTTATTTTTTGTACAAGGTAATTTACTATTTCATATTTTTGTAGTTATATTACCTATCGTGTAATTTTATGTTTATCATATTTCTCTCCATGTTTCGTTGGCAAACGGTTAGTTTTTAATAGTTTTTAAGTACATAGAAGCTGTTTTGCTATACTCCTATTTAAATATAAATCATAAAAGCAATAGTTAGTTCGATGTTAATTTTCCTTATTTATTTTTCAGGCGTTTATCCTAACACAAAGGAACCAAGAATATACATTGATATATCTTCTATAGATGCATTACACGATTTTTCTATTGACGACAATTTAGTAATCGGCGCTGGGATGACTATTACTGAATTTATAAGTGTTTGTGATCGGAAATCTCAAATGAACGAAGACTTTTTATATATGAAGGAATTTGTCAAGCATTTGGAGCTGGTGGCACATGTGCCTGTTAGAAATGTACGTAAAACGGAAACATCAAAACATATATTTTACCTGAACATAATTCCTTCAAGGAGTATCACGTATTTGGGGACACAGGTGAATTTGTTCAATTTAAAGGGAGAATTCTCTCCTGCCTAACGAAAGGCCCAAAGGTCTCAGTATCTTAAGGCCCCATCCCAGCACGAATTGCTGTGTCAGTGTCTCGGGGTGGACTGCGGTGCGCAGTGGAGAGCTGGAGCACTGAGGCGCGCCGGCCCGTAATAACAATTAGTAATGTAAAACATTAAATTAATGTGATTTTATCAATTTTTTTCTGATTATTATGATGATTATTAAACAGCGTTTAAATACGATATTTTTTTTATTCCAAACTTTATGTGCTATAGTGTATAAAATTAACACTTTTAAGGCCTCTAAGCAAAAGCTCAACCAGTTAACAATAGAATTTGAATTCCTTTTTCAGATTGGTACAATTGGTGGAAATTTATCGTTGAAAAATAGACACCACGATTTCCGTCAGATATTTTTCTTCTGTTCGAGACTGTTGGAGGCTGTGTAACTATAAGTAAGTGTTCGAACTTTCAATGATTTATGTTGTATGTAATGAACGATTTAATGTCGACATTAGAATCCATCGACAGGCCTTCCAAACGTTATAGTTTCGTAAGCCAGTACCGAGGCAAGGCCGCACAATAAACTTTTATTTGTACTGATTTTTAACTAAAATCACACGGCTACTTTGTTTACTACATTACATTTGTTTATATAAATGATCTACCTTTCATGGTAGAGAGAAAACATCAGATAGTTTTGTTTGCTGATGACACGTCCTTGATTTTTAAAATCAAACGACAAATAACAAATTTTGACGATGTGAACAATGCTCTGTCTTCGATTGTCCATTGGTTTAGTATGAATAACCTTCTACTTAATGCAAAAAAGACAAAATGCATTAAATTTTGTGCAAAAAATGCAAGGGTTATGGATACTAGACCAATTATAAACGGTGAGGAATTGAATCTGGATGATACAACTGTATTTCTCGGAATCACCATGGATTCAAAACTTCAGTGGTCCCCTCATATTAACGGATTGGCGAAGAGACTTAGTTCTGCAGCCTACGCGGTTAAAAAAATTCGCTCACTAACTGATGTCGATACAGCTAGACTTGTTTATTTTAGTTACTTTCATAGCTTAATGACTTATGGCTTATTATTATGGGGTCATGCTGCTGATGTCGAAACTATTTTCATCCTGCAGAAGAGGGCTATTCGTGCAATCTATAATTTAAAATGTAGGGAATCTCTTAGAGATAAATTCAAGGAAATTAATATACTTACCTTTCCCTCGCAATATATTTATGAAAATATTATGTATGTATACAAAAATAGTGATAAGTTTACTAGAATAGAACATACGCACAATGTTAATACACGGAACAAACGCAGGCTGCAATTTCCCCGTACTAGACTATCTAAAGTTAGTAATTCTTTTTTGGGGAAAGGGATAGTCTTCTTTAATAAAATCCCTGAGGCTCTTTTATCACTGCCTTTCAATAAATTTAAGAAATGTATTAAAGAAAAGCTGTGTAAAAAGGCTTACTATAAAGTCAACGATTATCTAGTTGATAAAAGGGCCTGGGACTAGTGCTAGACAGGCTACTTCTAATTAATTTGCGATATTTGTTTTAAATAAGTGTTGTTTGATGATTTGCTGTTTTAAAAGAGAGACCGAGAGATTTTTACGCCGGCTTTTTCTCTCGGCCTACACCCTCTGTCTTCTTTGCCGATGAGTAGGGATGCCTAATGCCTTCAAATTGAATGACGTGGAATAAGTGATACATGTATCTTATGTTCCATAATAAACATATTTTTTTTTTTTTTACTAAATTAATCGAATTCTAATATTTACTGTAAATTTCTTCTGATTATCTTTTTTTCAAATAAGAAATATTTTATTTATGAAACTGGAGGCTAATGGGCAGGAGGTTCATCTGATGTTCTTAAATCTAAGTGACACTTATGGTACCTATGAAGAATATAAGAGTAGTCGACTATTTGGACATTATCGGAAACGAAAATGTTATACACAACTAGCTGATCCGGCAAACGTCGTTTTGCCATGTTTATAATTTATAATAAAAAATAGGTGTTGATCGTAGAGGGGTGAAAATTAGGGTTTGTATGTATTTTTTAATACTGTATCTTAAAAAAATAAAAAATTATCTAAAAATTAAAAAAAATAATAATTTAGGGGTGGACTACCCTTAACATCTAGTGGGATGAAAAATAGATGTTGTCTGACTCTCAGACATACCCAATATGCACACAAAATTTCATGAGAATCGGTCAAGCCGTTTCGGAGGTGTTTAAATACAAACACCGCGACACGAGAATTTTATATATTAGATTTATGAGTGTGGGAAAAACTAAAGGGTTCATTTTGGCATCAAGTGTGCGATGAATGCTAACATATGGTTTATGCTTCTAATTATTAACTAACTATCTTAGTGGATGCCAAAAAGCAGAAAACTGTTAAGAATATGAGGGACTTTATGAGAATGGATATGACCAATAAAATAATCTTAAATATCAAATTACCTCCGTTATCGTCGAAGAACCTAATTCGGACTTACAAGGTTAGTAGCTATTTTGTAGTATCTTACAGATGATAAGAATTGGTTTCTATAAAGTCTTACGGACAATAGTTTAACGTGACAACGTCATAACAAAACATGATGATGAAATTATTGCATACTTTTATTAATAACATTGAATCATTTTTATTGAATTATCACTACAGATTTATATTTTATACAAAGAAGGGTTGAATTAGGGATGCTCGATGATCTTCGATGTTGAAAACAAAAACATCGATATTGCTATACGAAAAATATATCTCAATGCAAATTAAGTCTTCTATGAACGCATCCACAAATCATATTCCAATCGAGTGGAAGAGAGATAAACGCTGCGGAAGCGCACAATGAGCGTAACGGGACAATGAGACATACTTTTTCGTGTGTGCAACCGGCGTTCATCGATTTATTTATATCCTTTTGCTATTCTATATAGTATAATTATATCTACAGTAAATTCCTAGTATTCACAAAAAATAATATTTGAATTTTCCATGATTACATTATTGTATTATACTTCGTGCATTATATTCAATCTTATTGAAATGCGAAAATATACTGCACAATAAAGCAAATATTAACTTTTCGGCAATTTATTCAAACCGAATTGTTTCTTGTCATAGTGCACGCGAAATATTTCAAAAAAATTGAAAAGCTATCGCTGCGTTAATTTTATACACACATAAATTTTAATACAGAATACATAAATACACAGTTCATAAATACATAAATAAACAGTATTTAATATTAGGTCCTTACATATGAAATTGGCGTATTTCGTACTGGCCACTTTAATCACGATGTTCTCCTCTTTGGTAAGGAATTCCAAATTCAAATTTGTACAGCTATTTAGTATTTACTTATGTATTTGTGCTTCGATGACCGTCATTCATTTGTTTTTTTCTGTTTGCGTCACTGATTTTACAAAATGGAAAACTTAAAGTATCGCATTATTTACGAGAACGAGTTCCGCCGTGGCACTAGTGCTGCGGATATAGGCAGCGGCACGTAAGTCTAGCGCTGGCCGATACGTGGAGGGGATTGCTGCGCATGTGTACTGTCGCGCGGGGGACGGAATGCGACTGGAGAGCCAATCAAAACTCTTCATTCCGCTAGCCCCCCTCAGGTACCTTATTTTTTACTTCTGCGCAATAACGGTTAGTGCTAGTTTCGTGCCGCTACTTGCACGACTCGAAGGGTGAATGATGTGTATAGCGGTCATGTTGCAAAAGAAAACACAGTTCGTTTTTGGTTCCAACGTTTTCGTTCTGGAAATTTCGACCTGCAGAACAAGCCTCGTCTACGGCCTGAGACCCAAGTTGATAATGAAGTATTGAAGGCTATTGTGGAAGCGGATCCATCGCAAACCACGTCCAAGTTAGCTGCAGGCTGCGGTATTAGTGATAAAACTGTTTTAATTCACTTGATGCAAATTGGGAAGATTAAAAAGCTTGAAAGATGGGTACCTCACGAATTGACTGAAGCAAACCGGCAAACACGCGTCGACTGCTGCGTTACATTACTGAACCGGCACAATAATGAAGGTATTTTAAACCGAATCATTACCTGTGATGAAAAATGGATTCTTTACGATAATCGGAAGCGCTCAGCGCTATGGTTGGATCCTGGCCAGCCAGCCAAATCCTGTCCCAAGCGAAAATTAACCCCAAAAAAGTTACTTGTAAGCGTTTGGTGGACTAGTGCCGTTATTGTTCATTGCAGTTTTTTCAAATCTGGCCAGACTATTACGGCTGATGTCTATTGTCAGCAATTGCAAACCATGATGGAAAAGCTAGCGGCTAAACAACCTAGGCTGGTCAATCGCTCCACACCACTGCTACTTCACGACAACGCTAAACCACACACTGCACAACAGACGGCTACCAAATTAGAAGAGCTTCAATTGGAATGTCTAAGACATCGTCCGTACTCCCCGGACCTTGCTCCAACAGATTACCATTTTTTTCGAAATTTGGACGACTTCTTGCAAGGGAAAAAATTTAACTCTGATGGGGCAGTCCAAATCGCCTTCACAGATTCCCGTCCGCTTGGTTTTTTTAGTAAAGGGATCAATGAACTACCTATGAGATGGCAAAAGTGCATAGAACACAATGGTTCATACTTTGATTAATTAAATATATTATATTTAAAATTATTCGACTTTTTGTTCCTCCCATACAAAACGCCAATTTCATTACATAGGACCTAATATTTTACAGCGAGAAAAAGTTGGCAGCGTTAAACGTATGCCTCAGGGACCAAACTTTTTAAATTCGTTTTAATTTTAATTTTCTTTTTATTAATGTTTATTATTAGCTACATATGGTTAAGTTAGAAATACTGGGGTTTAATTATAATTCCTTTACAGATAATGCCTCGTGGCCAAAATGCACACGCCATTGTAAACGCTGGCTTTTTATTTCACATAGACGAAAACAACAAAGTAATATCATCAAACATTGTTTTTGGTAATATCAGTCCAGATTTCATTCATGCAAAACAAACAGAGTATTTCTTGAAAGGGCGAGATATATTCAGTGAAGATGTCCTAACGAGTGCTTTGCATACACTAGAAGAAGAAATGGCCCCAATAGAGAACCCTCCCGAACCCTCGCCGTTTTGTAGGAAGGCTGTTGCTCTGGGGTTATTTTATAAGGTACTACATATATAGGATTTTTATCGCCTCTAAAGCTTAGTAAGCACTTTATATATCTGACAGACGTTATCCTGTACACACGTCTTACATACAAAAAAATCTAATAATGTCAATAATTCTCGACTCCACTTAAACACACAAAAAACTTTTTGAAGTTATACTTCTTTAGGCGCGTTATGAAAAATTTATGAGAGATCAATCGCACTGCGCACCGAGACACAACATTAACAGAATAAAGTTGCCCACAGAAGATGCTACGGCATTGGACATAATTTAAAAACAGCATTCGAATAATAATAATAGAATTTATGTTACACTTAATGTAAGAGAATAATAATAAATATCCTTTTTCAGTCTTTGATTATTTAATTGTAATTAATTATTTGCATGCATTCAAGAACTATTTTTAGTAATGCCAAAGAACTATAACTTCTTACGCGCGTACATAAGTACACGCACCCTTTTTTTTTGAGAGGCGTTTAGGAGTTTAATTACGAACACATGCACATAATATATATGTTTATGTTTTCTGTTTATTTGCTGTATAGAAAAATAACCTAGAAATCAACTGTAGCGCCATCTGCCGGGCTGATTTTGAATCTAAACCATCCAGGGCGCCACCCAAACGCATAAAATTGTTTTATTCAAATCGGTCCAGCCGTTTAAGAGGCGTTCAGTGTCATACACACGTACAGTAGAATTGTATATGTAAAGATATATAATCTTAAGATGGTTGAGAAACTTCCAATAAAGGGTTTTAAAGAGAGAAGTGCCAATTTATTATAATTCTTAAAACTATGTTTTTTAATACAAAATTCAATTTGAATAATGATTTGGTATAACATAAAATTAGACTGTAGTCTGGTAATATTGTGATAAAAAAAACTAAAAGAAATGAATAAACTCCAAAATCGCTATACAAATCAAAGTTCATACGAATAACACTAATTATTTCTAGGCTATATTATCTCTAAGTCCGTCAGTAAACCCTCGCTACAAATCAGGAGGTGATACATTATCACGGCCAGTATCTCATGGAACCCAGACGTACGACACTGACAACTCATTGTGGCCCTTAAACCAGCCTGTCATGAAGCTGGAGGCTTTAGCGCAGGTATTTAAAATACGATTTATTTTCTACTACAAAAAACCTACGACGCATTTAAACTAGCAGCATTATTTACAATATAAGTGCCCTTACTCTATAATTTCCAATAGCTATACCGGATTTTGTTTAGCAAGTTCCATGTAGTTCTCTGCATATTCGTAACGCAACCATGGAATCACGGAACAAAATCTCATTATTTACATCGGGATTATGTCGGAATCGCTTTTAAAAGTTACTTAATATTTCTGTTCGGAGTTTTAAATAATGCTTTTCGTCTCTTTCTGTCATGTTATGCTATATTTTTTTTTATATTGTCCTGATCACTGTTTACATATGTTTTAATTGCGTTGATTTGTTCCAATAGTTTTGTCTCAATAACTATATGTATTTTGCACTTCTTGCTTACCTTATCTAATTTTTTTCTCACAGTGGTTGCCTGGAAGAGATCGCTCGAAAGCGATAAGGCCGCCAGTTGCCCTCCTTTTCATTTAATTATGTAAATTGTATTATATTTAAGTATGCAACGAAGAGTTAATAAATTAAAAAATAAATAAAGCATAAAGCAATGACGCTACAACCTCAGATTTCTGAATCTATTTCATGATCATTTTTTTAATCTAACAGGCAAGTAGGTCAGCCTCCAGTGCCTGACACACGCCGTCGAGTTTTTGGGTCTATGACATGCCCGTTTCCTCACGATGTTTTCCTTCACCGTTCGAGCGAATGTTAAATGAAGCACATAGAAAGAAAGTCTACTAATGCACAGCCGGGTAATAATGGGGCAGAAATTGTTTTAGTGTTCCGGGGAAGCTCGGTATGTGAGTGACAGATATAATACACCTCGCGATGTCCACGTGGCCTTCGTATTGTCCACAATATGCCTTGGAGAAGTAGAGTCTTTTGATGCTACTGAAGCATTGGTAAGTGTCTATGTATCTATTTCTTAACAATTATTCTAATTTTTTATTATTTACTACTATATAAAAATCTTCCAAGACTTCTCTACTTCAACTTTTCTATTATTTTTTCTTCTACTATTATTATTACATCCTTTTCATTTTTTTTCGTCTGAGGCGCAAACTAGCTGTTGTGGTCTCTAGCAGAATGACCAGCGTTGAGGAAACACGTCTGCTCCACAGCATAATGCTGAGCCAAGGCCAGTTAGTACCACAACAAACACACTTAAAATGTACTTTGTTCTTTAAATAAAAAATATTTTTTGAGTTTCGTTAGTAATAAATGTTATGTCTATGTTATGTTAATAGATTTTTTTGAAAAGTCAGTTCTTCTCTGTTTCGGACAGCTTTTTATTAAGCCTTTATTGCTGACACCCAGTATAATATATTAACACTTATTTAAGTTACATAAAAAACTTAATTCTTATACATAAATAAAACTTAATTCTAATACATAAATAAAACTTAATTCTAATACATAAATGAAACTTAATTCTAATACATAAATAAAACTTAATTCTTATACATAAATAAAACTTAATTCTAATACATAAATAAAACTTAATTCTAATACATAAATGAAACTTAATTCTAATACATAAATAAAACTTAATTCTTATACATAAAAAACTTAATTCTTATACATAAATAAAACTTAATTCTAATACATAAATAAAACTTAATTCTAATACATAAATGAAACTTAATTCTAATACATAAATAAAACTTAATTCTTATACATAAAAAACTTAATTCTTATACATAAATAAAACTTAATTCTAATACATAAATAAAACTTAATTCTTATACATAAATAAAACTTAATTCTAATACATAAATAAAACTTAATTCTAATACATAAATAAAACTTAATTCTTATACATAAAAAACTTAATTCTTATACATAAATAAAACTTAATTCTAATACATAAATAAAACTTAATTCTAATACATAAATGAAACTTAATTCTAATACATAAATAAAACTTAATTCTAATACATAAATGAAACTTAATTCTAATACATAAATAAAACTTAATTCTAATATATAAATAAAACTTAATTCTAATCCATAAATAAAACTTAATCTAATACATCACTTGACCCGTTATAGGTAGTCAGCGTGGCCTGTGACACATAGGCCTCTTCCAGCTGTTAGCTCTTCTTGTCCAAGTTGTGCCTCCTATTCTCTTTATATCGTCTGCCCATCTCTTGCTCTGTCTTCCTCTTTTCCTTTTTCCATAACGTGGTTGCCATTCTGTAAGTATCACTTAACATCAGATGGGCCTCATGCCAGTTTGTGCTGTTCTATAAAAAAAAAGAGAAGAAGAAGAAAGTAGAGGAATTATTAGAGAAATTGTAGTGATTATAGTTGTAATAATATACATACTTCCAAACTTTAGTGACAATATCGGTTAAATGTTATATTAATATTCAAACATTTAGTTAACAATCTGAAAAAGCATGTTTTTTACACAATGATTCTTACCTATTTCAGAAGTTATCCGGCGTCATAGCGTTTTATACCGCTAAAGACATTCCTGGTAGAAATTCCTTTACACCAACAGAAATACCATGGACATCCGTAAATGAAGAAATATTACCAGCTAAAGAAATATCTTACTATGGTCAGCCAATCGCAATAATAGTAGCAAATAATCACAAAATGGCGGTGAAAGCGGCTGGAATTGTTAAAGTTACTTATAATAAATCGAACCAAACGCCAATTTTAAATGTAAAAGATGCTTTGAATGCAGCAGATAAAGAAAATCGAGTAAGTTTTAATTTAATTAAGTTAAATATAACTAACCAATTCGAGCAGTGTTGGCCTAGTCGCTTCAGCGTGCGACCCTCTCCTGAGGTCGTAGGTTCGATCCCTGGCTGTGCACAATTGGACTTTCTGTCTATGTGCGCATTTAACATTCGTTCGAACGGTGAAGGAAAAATTCGACGGCGTGTGTCAGGCACAGGGATCACCTATCACATTTAATTTGTAAACAAAATGTTTTTCAATATTTTGCAGTAGTATTGGCCTAGTACACCTTTCAACCCTCAGGTCGTGCGTTCGAAACACGGCTGTGCACCAATAGATTTTTTTTTCTATGTGCATAATTAATTCGTACAGTAAGGAAAACATCGTGAGGAATCTAAAAATCCTCGGCTGAGAACACGCAAGGCTGTGATCGCCTACTTGATTAACGATATACTATGTACTAATCATGATATTTTACCATAAACACTATGTTTTTTATCACATTGGAACGGTTTTTCTCGTAATGAAATTATTATTTTGGTTAAAATAAACACGACTCTGAAAAACACTACGCCATGACAGACAATGCAACTTGTCGATAAAACAGAGCAAGCACCAACTAGCGGCCCAGACTGTTTTACCGACGTTTGATATTCAGGGTGTCGGTTTTTGTGATACGTTTTTGAAAAGACACGAATAATTATCGTACAATATTTAATTTAGTTTGATTTTAACACTACAAATACACTTTTTAAATATAATAACATTTCCTGATAATCCTAGAACTGACACAATTAAAACCGTAACGAAAATTATTTCTAATATACCCAATCGCAAACTCAACATTAAAACTAATAAGTCTTTTTACTTTTGACATGACATAAGTACGTTATTGAACCAATGTCGTTAAAATAATAATATGTTCGAAGGCGTCGAGGCAGAATGCGAAATTCCATCCGTATCACCTCGACGTCCGTCGTTCCACAACTGAGCGTTTTTGCGCTATGTGGAACCAGCTGCCCACTGAAGTATTTCCGAACGAACCAATTTGACTGAACTTGAATAAAGCGTACCAATTCTTAAAAGGCCGGCAACGTACTCGCGAGCCTTCTGGCATTAAGAGTGTCCATGGGCGGTATCACTTAATATCAGATGAGCAGCCCCTGTTCTATAAAAAAAAAGAGAATCCTGGGGATTCCTTTACCACTATACTGATTTATACAATACGTTCAAGATCCGCGAGGAATCATCAATAAAACCAAAAGATAGAGGAACAGACGTCGTCCACACAATAAAAGGAACGTACACAATCCCAGACCAATATCACTACACCATGGAGACTCAGAGCTGTACAGTGAGCAACACACGTCGCGGCCTCGTTGTACGGTCGGCAACACAGTGGATGGATTTAGTACAAACTGCCGTTGCGAAGTCTTTAAACTTATCCTTGAACAGGTAATGTACTTCGATTGCATAGCTACCATAATTTTATGGTTGAAAAAAATAAAGATAATTTCAGCAGACAATTATTTCACTTATAAAAACAGATTAACTAGTCTTTTATTTAAGTAATGATGTATGATGTTGATACATAATGAAACGCATATGCTAAGCGCAATGACGACTGGACAAATTAAAGTATTTTTTTATTCATTCCTGAAAGGTATTAATATAAATAGTCTAATTATAAGTAGGTGCAGTAAATAAATCTTAAAAAGGGTTTTATTTTATTGTATATATACGTCATATCTTAACTCGATTATAATAATTGAAATTTATATTTACACATTGTTACACAATATTTTGTGTTTTACGCTCGAATTATGAGAAAAATTATTTATTTTAATCTTTAAACCGTCCCAACGGGTCGAAATCTCAACGGTAAGAAAATAAATAATAGGTATGGATAAATTTCTTTATTTATAACCTTGCAGCGTGACGGTAGAAGTAACCAGAATCGGTGGAGGTTATGGGGGCAAGGCGTCCCGGTCTTCGCTAATCGCTTGCGCCTGTGCATTGGCCGCATATAAGCTGAACAGAACAGCCACACTTGTGCTCCCTCTGACTCATAATATGGCTGCGATTGGGAAGCGACAAGCATGTTATGTTGAATATGAGGTTCGTTGTCTATACTATGCATCGCTACCCGCCGTTTTTACTCTAACACCTTGCCAGAAAGCATGAGTTCACAGTTCACACTCGCGTAAAATACTTGTATACCGGACACTCGATACGCGTTTTATGCGCGAGTCGAGATACTCGGGCGCCATTGCTGCGTCCAGTACTACGCGCGTGTTCGTGGCGAGTACGTATTCGGTTCAGAATTGACCGTGATTACTTCGTCATTCTGTCACGTAGAATGGGATGAACGTTAAATTGTCGACTTTCTCTTCGTTTATGACGTTTTCATCGACGGTATGCAAGCCACAACACAACCGCTGTATCCGAGTCCATGTTTATAACCAAATCCTTATTATCGCATTCGCGCGTAGGAACGCCTCATCTGGATGCAGTACAAATCAAAACGCGAGACTACACGAGCGTATTGATTAGCGTTTTCTGGACAGGGTCTTTGCTTAAACCATGCAACAAAGCGGTTTCATTAATTGACTATTTAAAAACTATTGCTAATTACATTGTGTTAAAAATTAATTTCTTTTCGGTAAATTTGTCGAATCACGGCTCCACCTTAAAGCAGCTCCAAATTCTTTTCTAGCGTTCTTTATGATTTGTATGAACTACACCAAGTAATATTAAAGAAGCTCATGGCTTTGGACCCCTTAAAAAACTGATAATATTACATGCATGATGTAATGGTATTGTCTAAGTTCCCAGTGAATTACATTAGGTTAGGTTATTCTAAGTGGCGTTTGTTAGGTGTTAGGTGGTGTTTGGTTAGGCCAAAAATTTGTACCTACCTTCTTTCAGTAATTTACAAATCATTATGTTTTAATTCATTTCTATTGGTTAAAGGGAATGCGCCACCACAATATTGCATGGTACGCCATTGCCGAGCGATGAAAAGTTGTTTTCTAGTGTTTGCCTGTCGGAATTTAAAACATTTTTCTTTTCGAAGTCTCTTTTAACCCCTAAATTTGGACCTGCACATTAATAATATTATTCCTTCTCAATATGATAATAATTTATGTTATATATATTGAAAAACAGATTATTTTCAGGTAGCAACAAACAGTGAAGGCGTAATACAATACGCAAACCTATCATATTATTCAGACAATGGTTGTAACTTTAATGATACTGCAGCTGGTGCCATCACGGATGTCATGTCCAACTTATACGATACCTCGCGGTGGGATGTCAAAGGATACAGTGTGCTTTCTGATAAGGCCAGTAATACCTGGTGTAGGGCTCCAGGTAAGATTATCTGAGGGTAGATTAATTAATAACTGTCACCTCAAGAAATTCTGTAATGAGACTATATTCTACGGGATGCAGAACGACCTGGCGCCGCTGCAGTACTGTTTCATTTTTAATTTTTAATTGAAGTTGCTGGACTATCCGTTCGCATAGGTATATTCTGTGGTCGGGGTGTGTCATTAACAATGGGCAATGTAGCTTTTGTCGGAGCCACATTTGTTTTCTGCTCTAGTTCGTACCTCATGCGTCGGCTAGTCCAGCAGCATCTGCAACGATGTTTGTTCAGTGTTGTTTTTGGAATAGCATATTGGCCTGAACCAGAGTTTAAATCTGTTTAGATACTGTGCAGAAGGTCCGTGAGCTGTCATATTTCGTATTATACGTGCCGGTTTGAATGATTTGCGGTTTCAGCTTGCCTCTATCTCTCCTCCCACTCTTCTATTTTCTACTGTTCTACTCCTTATGATGGATTTATATAAGAAATGGGGCAATTGTCATGAAGGAGCAAATTTAAGCTTTGTCCCCGCTAACTCGCCAATTCACCTGCTCTGCGTATGGTTTTCTTGTTTTGTGAAAGTGCCGTTATATTCCTAGTTTCTATTACTAAATGATGTAGTGATTTTGACGTTGGCTACAAATGATAAAAATCTCGACCTCGGGGGTTTGGTAATTTTTTTTAAATACAATTACAAAGAGGATCAAAATATTTGAAATTAAGACGTCGACGGCACACAATAGTCTGGTGGGATAATTGGTCATAATTGGCGTCGTAAATGTCAATATAGCATCAGGGAGTTAATATTTAACATATACATATATAATAATAACTAAGCGTACCCACTACTGCTTAATTGGACAATATGACATTTAAAAATGTGTAGTTTTTAAAATGCTCTACTTCAAAAGTAACTTATTTTACAATTTAAGTACGTAACGCAGTACTTTTTTTTTCATCTCGAAGCCTCGTCATGAATATCTTCCAGGAACCACGGAAGGCGCAGCCATCATGGAGCATATTATGGAGCGTATTGCATTCACAGTAAAAAAAGATTCTTTCGACGTGAAACTACTGCATATAAACAATAAAGACGTAAACGACATGATTGAGACATTCAAACTGGAAACTAAATATGAGGAACGTAAAACTGAAATTGCAGCGTATAATACTGCTAATGCTTGGACTAAGAAGTCTCTTAAGACATCCCTTATGTCGTTTCCTGTAGAATATGGTGTGAATTACCCAGTTACAATCTCAGTATATCATGTCGATGGCACTATTCTAATATCCCATGGAGGTATTGAAATGGGACAAGGTATCAATACGAAGGTGGCTCAAGTCTGCGCCTACGCATTAAAGGTATACATATTTAGTTATTGTTTTTTTATGTTACAGGAGGCAGACGGGCAGGAGGATCATCTGATGTTAAGTGATACCGCCGCCCAAGGACACTCGCACTGTCAGAATGCTCGCAAGCGCGCTGCCGGCCTTTTGAGAATTGGTGCGCTCTTTTCTTGAAGGACCCGAAGACGAATTGGTTCAGAAATACCTCAGTGGGCAGTTGGTTCCACTTAGTGGTGTTGCGCGGCAGAAATTGCCTTAACAAACGCTCAGTTGTCGAACGACGCACGTCAAGGTGATACGGATGGTATTTTGTATTCTGCCTTGCGTCAATAATAATAATATTAATTAATAATAATACTCTTTATTTTTCTTGAGAGTGGTACAAAATTATGAAGCTAATATTATAACTACCACTGGCTGTAAATGTGCTTAGCTGGTTGAAATCGAGCAAAGCCACGTCTCTTTCAACAAATACACAATTAAAAATATATCGTTCTGGTATTATACAGCAGAGTTGTGGCTTCAGCGTGCGACTCTCTCCCTGAGGTCGTAGGTTCGATCCCCGGCTGTGTACCAATGTACTTTCTATGTGCACAATTAACATTCGCTCGAACGAAAAGGAAAACATCGTGAGTAAACCCAAAAAGACGACAGCATATGTCAGGCACGGGAGGCTGAAACAGACTCAAAAATCTGAGGCCCAGACCTAAAAAGTTTGCAACGCCACTGATTTATTTAATTGAGTTATTACAGAATTATAATAGCTCAACATATTCACTAATGTACAACATTATTATTATTATTAAATTATATTTTGATAACTTGATAATTATTTACAGGTACCTCTTAATATCGTCAAAGTAAAAGGTGCGGATAGCTTTATATCTCCAAATGCAATTGCCAGCAGTGGTAGCGTTACCAGCGAGTGTGTAGCCTTCGCTACGGTAAAGGCCTGTAAGGAACTGCTGGAAAGGCTGGAACCAGTGAAGCAGGAAATGAATGTACCCACTTGGCCGGAAGTTGTGAAGGCCGCGTTTGATAAAGGTATCCAACTGTACTTTGATCTTTTTAACTACGTTTTAATGTTTTTGTAAGAGATTTTATTTATTTAGAAAAAACACACCTGACCTAACAGGCGACCCTAAAATAACAATAATGCAATACCAATGTATTAAACACACGAAAGAAAAAATAAACATAAGGAAATAATAAATAAAAAGCTTCATAATAAAAAAACTAAAAATCAACTAACTACTATAAGCAGTAAGCACTAACAAATAATAGAACTTAGAATAATAGAACTCAACGGACAATAAAAAAGGTCTGTTAATGTTATTTTGAGTTTAAGTTTGAGTTTGACCCATCAGGCATATTGAAGCTATTCACTGTAGTACTGCCTAATTACTGTCCTTACCATGTAACAATTTAATTAAGTTATGGCGAATATTTGTATGTAATATAATCTTGATGCTATTACAATGTATAAAATTCACTTCCCGAAGCCCATACAATTATATTTTGAAAGTGCTATAGATTTATACTAACCTTTTACCTCTTATCATAAAAATAGCAATTGCACCATTTTAATCACAACGTAAACATTATGTGACTTGAGCTTGATTTAGTTTTTATGGATCAAAATTTCCCTCGGGTTGGTTTTTAATCACTAAGCAACGTTTAACCAGTCGTCACCTTTAATACATTCTTAATTTCAGGTATAAATCTCCAAGTAAGTGCAATGATGTCAAGTCTAGACTCGCTCAAAGCCTACTCAGTCCACGGCATATGTTCAGCGGAAGTTATCATGGATGTGCTGACGGGAACTCATCAGATTCTACGCGTAGACCTCACAGAAGATACGGGGCAGAGTCTGAGTCCTGCATTGGACGTTGGTCAGGTACTTGAGATTTGATGCTATCTTAGTAATGAGCCTAAGTTTGGATCTTAGTACTACTATTTACTAAGATCCAAGCTATCAAAACGAATTTCACACAGAGGTACGAAAGATAAGCACATCTTATATTGACATTTCTGTCACTAATGTTAGCTGATATATATATTTTTTATGGCAAATGGGCAGAAGGCTCACCTGATGTTAAGTGACACCGCCGTCCATGGACATTCAATGTCAAAACGCACGCGAGTGCGCTGCCGGAATTCAAGAATTTCTACGCTCTTTTCTTGTCGAATTGGTTCGGAAATACGTCAGTGGGCTGCTGATTCCACATTGTGATGGTGCGCGGCAAAAACTGGCTTAAAAAACGCTCCGTTGTGGAACGCAAACGCCGAGGTGATACGGATGGAATTTCGTATTCTGCCTCGACGTCCGATGATGAAATGCAATCTCCCGTAGCTATATTCTGCAGCAGTAAAGGGATGGAATCGTAAGGTTAATTTTTTTCATCTACAGATTGAAGGTGCCTTCATCATGGGGCTTGGTCTATGGACATCAGAGCGTCTAGTCTATGCTCCATCCGGCCGTCTCTTAACAGATCGAACCTGGAACTATAAGCCTCCAGGGGCTCTAGATATACCAGTGGACTTCAGGGTCAACTTTAAACGGAACTCGTATAATAATAATGGAGTTTTGAGGTCCAAAGGTAAGTTGTGAAGACAATTAAATATTTTCGAAATGATATCAATTTATATAATTATGTATAATTCCTGCTTTCCTTCCGAATCCTTTCTCGAAAAACACAAAGAATTTGCCTAATCTGTCAAATTTTTGCCTAATGCGGAAATATATATGTTCTATTCGGGGCTACAGCGAAAGGACTCCCACAATAGAGTCTTCTTTAAAACATTTATTTTTCCGAAGTCTCTATTGTGGGGGTTCTCTTTTGTGGAGGCCCCGGGCCCCTGCTCACTTATAGAGGTTTACGCGTAAAAAATGGCTGTCACTTATACACGTTTTAGAAAGGCAAAACGATGGGGACCCGGTAAATACTCCCAATAACAGAGTTTTCTCGTTTACCCAGGCGATTGGCACTTACTCAGTGTCGGCTTTTTAAGTAATGTACAAAAAAAAACAGTGGCGCTACAACCTCTTTAGGTCTTGTACTCAAATTTCTGAATCTGTTTCATGATCATTTTTAAATCTAATAGGCCTCAGTGCCTGACACACGCCGTCGACTTTTTGGGTCTAAGACATTTCCACACGATGTTTCCTTCACCGTTCGAGCAAATGTTAAATGCACACATAGAAAGAAAGTCCATTGCTGCACAGCCGGAGATCGAACCTACGACCTCAGGTATGAGAGTCGCACGTTGAAGCCACTAGGCCAACACCACTAGGCGACCACAACTACAATTTTCTACTAATAACTAATCGTAATTGATGTCGTAATCCTTCGGGTCAGTCAATGGTAATACTCCTGGAGATGGAGTACTCTATCCTGTCTCCACAATATATTTAAATGGTATAACAATATTTTCAGCAACCGGCGAGCCGGCTTTATTACTATCAGTGGTGATCACTCACGCCCTCCAAGAGATTGTTAGCGAAGCAGTGAAGGAATATGGTACTATGGAACCCGAGTGGATACACGTTGGTGAGTTATTTATAGGTTATTTCTATTGGGTCTAAAATCTCTCTATAAAATGTTTTACTGTAATACAGCCGCCCATATATTTAATGCATTATAATCGCTTGTGACTGCGTCGTTTTAACTAAAGCCAACAAATGTATCTTTTCATCACAGCGTATTTGACAAAAACGAAACAAAAATGAAAGTCAAAGGGTATTACAATTTATGAAAAGGAGAAATAAAAAGTCTGGTAAGCATAGATAGTGTAATTCACAAAGACACAACCCACCAAATTTTGGAGGCGATCGCGGGGTGCGGGGAGTTTGCTCCGAGCGTCATTTGCGAACCGTCAGCTATTCATTGTAGTGTGCGTGTGTACCGATAACACGCATTGACGGAAGCTTGCACTCATATACTATAGAGTGGAGGAATAGTGGGGCGCGTCTTCGTGGAATGCACTATCTGTACATTAATGTCCGATTCCGGCGGTGCCAATACTTGTACCTCTAGCCTAAACTCTATAGGTCCACGCTTTGTCCCCTTCCCCGGTGAAGGCGGTTTTTGACCCTGACATTACTTATCTCGACTTTTCTGTGCCACTCGGGCGGCGTTTCATTTGTCGACTTTCAGATACGTTAGAACATGTAAGGGCCTCTTCGGGCCTATATTTTCGGGAAGAGGTCTCAAATCTCAATAACGTGTTAAAGTCACTCCCGATAACTGCCTTTCAAAGCAACATCATAGCGCGTTTTAGATCATGAGACGAAAATTGTAATGCCCTCTAGTGTACATTATAAAAACTGATACCATCTCATTAAGTAATGCCGTTCTTTAAATAGATGGCGCGCAAATATGTTTCAATGAAATATAATGTTAATTTTGTTACAGATACACCATACTGCGTTGACAATATACTGCAAGGAATATCTCCTAATTTAAGACATTATAAATTAAAATAATAGTTGTTTTATGTTGGATATTATTGTTTAAGGTTCCTCAATATATATTACAAACAATACTTTTCAGTGAAAAATAAATTTATTTTGCGATATTAACATAATCATATATTAACATTCCTACAATTATATCCCTAATATAGTTAATGAACTAAATAAAGCGACTATTAAGTATTCCAAAACAGAAAATTGAACATTAAATTTCCGAATATGATTTCATATAACCCTCTCTTTCTAGTAGGTAATATTAGAAAGAGAACGCAATAGTTAAAGGCTGATATTTTTGTCTCAAAATTAGTTCATTCTCTAAGTCAGTATTTTGTATGCCTATCACTCCATCCCTGGCGGCAAAGGTTCTAAAGGATTCGGCACTGGCTGAGGTGGAAACGTCGGTGCTACATCCTGCAGACAGATTATATATAAATTAATTTTTATTTCAATGTATTGAATTGCTAATTACAAATAAAATACAATCAAAACTTCATTTCCATTATTTGTAAAGTACTTTTGTCTCTTTCTGTCAAATTGTGTTTACGCTTTGATAAAAAGAGACAGATGTATGTGTTTTTTTGAGTTTAAACAGAGCATTTAAATTTACTTTTTATAAATAAGTTAGTGAAATTTCGCTGGATTTATTATATATTTGCATAAATTATTGTATATTTTGGATTAATTAAAAATTCATGAAAAGCCGTACTTCAAACGCACCGATTTTAATTTAACAGCTGTAGAAGACCTATAAAGGGTTGCTACAAAATTTTAATAAATTTAAAAGGCCGTCAACACACTCGCGAGACCTCTGTCATTGAGTGTCCATGGGCAGATCACTAAACGCCTCCTGTCCGTTTGCCCTTTGTTCTATAAAAAAAAACATGCATGAAGTATAATCAAAGGAGACCCAACATACCTGTGGTTCGAGTAGACGCGCCAAATGCGGTGGTAAGGATGGCAGCGCACGCGCAGGTAAAGCTGCCAACACCCGCGTCACGGCAGTGCCCAGTCGCTCGCAGCACTTCACCCAACCCTCCCACGCCACTTTGTTCGTCCATACCTGACAATTATATTTGTTACTAACTAAACGTTGTATTATAAATTATTTCGAGTGAATTCAAAACCGAAAAAATTTTTTTTTACTCCTAAACTACGAAAAATCGTAGTTAACATACATGGGGGGGTTTATTTATTTAAATAAAAGTAATCTTACAGATAACACACATATTATAAAACAAAACACTTAGACAATACAGAAAGCCAAAACAGATTACATAGATAAACAATATATATGGAACAGAAAACAAGTACATTAATAGACAAAAAATATTAAAAAAAACTAAAGAAAACTGTCAGCGTGTCCTGTGACACACAGGCTTCTTCCAGCTGCTTCCATTCTTTTCTGATGTTAGCTCTTATTGTCCAAGTTGTGCCTCCTATTCTCTTTATATCGTCTGGCCATCTCTGGCTCTGTCTTCTTCTTTTCCTTTTTCCATCGCTATTGATATTGAAGTCCTAAAAATGGGTAAATCGACACTTTTATTACTCACCTCTCTGTCAATAAGCAGCTGGAGTATATTCAAGGCCAGTGGTCCAAGGTTGGGGTACAAAGTGAGGGCCTGGAGGACGCTCCTCATCATCAGAACGGGGGTGTCCTGCTCTTCCGCCAGCCGCTGTAGAACTGCTGATACCACCTGGAAATATATTTAAAATTATTTATTTTGTTGAAAAATTAGAACAGAATAGTTACTTGGTAAGTGTAAATTAGTGTTAAGAGGTGAAAAGTGTTAGTCTAATAGAAAGCAAAAACAAAGTGTTCTCACTTAAATTGACAGTAAATAGTGAGTAAATTATTTTTTAAGAAAATAAACTTTTTTAGGAAAAAAACTAAAAAAAGTCATATGATGGTTAATAAGGTGGTAATACAAAAAAAAATCATAATATTACTTAAAAGCCATAATTATTGTAAAAGATTGTAATTCATGTAAAGTTGCACTATCTGTTTTGAACTTTATTATAGAAAAAAACTTACGTCTTGTGTATAAATTTGTTTTTCGCCGAAACAGAGTCCGGTCGCCTTGATGATAAACTTCAGATCTGCCTTATTCGGATCTATCAGGTGCAGGGCAACTAGGAGCTCCTCGGGAGTAACTGAAAATCCCAATAGGTATATTAATTTTTACACTATTTAACTAAACGAAAATACCCAAACAGACCAAACCAAAAAAGAAAACCAGTGAATATGCAAAATGACGGAATGATACGCGTTTGTGATTGGCCAAGCGTGAATCATAGATCGCGTGTCTGATTGGATGAGAGAAATCACAATCAAATGCGTGCTATGTTTTGTTTTAAATATAAACCCCTTAATTTGTGAGGTAAAATCAAAGATTCCAGAAATTCAATTAGCTCATTTAAAATATAATAGTGAATTAATTATAAGAAAATTTCCAAAATATCACCACTATTGGCGCTGTTTGATATAATCGCGAAAATATCTGACAATGTTAATCCTCAGTAGCATCACTTCGTGTGCTATGGGGAAGACCCGTAAATAAAATGGACGTATAACAAATAGACGTAAGTAAATGGACATATAATAAATGGACGTATAATATAATAGACGTATAATAAATAGACGTAAGTAAATGGACATATAATAAATTGACGTAAGTAAATGGACATATAATAAATGGACGTATAATAAATAGACGTAAGTAAATGGACATATAGTAAATGGACGTATAATAAATAGACGTAATAAATGGACATATAATAAATGGACGTATAATAAATAGACGTAAGTAAATGGACATATAATAAATGGACGTATAATATAATAAATAGTCGTATAATAAATGGACATATAATAAATGGAATAATAATAATCAATAATAAATGGACCCAGTCAGTAATTAGATAGCCTAACGTTAACCAACATAAAAAGAAAGTTGAAAAACTACTTTTATATGCATTTATGGCGCTTATAAACAGGACTGCTATTGTTACATTTACACCATAGTGGTTTTCAAATGTAACATATCACGATTTTGATTGTACTATTTTGTAAAATAAATAAAATAAAAATTAATATTTATTTTATTATTAAATTTATAAGATATATTAAATATACATATGTATATAAATTTTATTTAATTAAATAAATAAGATAAATCAAGAGTGAAGTAACTCTGAATCGGGTTATTATTAACTAAACAATAGTTTCACCATAGATTAGGCAAAGTTTATGAAGCAAAAATATGCGTTGTCTACACACCAATATTTGTATGAAAATTTTGAAGCGCGTCAACCATCCAAAAATAATTAGTGACATATTGAAACTATCAGGAACTGAGCAGAAATCGGTGACAGTTTGTTATCACCATCAGTGGTACTGATAGTAGAATATTTAAAATAAAATGTTAGATTACCCTTGACTTGAATTAATTTAACTATTTTTTTAAATACTGTGAAATATACATAATTCGGCAGAAAGAGAATTTTAGTTTAAACATATTAAGATTTTGGATACATTGTTTTAAACTGTAAAAATATCGTATTTCGTAATCAATTACGTAATTCATAAGCATCCTATGCATGACTCTCATCTTAATTACGCCATACATTGGACGCTAACACTATATAATGTAAAATTAAGTCTACTTTCAAGCTGTCAAAAAAAACCTTTGCATATTTGACAACGCTCAAGACGGTTGTCGTGTGCTATTCCTTAACCGGAAACGGAATTTAAGAAAACTATTCCGTTGAACAAATGTTTTTCTAATTATATAACCAAAAGTGTTGTTCCGTCCCATTCCCACAATATATATAAGAGAATTACTTACAGATAATTTCCGTATATTCTGCAAAATGATTTGAAATATAATAATTCGTTATTTTAAAATATAACCCATATGGATTAACATTATATAGCCTATGAAAGGAACTATCCAACATTTATTTAAATTCGAACTCAGCGTTCGAAGCCATTTTCAACACAAGTAAATTTTTGTTTGTCACTTTTCGTTAATAAATCGATAATTTTCTACATTTAAATATTAAATATGATAAGGATTTAAGACATTACGAAATTTTATTTTCCATATTTTTACGTACAATCATAATCAAACTCAAAATAACTTTATTCATATAGGTAACCAAGTACACTTATGAACGTCTTGAGAAAAAATGTTATACTGATTCTAAATTTACATTTACTACCAGTTCGCAAGTCAAGGGCGTAGAGCGGGCAAAAAGAGCTGACAAGAAACTCTCCGCCACTCTTGTCCGCCAATATTTTGAAAGTCAGAAAAATCGGTAAATTTAACGAAATATCGTACAACTAACTTTTTCACATAGTTTATTTGTATATACCACCCATAGATAAGATATACCTAGAATGCTATTAATATTTTGCATTAATAGCATTATAACATTATTAAGTTAATTTATCTATGATCCTTAGTCTATGGTAGAAGTTTGTGTCAGTGGTCTGTGCATAGACATAGCACTTCAGTATAATTGTAATCTAATTCAGTAAGCGCCGGGTGTTTTCTTTTATTAGGATATTAATTGTATATAATTATAATATTTGGATTTACACATTGATATACAAAAAACCCAAGATGCACAGTCTCGAATAAAAGTAACGCTCGAAAGTGTCCCGAAACACTATTTCTGTCCATAACAGTATATGTTACAAGCATATATTATTGCAAAATCAACCTTACGCGAATTGCTTAAAGTTGTTATTACAACGCAGTGTATACTTTTAGGACCGACCGTGGTCGGTAGGACAAGGTATTGAGTGGAGTCGAACATGACTTTTTTATTTACAACTATTTAACATAATTTTAAATTTATCCGACTTTTCGGGTGCTTTACAGCGTGAGTGGTCACGGTGACTGAAGACAAAAGGTGTTGGATGTTAAATAGTTGTAAATTTATAATAATACATAACATTAATCCGGTTAAAAAGTTTTTTCTTTAAATTAAAAAAAAATGTTAAATTGGCTACCTCCTGACCCACACTTTATATAGCGTAAATATATTTGTCAAAAACTACACACAAAAAAGTTCAAGAGTACATAAATTTATTTATAAAAAAAACACAAATAAATACTATATATAAATAAATACTATATTTCAAATAGTCTCGCGTCTATAAACACTTATAGACGCGAGCCTATTTGAAATGAGCGCACAATTTAGAATGTTGCGCTCATTTTTTGAGGACGTTTTTTAGACGTTGATTGTGCATCTTGGGTTTTTGTATATCAAAGGATTTACAAGATTAAATGCTTACTACAATACATTGGAAAGTCAAAATATTTAAAAAGAGACTAGTTTCCTTCCAAAAGTTCCATACGGAAAAGAATGTGTAAGAAACTACATCGATAATTATATGTGAAGACCATTTACCTAGAATAAAAAAAACTACTATACTAAAATAAAATAGGCGCATAAAAAATAAAAAAAACAATGCCGCAGATAACTATCAATTAATATATATAAAATTTAAACTGGTTAATATTTATTACCTGGTAAAATTTCATTATTAGGATTATGTAAACCCAGTAGTTTGTTGAACACTTCCTTTACGACATTCGGGTTCAATTTGACAAGCTTCGGTAGAGCTGCGAGGATCTAAAAATTTCATAATCTAATTTAGTTCATTGTTATTCCTATAACCAGTCATCTTTACAATACAAATATTCTAAATACACAGTTAAACACAGACATTTAACACATATTATGAATAACAGATATTAATAAAAAAATACTTCCTTATCAATGTGCAACACACGTTTTATCACTTTTCTTTATAGAACAAAGGGTAAACGGGCAGGAGGCTCACATGATGTTAAGTGATACCACCGCCCATGAGCACTCATGCGTAACTTACTATTTAATACGATGTATTATTACAAAATTTATTTATTTATTATATACATGATCTTAAATAGAAAGAAGTTGGTGTGGTGGAAACACAAACCGGACACAGTTTTTCTGTGCACCAGGACGTCGAACATATTTAAATAATTAACTTATTAATACTTAGGCCAGTGACATACTATACAATATAACATTTTTACCATTAAACCATCAAAATTGCACGAACAACGTAATAAACCAATTGAAACATTGACGCCCCACAGTTAGCCGATGCAAGAAACCTGTTCTTGACGAGAATTCTCATTGGAATACAGGATGTGTTCCAATATTCGAATATGAATTAAATGACGATGTCTGATTTTTTGTTATGCATAATTTGTAATTGTTTGATTTATGAAGTAATTTTTTAATTTAAATTTAATAATGTGCGTTTTTCTACCCTGAGGTACAACCCCCAATAATGAAACTAATAAGCTATTTATAGCTCTTGCTTTTTTATATTTTAGTAACATATTATTACTATCAACGCCATCTAGTGTACATATAGTTCAACTAATGTTTCAAGGTAAAAAAACTGATTCTGTCAAATCCAAAATTGTCCGATTGTTAAACAAAAAATACGAAACAGAAAACATAAGTCAATTAAGTACATTACTTTAAAAAAAACAAAACTGAAAACAAACGACAAATTTATATTTTTAAAAAAATGCAACTTTTGCTAAAAAGTCAAAATCTTCTAGCTTTCTTAAATATTTCCTCATAGGGTTATGGTAAGAGAACTACACATAAAGCTTTTTTATTTTCTTTTTAATGAATTACGTACCTCTCGTTTAGACAATCCGTTAAGTATAGGAATCAGGAAACGGACATCAGACACTCGAGTTGCATACAGCTCGCGAACACGAGAGACCAGCTCCGGGGTCGGAGGCGCTGAAATTTATTAAGAAATGAATATTATTAGGTACCTTAAATCTATATCTATGCGTCGTGTAACGATAAAAATATTTATTTATCTATTTCTTAACAATTATTCTTATTGAAGTTATACTTCTTTAGGCGCGTTATGAAAAATTTATGAGAGTGAAATTTTACGATGCGCGCGCACCTGTGACACAAAATTGGGAGTGTGATTATAGCGTGCGCGAGCGAGATAGGAATAAGACAATCTACAAGTAAAAAGAAATAGAATATGCGTGAAGTTCGTATGCCAAGAATTTTGAATGATCATAATGACATTTGTCATTTACCTTTTAAACAAATAAAGGAGTTTTAATTACGTATTGACTATAATCACTCCTTTTTCAGTCTTTGATTATTTAATTGTAATTATTAATTATTTGCATGCAATCAAAAACTATTTTTAATAATGCCAAAGAAGTATAACTTCTTACGCGCGTACATAAGTACACGCACCCTTTTTTTTTTTATTTACTATACTTTTACACAAGACTTCATTACATACACTGCTAATTTTTACTATTATTATTTTTTCTACTTAGTATCATTATTACATTTTTTTTGCTTTTTTGCGACTGAGGCGCAAACTAGCTGTTGTGGTCTCTGGCAGAATGACCAGCGGTGTGGAACAGTCTGCTCCTCAGCATAATGCTGAGCCAGGGCTAATTACAGCCACAGCACACACGCATTACACACTTAAAACGTAAGGTACGTTTTCAGTGTGTAAGGTCTTTAACAAAAAAAGTCATTCTTTTTTTTATTATTATTTTTTTGTGTTTCGTAAGTAATAAATCTTGTGTCTATGTCTATAGACCTTGGTTCTTTCAAAAAGGGAATGAAACCGTGACAATGAACACAAGATATTTAATCTTAGGTAATTTTTTCAAAGGAAACATCACCTCTCTATAGCAAATACCTTAAGAAAAATTGTATTTGAATGAAATTATTAATAAACAATTTATTATTAATATCAATTGATTGTAATCATTTAATTCATGGAAGTACCAAATTCTATTTCAGACGTAACAAAAACCATTTTGTTTTAGAGAGTAAGATAAATTATTAGCTCGTTACTGTCTGCCCCATGCCCCATTTATCTCAATCATACACATTTTTACCTTTATCTGTAAGTATATGGACCAGCCTCGTCAAAAGCGTCTCAGCCCCTCGGGGACAATCCTGTAAGAGTATTTGAAAAGCCGGCGGGACCGTCCCAGGGGCCGATGCCGCTACGGCCCTTAATGGGCCCTCAATGGCCCTAAGAACACAACGCTTGGCCTCGGAACCCGCGCAACCATAGACACGAGCCACGTCTATTATAAAGTCTGGAATAAAATGAAACGTAGAATTGTATTTGTATTACATTTCTTTACTGTATGGGATAAATTTATAGTTTCCCTGGAATATTTTAGTTTTAGTCTATAGGTTCAAAATAATTAATTTTATATATGTATATATATATATATATATGATGTTTTTCTTTTCATTTTGTTTGAAATAAGATCGCTATTCGTCTCGCATTTGTAAATATAAAGGAAAAATTTATTGATACACTTTTTTAATTAATTTTTGATGTAAAACATATATATGGCATTTAAAACTGAATTTGAACTTGAATTTTCAACATTTTATGGTATAACTTTAATATTCCATTTTTTATAATCCAAACGATTTGACTACTGTGTCAAATATAGAAAAAAAAAACTTGGAATTCCTATGCATTTAACCAACATTATAAAAAGAGAAGAGATTAAAAATCTTTATAATCAAACCATGAGGTCAGGTTTTTTTTTTATGTAATAGGAGGCAAACGGGCAGGAGGCTCACCTGATGTTAAGTGATACCGCCCATGGACACTCGCAAGTGCGTTGCCGGCCTTTCAAGAATTGGTACGCTCTTACGTACGCTTTATTTGTCGGTTTCATGTTCTATATTTCTTATAAAAATAATTTAATAAATTACTATGAAATTCTACTGTTTCGAGAAACTCCCGTTACCTCCTCCCGAAACTCTAGGTTCTACTCCAATAACCACTTTTCACTTCTATCTTTTTTATCATTATCTGTCAATGTCCTACCACTCACCGTCGTTCTCCATAAATAGAGCCATTACCAAATTCAAGCAGATCTTGTATAAGTCATCAGACCACACCCTGATATTATGCCTTGAACTCATCAACTCTGTGGGTGGGTTATCGAGGGCGATAAACCCCAAATATAACAACGAATGCTTTTCTATCACTTTTTTGACCGCATCTGATCCATTTTTGAATATTTTAACTGTTGATTTTATTGCTATGTCGCGGATTTCCGGAATTTCGTTCACTGAAAAAAATTTATATTAATTGGAATAATCAGGTGTATTTTTCTAGTTTTAGGACGAACTTTAATTATTACGACATTATGATAATTAATATGACATTTTCATGCGTATTTTGATACGGCTGATTGTGTAGTTTTTTTTTAAATTAATCAATCTGAATGTACCACTATCTTTCCAAATAAACGATTTACTTATTATAAAAAATGGTGCGAATACATTCGAATACTATTCGTGTACTAAACTTTTACTAATTTTTTTTCTACTAAGTTAAATTCCTTTACTTTCTTTTATTGCGACTGAGGCACAAACTAGCTGCCGTGGTCTCTGGCAGAATGACCAGCGCTAATGCTAATGCTGAGCCAGGGCCATTTACAGCCACAGCACACACGCATTACAAAATTGATTATTATTATTATTATTATTATTATTATTATTATTATTATTATTATAGAAACGAACCGAATGGAAAAAAGTTTTTTTAAATATATCTCTCATTATATATTTTTATTTAATTTTTTTGTCTTTGATTCTTGTTATTTTGTGTGTTTATGTGTGTGTATTTTTGTTTGTAATAAATGATATATCTATGTCTAAACTATACGAAATGTGTCGAACGGTATATAAGGGTTAATTAAGTAAAATAAACTTACACGCCTGAGACACTAAAGCTGGAATATACTTATGCGCTCTGGGCGGTCGCATCGTACACAACTCCTCAAGCAATTCAAGCGCTAACAACGATTTCTCTTCAACCACCAAATGCTTCAAATAATCCAGCGCTTCTGGGGTTATTACTGGTGCCTCACAATAAATCTTCCTTAACAACACTTCTTTACTATTCTCCATCAACGGATCTCCCCTTTCACAGATCTGAGTGACCATCGCGCAAAGCAACTGGTTATAATTCTGGTCGGGCTTTTCGTTTACCTTCTGTAATGTCACCGGGTGACGATTGAAGCCCTGCATATACGCGTATTCCTCATACAACCACGCTAAAGCCAAGTCGATTCGGTTGATCGGATCTTCCAACACGTAGTTTAGAACTAAATCCCGAATTTCTGGTGTATAGCTTGACGCGAAAATCGTTATAAACTTCGCCCGGATTTGTGCAGCGCCGCCAATCGCTGCTTCTTTTTCTGCGTTCAGAATACGTTGGACCGCCTGTAGCATCAGTCGTTCTTTGATCTCTTTTGGTATTGGTCGTGTTATCTCATGCAGCTTTAATAATTTTACTTTCTGTTTCAACTTTGGAATGGCCGGCAACTGTGGTACTTGTTTCTCTTTCTCTTTTGCCTTCCTTTCTTCTTCTTTCAAGTACTCCTGCCGTTTTTCCTCCATTAGTTTAGAGACAGCGTTTTCTACTTGAAGATCTTTTGTTGTTTCTTGTAATTTCGCAACTGCGTTCTTTAGAGTAATTTTTTCATCATCTTCAGATAGCAAAGGTATTTTTGTAACTATCGTTGGGGCGGGTAGGGGCATTTCGGATTCACCTTTGACGACTGAGTGTACCATTTTGGCCAAGCTACGAATCTGTGTCTTTGTACCAGCATTAGGTATTGGTTGATAGTTGTTGATAAAGTTGCTGGGCATTTCGTTTGGTAAATTGTTTAGGAGTGTTGACATGACAAGGTTCAAAACATTGTCTAAATTATTAAGCCCATCGAAAAGTGAGTCTTCATTAACGAGGTTGGTTTTCGGAGTTTGAATGCTGTCATCATCAAATCCCGTTCGGCTGTTACTATTACTATCACTTTCTTGGCTATTCGGAGGTGAATCCAAACGAGACCTTTTTGCTGGTGAATCACCATTTTTAGAATCGGTCGCTAAAGCCAATACACGTTTATGTCTCTTTTCTTTTGGAATGGCTTTATTTATCTCTTGTTGAGTCATTCCAATATCTGAGAGCAGTTGCATTAGTGCTGGAATCATGTCATTTGATGATGTATGCTTTACTAAATTGATTAGTTGTATTTTAAGATGTTTTCGCACAGAATTGACTTGTGATTGTGATAGCGTAGGGGGCAATGTTGTGTGTAAATCTCCCAATGCGTGGATTACTCTTGCTAAATATTTTGGTCTGAACTTTGCCAATGATATAAGAGTAGCCATACAGGCCATTAAGTTAACACTTGATATATGCTGGGAATTGTGAAATTTGATCAATAATTCAAATATATGTCTGAAAAAAAAATAATCATTTTAAATTTACAGATTTTTATTGTTTTCTTTATAAGCAGTGTTGGCTTCAGCATGCGACTCTCATCCCCGTGACCGTAGGAGGACCAACGGAACAAGGGACTTTCTTGTTGATGTGCGCATTTTACACGCTTTTATGGTAAAGTCGACGGAGTGTGTCGGGCACAACAGGCTGATCACCTACTTGCTTGCTTAGTAACAAATGATCACAAAACATATACAGAAATCTAAGTTTGAAACCTAAAAAAAGTAGGGCTTTTCCATAGTCATTCGTTATTATGCTTCAAGATTTTTAGATATTACGGCTAAACAGATTTTGATGGATTGATAATTAGACATGAAGACTATATGGTATGTTATACACTCAACACCTGCCATTTTAAATCAAGATAAATTGGTTACAAAGTTGAAGATGATGTCCAAAATATAAAAAGGTGGCCCTTACTAGGCCTTTAGGTACATATAAGATTAGGAAGATATTTCTCATTATATCTGTAATTTAAATTTAAGCAGTCCCTTACAAAGAAAGATGTTAGCATCACTAATGGACTATATAAAAAAACCAGTCTTACTCTTGGGCCCAGATTTCTTTATAATTTTTTTATTATTAAATAGATAAGTAGGTGGTCAGAGGCAATAGTATGAGGGTTTCGTTACAGTGTTTTCCACATAAGGGAGTGTAACGGAAACAAAAAAATCTATTGGTTCACACATGACCCTTAGAGACAGTTGTCATGCCACTAGACCAACACTGATTACATAAAAAATAGCAGTTATAATTATCAGTAATAAAAAAACTTACTCAGCTTCCTCTTCTAAAGCCGCATGGTTGATGAATGTTAATGAATTTGGAATATTATCAATACTAAAATCTGAGCTGTTGTTAGCTGTTTGCAATAACACTACCTCCTCGAGAAATTTGATTGCATGTGTTCTTATACCTTCATTTTCACTATCTATCATATTCAGGATTTGTAACTGGAAAAAAATAAAAAAGGTAGGTTTGTTAAGCAAGAAGCTAGGACGATGAGCTATTGGTGCTTGTTAATGCCACCGACACAGATGATATAAGGCTCCATGGGTGTGCTTAGTTGTCTCATATAAAAAAAATTTATACTTACATATAGATAAATACAGAATAATTTGCTACAGGTACAATATAATAAAAATTAAAGATATATGTATGATTTAAAAAAATAAGCCAAGAGCCAAACACACATCTATTTTGTATTAAAAAAATAGATTCAGTAATTTTGAAATATAATGTATATGTTTAATACCTATGCATACTGTGATGTTAATAACATTGACATACTTTTGTATATATGGAATATAACAATTTATAAATAAAATAAATATCAACCTCTTTACTGAGACTAAAGCAATCTCATAGCAAGAAATGTTATTCATATTAGTGATTTTTTAATGATTACAGACAAAAAAATTGATTCATTATTATTATTTGGGTATATAATTTTTATGAGATCTATTATAAGATGACAAATATGTTTTTATGTACACAAAAACTTCAAGAATCAAAAGCTGTCTTGTGTAAATTCTATTTTTATTCTTACATGAACCATAACATATTTAGTTAATATAAGGAAATAAAGTCAATTTGTTTACCTTAGTCTTAGTAATGTGTTCCCAAACATGCTTCATTTCCGCTACGCTTTCGTCCTTACTTATCCATGTGAGTACATTTTTGTAAATGACACCGGCAGCTTGTATAGCTCTCTTCTGTACAGCCACAACAGTGTCAATAACCAATAATTGCAATTGGCTAATGACTTTTGGCAAGGTATAAGGAAAGTTTGTGCTGAAATCCAGGTTAGATATATTTTTCTAATTAAATCTTCTTCAAGATTATATTTAAAAAAAAACTTTAAATTATCAAAGTATTTACATAACTTAACATTTCAAGTGTTTTTAAGCAATTGTGATCAGTAAGGGTTTAAATAAGTGTTATAACTGATTACTATAATTATTATTTAAGTACTTGTATAACTATTAATATATTTTCTGTTCACAAAGACATTCTATACAAATAGCATCATGAAATATATTAGTGATCCTTAACTGTTTTGGTTCATACAGGATTGTAATGGCATGAACAATAAATGGCAGACAGAAGACTTAGCACTGCATATAACTCCCATATTATGTCATAATTATATTGGATTTTGAATTACAGCAGTAGTTAGTTTATAATAAGTCTATGTTTATGTAATATTTTATTACTTGCACAACACTTAGCTCTAGCTTACATACATTATGGCAGTTTTTTGTATACTAAAAGTCCCTTCACAGTTTGAATAAGATAAGGAAGCAACTAACCTTAACTCTTCAATAAAGCCTATTACGATTTTTCGTATGTCTGTAGACTTATCATTTACAAAACTTAATACATTTTCCATGTACATAGGTATCATGGCAGAGAGCTGATGCGTGAGCACCTCCACGATTCTTCGCAAAAAACCTGCTCTCTTACCACCTTCTGACATCCCTGCCTCGTTTATCCATTGTATTAGCTGTAAAGGTACAGGGAAATAAAAAGCATTTTCAAATAAAACCAATTTAATCGTAAGATCACAAATAATTTACAATAACGAACCTGTTTTTCAGCGTTTATATTAGTGCTTGGTTTAGACATTGCTGCTTGATACCTAATCAATTTACTCAAAACACATTTTTATTCTTAAAGATACAATAAACAACGATTTTTATTGTTTCAAAATAAACAGCGTTTCCAGAAGTATATAGGTATTCATTGAATTCTAAAAAATAAAAACGCGTTTACTTTGAGCATTCGTTGCTTTTGGACTTTGGCAATTGACATTCACATTTCACTTCTCACTTTTTGATGACAACTGACGGTTGTCATTGACGATTGTTAGGCAATCGCAGTCGTAAGCCACAGAACAATACAGAACTTAAAAAAGTCACATTTCAGAGATAAAGTTATTAAAACACATTAACGTTGACTAGACGTGTTGTTATTGGTAGTCAAGTTGAACTGATATTTTAATTTTGTAAGATCATAAAATTAACAGGAGTTGTCCGAGTTTTCATGAACCCCACTACTGGTTTACGATTTTTTTAAAGTTATAATATACAACCATTAAAGTTTGGGTGTAAGATTGTATCTGTATCTGTTTCGTTGTCTTTTCTTATTTCTAATAGGCAATTAAGTTTTATCCCTGTGTGCGTTAGGCACAAAACGCTGTCGTCAATTTTTAAGGGTCCAAGGCATGCCAGTTTATTTATGATGTTTAACGTCGTCGTAAGTACGAGTGTTAAATGGTGCACATTTAATAGATTTATAGACAAAATCCATTTGGTACAGAGCCGGGGATCGAACCTACGACCTCAGAGATGAGGGTCGCACGCTGAAGTCACCAAGCCAACACTGATCTTTTTAAAACTTTACATTGTCAGTTAGACAATGTCACTATTTTAGTAGTTAGTGTAACTACATTATATTATAATAAAAAGAAACAAATTTTAAAAAGAATGTAATTATTATGTAACTTTAAATTCCTACTTAAATAAAAAAAACTGTTCACTATAATAATATCGAACAAAATTACATAATATGTAAAACACACAAGACGTTTCTAATTAAGTATGTAAACATTAAAATAATATATCGACTAGTCATGGCTACTCAATACAAAAATGTAAAATTAATGCAGTAATGTAGTAAAAATTTACTTGGTAATAAGTGGTTTTCAAGAATTTTATTAAATGCATGTGTACTATAATTAAGTAATACCTTCGTTCCTACCTGGAACTCCAATACAATTGAATTTATCTCTTAGTTAAAACAAAATATACTACAACTAATAAAATTCGACATAGTGGTTTCATGATGCGCACAAGGCAATTATAAAATTTATTTTGACCAAAGACTATTATAGTAAATCGAACTAATGTTTTTAATTCGTTATTATAAGCTAAAGTTCTTCACGCATACAAATGAGATGCTCTCGGTGGATTGTAGAGACTTTCCATTTCGATCACTGGTGGTTTATTTGCTTCTTCAAGGTCTAGATAATGACTCCGTACCATTATGAGGCAATAGAGAACTATAACTGTAAACCAAACATATAAATTTAAATAATATTATTAAATTTAAATTTTATTTTAATAGATTAAAATAAGATTAAAAAATTGGTAAATAGACTATCTATAGTAGGATTAGGATTAGGATTCATTCATCAGACAACATAATCACATACTAAGGCACTCTGTGGCAGATAAATTTCTGACACAAGTGAAACAGTTAACGAGAGTCGAAAATCTGTCAGCTGCGTAAAGCGCGCGAAAGCCCACTAGCGACATATTGTAAGATCACAAAATGACCACTAAGTTAAGATCTGTGCAAAATGGAGCAAGATTTGACACTGATCAGTCTAAATCAGTGTTTCCCAATGTGGGGCCTACGCCCCTCAGGGGAGCAATTTGATGGTAAAAGGGGGCAATCGAAATCGGCCGGATATAACACAACGTGAAGACTTGAGACTGAAACTAACCAAATTGGAACATAATACAAAATATCTGTGCAGGAAGCATCTCACTAAATTAATATATACATAATAATGTTTATTAAAATTATTTGGAATTAGAATTTCAGTTTTCACTATATGTTTTGAAAATATACTTACTGTATAGTTTATATTAAATTAGAATTTTAGGAAAGCTAAGGTGGGGCTAAGCTAAGACTAAGGTTGGTCGTTGGTCTAAATAATCAATTAAATAAATGTAGCCGTTTAAAAAAATTGCAACGTTGAAAAATGGCTTCGGCCATTTGCTAATTTAATTGTCCCACGAAATCATGTCATTTACTCGATAGACAATATTAAGCATGAAACGGTTTTTGCATCTATTAGATTCATACTTACCACTCCATTTTAATAATGCAATTGTGACAATAAAGTGCAAGAACACAGTGGACAAGACAACTGTAGCGAGCGCCAATAGAAGAAGAAATAGTCCAGCTTTGAAATAGTCTCTCATATATTTTGTATTTGCCTGAAATGTAAGAACATAATATTTAAGTATGTGTGGGTATTATTGAATTTTGTAGCTCGATCGTAGATTTTTTATTAAGGAATCTTTGTCATTGGTTGCCACATACATATTATATAAGATTATTAATAATATAACATAATGTTGGTTAATCATTTATCGCTTAAAATATAAGCATCTTTTAATTGGCTATTTATTTAAACAAACGAGCCTACAGGACAGCCGTTATAGCTGCCCATGAATACCCATTGTATTAGTGGGTCCGTTGCCGGCCCATGGGATTTTTTTATAGAACGGGGCAAACGGGCAGGAGGCTGACCGAGGCTAAGCGGCGGCCCATGGACTCAATGCCAGGGGGCTCGCGAGTGCGTTGCCGGCCTTTTAAGGATTAAGGGCCACGACATGTTTTATAGGTATTAAAAACGTACCTTATGCAAACCAACGATGAGCATTAGACTTATTAATAAATTGTATAAAAACACAATTATAAGATAAGCATGTGCAATATATAAACTGGTAGCCACTTCATGGACATCTTCTGGCTTTTCTACCTTCGTCTCAGTAATTGTATCATTTATCGTATGATCAACGTAATATATAACATTGTATAGTGATAGAGAAATTAGTGTTAAAGCCAATGTGGAGAATACCTGTAAAAACATATAGGTCATATTTTTTATTTAAAACTAGCTGGCCTGGCGAACATCGTACCGCCTAACAGTCGATTCTTTATTTTTTTTTTAATACTTATTCTGCTATTTGGGTCACCGGTCTATAGCTAGTAAGATAAAAAAAAGAAAGTTGATTAGACAACAAATACATTATGTCAAAAAATAAAAATTTACCTTCTTGGAACCCCTCCACTAACACTTGAACTTTATGATATGGTATTAATTGCCTTTAAATATTATTACGAATATTTTGTATGGGATTATAGAAAAGTGTTGTTTTTAGACTTTTTCACTCATTTTTTTTAAATTTTTCTCTCCGTAAGAACTATCCTCGTACTTCAAGGAATATTATAAAAAAAGAATCAGACAAATCGGTCAAGCCGTTTTCATGTTATGTCTTGACAACGGAAAACGGGTTTCATTTTTATATAGGTATATAGATTCATACACTATCATTACTGACTAAAATACATTACATCGTAGCGTGTAGGACTTTTAACATAGGTTCTGCAATTAATTTTATATCGAACGGGGCATGGAGAGTTAAGTTATACGCTCATGGGCTGTAAAGTACCCTCTTTTCTTGAAGGACCACCTGACAGACACGGTTGTTATCTAAACGGTTCAACTCAGTTATAAAAAATACCGATTAGTTAACTAATTTAACGATTAAAGGAAAGACATTTAAGTAATGGTCTACGGTCAATTTATTTACGTCTTTTGACGTGACAACGTCTTATAATTCGATGGAGCCGGCTGCACACACGAAAAAACATGACTCATGCGGCGTTACCTCGCTCTGAGGCGTTCCATTTAAGGCTAGAAGTGCAAGCGAGAGTGTGGAACGAGCGACAAAGAGGCACGATCGGCCTCCGCGTTCGGCAGCGTTCGACATCTGTCATTCTCCTACTTAAGTGAACGATGCGTCCACGTGGAGAGCTGCTCTACAAAAATACATTTACATGTTTTTGTCAAGTATGAAGTGCAGTGTTTTCAGTATTTTCTTATGAAGTTGTCACGTTCAACTATCGTCAGTAAACCGACTTTACAGACAACCGATGTTTTTTTATATAATATAACAAGTCTGTGGGACGCCCAAAAAGGGCAGTCATCGCAGCCCATAGACACCCATTTTAGTGGGTGCGTTGCCGGCCTTTGAGGAAGGAGTACAATCGAATTTTGAATGGTTGGAGGTCGTATCTCTCAGGGAAGACCCCCGAGAGATTCCACAATTCGCTAGTTCGCAAAAGAAAATGCCTTGTGAAACGGACTGTGAAAGACTTCCAGCCTTCAAGACAGTGGCATAACTATACCATCTGGGGCCCTATCAGTAAAAATCGTCCCTACTTAGTTTTAATAAACTTCGAGATTTTCAGCGTACCCAATTACACGTTGTTTATGTCCCACTAATGGCCATAGGCCTCCTCTCTTATTAACATAATAAGGGCAGGGGCCTTCTTGGGTCGGGGCATTTTGCCAGCCCTGCCACCCTTTTGTTACGCCACTGCTTCAAGGTGATGTTGATGAAATTAGAATCTTTATTTAAGGTTGCTTCAGTAACTCGGAATGTACGATTCCAAGACCTTTTTTAGGTTTAAATCTATTGAGAACTTATTTTAATTTTTCCTGATCGGTTTAAGTAAGGGATCCCCATAAACCTCTCTACTCTAAAAATTATACAAAAGTATTGTACTTACAGCTGAAACATAACCAATCAAAAATGACCCTGTCCTTAGCGACACACAACACAAACATTTCTTAAAAGTCGGCAGCATAAACCCCATTTTACACTTTTAACGAACGTCTATGACTAAGCATAGTTCACATAACCTATTTGTGTGCATTATCAAGGTATCGTTATCAGGATATGATAAGCCTCGAACATATTTTTCGTAGGGTATTTTTTTATTGACTGTTATGACCTGCAATGGAATTATTAATTCAGGGATTTTTATTCGGGCTTTTAAAACGAAGAGTTATTTGGTGTACCACTTTAATAAAGTAGTACGTACGATCTGTTCTAAAACATGACAATAACAATTAACATAAAATAAAAAATAAAAATATTAGACTTCTGTAGTACCAATTCTGATCCATAGATGGCACCACTTGGTCAATAGAACGCGGTATCGAAGTGTCCTCTAGAAAACATAACATCCGATTGAACATTCTGTGTAGTAAATCCTGTCAAGTAGTGTACGTTAAACATCGATAGTTTGGTAATCCGATAGTATCGAGAGTTTTACTAAAAGCTATCGATAGTATCGATAGTCTATCGATAGTTTAAAAGATTGTAGGATTAGCGTAACATCAATAAAATAACAAATGTTATACGAAACGAAGAGTTTTATTTTCTATTAAATTTGAAATAACAATAAAAAAAAATCAGCATTCATCATTATTAAGGAAACAAATCAAACATTAAAATAGTTACTATTTTGTTTTATAAACAACAATTCGTTTAACCTTTTTTCTTTTAATCTATTTCTCCGTTCGGTTAAGATTTGTCCGGCCTTCGAAAAAATCCGTTCCGAAGGCACAGAAGATGCTGGAATACACAGATAGAGCATCGCTAATTCCTTTAATTTATTGTTAGTGTATCTCCAGTATGTTATAGGACACTCTTTCCTGTCAATTACTGGCTTCTCCAGATATTGCCTGACATCTAACAATGAGTTACTTAAAGGGGTCGATACGTCTGGAACGTCTAGGAACTCCAACAGGTCACCAGGTGTTCCTGAAGACGTGGATGGTGTTGGTTGTTGCGTTTCTTCAGCCAAGCGTTCTTTAGATAAATGGCTAGCATAGGCCTTTTCTAGCCACTGAACAGCTCGCTTCTCTTCGTCACTTGTTTTGAACCCCTTCTTCTTAAATCGGGGGTCCAATATTGTAGCCAGTACAACAGGTGTCCTGTTTTCATACGGACTTAGTCTTTTGTCAACTGATGCCTTCACGCAGAGTAATATTTTCTTTCCGCTTTCAGTAACAATTTGAGATTCAACTTCTGCCAATTTCGTTTTTATTCCACGAATCAATCGTATTACCAGTGACAATGTTATATAGCTTTCTCCGGAAATTTTTGTCGTAGCTAGATCGAAAGGTTCCAGAATCTGAATTGTTTCTTGAATAATTAGGTATTCGTCAGCATTGACTCCTGGTGGAGCCCGATTACATTCATTAAGTGCGAGAGTTAATTCTGTCTTCATTGTAACAAGTCTCTGCAGCATGTGATATGCACTGTTCCAGCGGGTAGGCACTTCCTGGATCACTCTCAGTTCTGCTTTATTTAATTCACGTTGAATAGCTCGTAATTTATCGCTAGCTAGAGTACTCATCTTGAAAAATGTCACAATCAATTTACATTTTTTCAGAATCTGGTCTAAGCAGGTCACAGCAAACGAATCAGTCACCGTCAGGTTAAGTGTGTGTGCGAAGCAGGGTATATGTCGCAGGTGCAGTTTAACTGCGGCGTTAATCATGGTTTGAGCGTTATCAGTTGTTATTGCTTCACATTTTGACCTGACACCCCATTTTGAAAGAGTAGCATCCAACACCTGAAAACAATAATAACAGTTTATGTCCGATGATAAAGAAACACTGAATTGGTAGGTATCAAGGCAATGAAAATTAAAAATATTTACACTGGCTATATTTTCTGCGTTGTGACTTCCTTCCATCATCACGACTTCCAATAATGGTGCAATTAATTTTTCGTTGTGAAAGAAATGACAAGTAACTGAAAGGATGCCTTCATTTGCAATTGATGTCCATAAATCAGTAGTCACACTAACATGTTCTGCTTTCGATAATGCTATGACGAGCTCCTGTTTCACGTTTTCATAATATTCCGGCAGCAATTTCTTCTTCAATTTTGTTGTATCAGGAATTTCATATCTACTATCGAGAGCATTTACAAAGTCCCGAAATCCTTCATGTTCTCCTTTTCGCAGAGGTTCCATGTCAACAGCAATCATGCGCACGTATTTGTTATCCAAATTTTTCTTTGTTTTCCCATCTGGATATTTACTACTTCTATCATAATAATTTTTTAACGTATTTCTCTTTTTAGGGGTTGGGCCCATTTGCTCATTTTGCTCAGTGGTATCTACGTCTTGAGTAACAGAAACATTGGATGACCATACCTCATTATGTTTTCTCTTCATATGATCAATCAAGTTCGTAGTATTTCCACTTAGTTTATACTCTCTTTTACACAAAGAACACTTTGCAAACTTTTCATTAGTCTTTTTGAAGAATTCCCACGCACGTGACTTGCTACTCATTTTTTATTGTTACTCCACTCCACTCAACTTCAAACATCCACAATAAAATAACTGACTGTCTTTTGTCTTGTAATTGAATGATATACGCACGGTAATTCTCCTACCATAGAGAATAATCTCAATGTCTACACCTTTGAATGAATGAAATACGCACGGTAATTCCCCTACCATAGAGAACAATCTTAATTTCTACGCTTTTGTCACTTTGGCCGGGGAATAACCTACATACATGCATACCTAGACTCTAGAGATGTATACGTAATACTTGAGTAAACAATCGATCGATTGTTTTAAAAACTATCGATAGTATCGATAGCCATTTACTATCGATACTATCGATAGTCTATCGATGTTTAACGTAACTCCTGTCAGGCACTTTTTAATACTAGAGAGCATTAAAGCCTTTTATTATTGAACTACGGTCACGACTCACGGTGTCTCGTTCAAATCGCCTGCCGCCAGTCGCTAGTCGCGCCTTACCAAGAAAGTTCCCAATAACTTTCTTGGTAAAGTGCAACAAGTTAAATATATATAGTTATAAAAAATCGATTATGATTGATTTTCAAATATAAAAATAATCGATTATTTTAAATATAAAAATCGCGTAAAAAAATCGACTAAACTAAAATCGATTTTTTTAATAATCGATTATTTTTTCACATCCCTAGTTAGAACTATGAAATAAGAACTAAGAAGTTACAAGACTACGAAGTACGAATTCTTCTTATAGTCTTCAGTCTTGTGTAGGGATGTGAATTTGTGACATTCTGCCTAAAAAATCGATTAATTATTAGTAGATTTTTTCCTAATTGAATTCATTTCTAAATAAACACCTGAAATATTTTATTTTTCATGGTTTAATTAATTAAAAATAAATAATAGAAATTATAAACACAAATTAACGCTTAAGAATAATCAAAATCGAAATCAACCTAATCTCGTTTTGATAGGTTTTAGGTGAAATTATGATAGATGCTGAGTGTATTCCTTTTCAGTAGCACATTGCGGTATTTTTGTTGTCTTTTTTATTGTATGTAACCTTGTGCTGCTGGATAAATTTATATTACTTTTAAATTAGGTATAGTATTCCATTCAAACTTGAGTTTTTGTAAAATTAACTGGTTTTATCATCCTTTCGATGTTTTATAAAAAAACATAAATGCATCGAGTATATCAATACATCTTCAAAGCATCGGATCTATTCAATGTATCACATTATAAACATCGATGTACATATATCGAATATCCCTCATAGTTCGAGGTCCGGGTTATAAAAGACCAGACATAATGTCGGGAGGTGGCAGATGAAAAATCGACTATGATTGATTTTCAATTATAAAAATAATCGATTATTTTAAATATAAAAATCAAAATCGATTTTAATCGATTTTTTAAATAATCGATTATTTTTTCAGATCCCTAGTCTTGTGTAATTGACAATTGTACCGCGCTCCCTGTTTGTAAATATTAAAACTTCTTATCGTAATATAATCGTTTGCTTTCCGACGTGAAACCCTACTTTTAAAATAGACTACAAATTTTTGTTTATACTAGTTAAATTAACCTATTCAAAAATACTTATTTCCATTAAAATATTGAAGCTGGATTAGGCACTCACAAGACGGTTAACGACTTTTTTTTAAATTGATTACAACTTTGAGATTATATTACAGCACCAAAATAAATTATAAGCGGCTTTCGACATTTGAACCACCCCATTTCGACCCCTTCATCTTGGCAACTAACCCACAAACCTCTTCGCTCCCAGCGCAAATCGCTCACTAGAAAAATATAGAACAGTAACCTTACACCATTATTAAAAATCAAATTAGTATAAGTTATTCTGTCATCAAATGGGGTGGCGTACAAAGTCAAATTTATTTAAAAAATAATTACCCTCAATCACGTATTTTATCGGAGCCCTCTTCGAATTCCTTTTCTTCAGCTAAAGTATAATAATAGCTATAGACTATGATAAAGAAGTAGAACTCTAAGACTGAAAAAAAAATCAGCGTTTAACGTAGACGATTTGACATTTTCTTAAGCAGGTTCAGTAGAATTATTAACATACATATATACATTTAATGTTTTATCTAATACATAAAATTCTCGTGTCGCAAAGTTTGTTGTTAAACTCCTCCGAAACGGTTCGACCGATTCTCATGAAATTTTTTGTGCATATTGGGTATGTCTGAGAATAGACAACATCTATTTTTCATCCCCGTAAATGTTAAGGGTAGTCCACCCCTAAAGATTTTTTTAATTTTTTTGTGTTCTTATTTTTTTATGATACAGCATTAACTCAGCACTCCTCTACTATCAACCCCTATTTTTGTATTATAAATGATATAAATGGCAAAACGACGTTTGCCCGGTCAGCTAGTAGGGGAAGATCGTTACCCTTCGTACGCGGGGCACATTCATACAGTCGAAATAAAACTTGATCGAAACAAAGTACAGTCTTGTTTTTGTATGTGTGCATGAGTCGAGGTACGAACTATACATCAACGAAGTTTCGCGAAATTCGCACCGATGAGAGTGAAGTTACAGGCATGGACGTGTTTTCGCGCTCGGTAAGTAATTTTTTGATCAATGTTTTTGTCTCTTGTTACCGTAGATAAAATAAGTTTTCGTGTAGAGTATTCTATCAGTAACTAGCTAAATATACTTAGATACGTCTCCAATACTTAATTTATGACTTTTTCCTATTAATATTAAAATAAGTTATATTTTGTTGTTATTCAGTTAGTGGGGTACTTTCGGACAGCACTAGATGGGGCACATTTGAACGAATTGTACAACTAAATTTGTATGAAAATATTTTGTCGACACGAACTGTCATTTTCATACAAATTAAGTTTTCCACTTGCTACATACAAATAATAATAAGGCATCTTGACTAAACCCTCTGGTAGGTAGGAAAGATTGTGTTAGTGTGCTAATTGCTAATATTTGCATTAACTTTGTCCTGTGTTGCTATCATTGCTATCGTCGATGTATATTAATACCTATTTTTATTATCTTTATTAAGGTTGATTTTGATGCCTGTGAACCAGATGCTTTGAATAATTTACCAATCCATCAAATAGTAGTTCCTTCGAAGTCAGTTTTGACACCAGAAGCGTTTCGACTCTATCCGCATGTTGTAAGAAGTAATAAAACAAACAAAATGACGACGACGGCCAGGAAAACCACGAATTTATACTGCCACACCCGAAAATAAGAAGTGCTAATCCGCACCAAAGATTAAAAAATGTGATTCTAAATTTAAGATACCTAACTAATTAAATTTTGGTTTTCTTAAGAAAAGCTATGTAATTTTTGTTCACTATAATTAAAGTATTTTATTTTTGTTTAATAGAAGTTAAATCTTTATTTTTGTGTTTAATTTCATTGCTAATAAATGAATTTTGATTTATATGTGTTGTTTTAATCGCACGTACGGAACTACCCCACAGCGTACGAAGGTACCCTCAACACTGTACGAAGGTGCCCCGTTGATGGGGTAGATTCGTACGTTTTCCAGATTTAGTTTAAATCATAATTATGGTTGAACAATCAGATGAAATCATTTGTCATTTACTTATATGAATCTCAGATAGTTAGACTATAAATTTAAGCTTGCAGATGATCGATTCATGGAAAAATAAAATAATAAAAAAATTAAATGTGAAAACCGTACGAAGGGTCCCGACCTTCCCCTATAACATATATTGATTTTTTTATTACTAAAATAAATATTTTACACCAAAAAACTTGTACAGTCAAGATTCACCTATTTGTATAGATATTAAATGATGACGAACATTGTGTGGACTCCATGATTTATTATAGTCAAACCTGGATAAGTGAGAACTCAAGGGACCGCGATCTTATTTTCTCTTATAGAGTACTGGACTGTCTCACTTATAGAGGTCTATAAAACTTTAGAAAACAATAACAGACGCACTTTTGGTTTGAATTAATCCCTCTTAAATTTAAGAATGAGTCATAAATAGCAAAAGTTAAATGCGTTTAACTGTCGCTTATAGAGGTATACGCAAATATCAATATCACTTATTCACGCGTGAAAAATGACTGTCACTTCAGGTTTCATGTTTCTCATTTATAAAGGTTTTAGGGGGGCGAAATGACGGGGACCCGGTAAATACTCTCATTAATATACTTTTCTCACTTACCCAGTGGTCACTTACTCAGGTTTGACTGTATTTCCCAAATAAATAATTGTAAAAATTAACTCACCAACCAAAAACATCATTCCTAAATACCAGCCAATGAGAGGTCTGTTCGAGAAGCATACAATTGGTAAGAACACAACTTCGAATCCCCAAGTTATAATACGGCATATTAAATATTGCTTTAAACAACACAAGTCACCCTGAAATTTTAAAGCATTTAAAGGCGGGCGGGTATAATGTTACAATTACTAAAAAAAGTTAGATTAAAAGAAACGATTACTTCAGTCTATTTTTATAGAATACTAGCAGACCCGACAGACGTTGTGCATACAACTTAAATACAACATTTCGAATTTAAAAAAAAAATAGTTTTTTTTCTGTTTGTTGCGACTTGTTTTACCACAAAACAGGTTAAAATGATGAGATCCTATATCCGACTCCTGGTTCTAAGCTACCTCACCATTAGTTTTCAGCCAAATTAATTCAGCCGTTCTTGAGTTATAAATAGTGTAACGAACAACTGTGTTTTTTATTTATTTTATTTTATTATTATTTATTACTTAAGATGTCATGTGTAACATGGTGTAATGGTTGCAGCTCCTTACAAACGTTGTGTAAAACAAAGAACTTGGCGATTAAAAAGAGTGGCGGAGAGTTTTTGCCAGTTTTCTTCCGTTCTACGCCCTTGATTTGAGAACTGGCAGTAAATGTAAAATTAGAAGCATTTAATGTTGTTTAATAAAATATTTCTTTTTTGACGTTCATAAGTGTACATTGTTACCTACATGAATAAATTATTTTTGACTTTTCACTTTTAACACGACTTTCTTTTATATATATAGATTAGGGAAAGTGATAAAAGCTATTCAAATATCAAACCTTTAAGCGATTAGCAAACAGTAAATATTTAAGTTATTCTTAAGATTCCTTCTATTCTTATTCATTCTGAATTTCTAATGACCGGGCTCTAAGTAGATAAAGAAATGCTTTTACCAACTCAGAAGCTATAAGTTTCGTTGGAAATTTTTTTACTCAGGGATAATGTTGCATTTTTATTGATTTTTTTTAACCAGAGAAACAGTTTTTATACCTATTCTTATACTCAATACATATAATCAAAACTTACGGTAAATGATCCTACGCCCAAATGTATAGTAAACACCATCAGTACGAATTCAGTAAGCAACAAAATTACGAAAGAAAAGTACATAGTGTAATATGCAGTAATTTCTATGTCAACGAATATTGGCCTGATTGGAAATGGTTTCCCCACAACCAGTTCTAGTAAGGCAGTCATGAAGAAAAGCACGCAGAAAACTGAGCGAGCCTGAAATTCAATTCAAAAGTAATAATAATTATACAGCAACTCTAGTGATACAGATCGTGCCTGACGCATGCCATCGATTTTTGGATTTAAGACATGCTGGCTTATTACGCATATAGAAAGAGAATTCCATTGGTGCACAACCGTGTTTAGAACGCAAGAACCAGAGGGTCGCACGCTTTATCCAGACCAACATTTCTCACGGTTATATTTTTCACTATAATCCTTTACAAACGCCGTGATGCAACGCACCCCAATTGCATATCCATAATATTTTTGTCATGAGAACGTCACTATTGTAGACGGTGACACTCGTAAACAAATATTTTTGATTAGGCGTCCACGGTGGATGAATGTAGCGTTTTAAAATTGTACAATTTTTTTTCCCAGAGATATAAAATACTAACCATTGTCAAAAAGTAGGTAAGAATGCAGCCAGTTTTTAAGGGATAAAGAAGCAAAAATTTCTTTACTGTCGGAAGTATTATTTCTACGTTGAGACACATCACTGGAAAGCAAAGTAAATAAATATAAACCAAATTTGATATAATAAATTTACAGTAAGATATAATTATTGTTATTAATTATTAAATAAGTAGTATAGAAAACAGTTAGTTTTTGAGTTACAAATCAATTGAATTCGGTTCGATGGAATCAGATCTGGAGTGCGGAAGAGCGTTAGCCGTAAGGGTTATGCTGGCCTGGAGGTTTGCACGTAGCTCACCAGAAGTTGAATTGTGTTCGCGTATTGTCAGTCATTTTCTTCATGGGCCTCTTTTTACCCAGAAGGAGTTGAATACGCTCCGTAATCAGTATAACGCCTTTAGTACACCTACGCGTTCGTATGCGGCTGCGAGTCTTTGCGAAATAATTGCGGTAGCGAAATATCTGCGGAACATTAGTACACTGCAGTTTTTTCGCAAGGAAATGTCATTGTAGCTTTATTTCTTACCATCTATCCCCGTCTTTTCTTGAATTTTCCTCCATGCCACCTCTTTTTTGTATGCATTTTTGTAATTAAAATGCCCAACTAAATATAATTCGGGATAATTTCGAATCAAATTTAATAATAATTCAATATTTTCGGCTTCCATTGTGCGAAATTCTGTCCTCACTGACAGAACGCGTGGTGACGCATTGCGATGCGAAACTCCGCTAGCGAAACGGCTGCGTCTGTGTAACAGCCATTTCGCAGTTACTTGCGAAACAATACCGACAAGGACGCAACTATTTCACCTAGCTATATAATAGAGCGAGACAAAACACATGCGAAACGTTGCCATACAACTTACAGTTTTTTCGTCGTTTCGCTGCCGCATGCGATTGCGTAGGTGTACTAAAGGCGTTACAACACGTTCAGGCTTAAATTGCTCTTGCCGAGGTTCTGCAGTGCAGGTATGTTTGCCGAGACCCAAGCTGATGGTTTAAACATTCAGAGAAGGTGTTAGGCATAGAACCAATGGTATCCTGAATGTGTTGATCACAAAGAAGACATATCTTAACACGTTGGTATGCTGTCCTTGCTTCATTATATGAGTTTTTTTTGTTTTGTTTACTAACATAGCAACTAAGACAGAATTGTTACGAAAACTAAAACTAAATATGGATATAATCTGAAATAAATCAGGTATTATTATAATAAATTTCACTCCCGTGAGTCTAGGCCGGTAGAATATATTCATTTTGTGTAAATTACACATGTTTCAGCCGAGCATGGACGAGGCATGAATAAATTTATTAAATGTGTGTGTGTGTCGGGAACAACTATTAAAAAATCTTTTTCTACTGCTTACCTCTAACGCAAAGCTCTTATTTAGGGGTAAAAGACACGTAAATTATAACATTGTTTAGATATTTTAGGATATTTGCAAAATATTATAAAAATTAAATGTCAAAGGTTATTGACATGAACTGATATGACATCTGAACAAGTGGCGCCGTCTGTCTTTGGTGCTACTTCGGCGATAGGTACGCACTATGTCGACGATTTCCAATGTACTTGAGGTATTGTATAGTATATAACCTCGAAATATCAAATAGTAAAGAATTCCTACAAATAATCCTACTCGAAAATCGCTTTTTTTATGACTTGTAAAACTTTTTTGGAGTTATAAAGGATAAACTTTCCAATAAGGTTTAACCGTTAAAAACTTCAGTTATAAACGTTTACTTAAGATATAAAGCAAGTCTTATATATTAATTTTACACATCGTACTAATTTTCCGATGTAATATGTAAATACACATATACACTCAGTGAAATTGGCTGAGTTCCTATGAATATTGAAAAAATTCTAAGCGGATTTACGGAATCGTAATCGGATCGTACTACGCGGGAATTATGAACAGTATATTATCTCACTGCACGAGAATTTAAATATCCTTCACGAAATAGGAAATGGAAATTGATAACCAAAATACGCGTATTTGCGGTATGATAAGATACGGAATGGATATCAGTTGAAATTGTATGGAGACAGATGTCGAACGCAATTGTTTATAGTAAACATGCTTTAAATGTGCAAAATGAATCCATTGGTTTACTTAGTGAAAGTTGTACGCAAAATGAAGGAGTTTCTTATAAGGTACGCAACACTACTGACAAATCTTAATGTAAAATCATTAGCCGATTTTTATCGATTACATCTTCTAAATTCAGCTATACTAACATGTAAAACGTAAAACAAGAAACTTGGCGATTAAAAAGAGTGGCGGAGAATTTATTGCCAGTTCTTCTCTTCCGTTCTACGCTCTTGATTTGACTGGCAGTAAATGTAAAATTAGAATCATTCGATTTATATTTCTTTTTTGACGTTCGTACGAGTACATTTTGTTACCTATATGAATAAATGGTTTTTGAATTTGAATTATGTAAATTAAAAAAAAGTTTACACAATTTATTGATTTTTACTAATGTTCTGTATGATACTTTAAATAAGGCTCGGATACTTACACAAATACAAGAAACTACGCTTATGTCACTTAATCTTGCTTATGGGAAAGTTTTCTACTCTGTTTGTACTTGTTTTCTACATAATATTAAGTATTAATTGAGCCCAGTGTCTACTAGTGCAATATTACAATTTTTTTTTGTCCGTAAATTGTTATTAAAAAAATGCTTGCCCGGTTTTTCTCAGCCTCAGAAGATTTTTGGGTAAAGAATTAGATGAGAAGTTATATTTGTACGTTCCAAATCGCCTGAACAACCTAAAATTTATTCTGGTTTTTCGATAATCAATTGGAATTTAATTGTTTGTTATATTAACTTAAGAAAATAATCAAGTTTAACAAAAGTTTAGTCTATGATTTTAATTTAAAAAAAACCACGCAATCATCGCTTTTACTTGAAGCGTTTCTTTAGTACTGGGAATTTAATCTAACACCTACCCCACCATGTCGGTGGCTGACCTCGAGTTGCAATTACTAAAGATAACATCAGCAATCGGTCTAATTTATAACACAGTAACAGTTACGCACAGTCAGTTTAGGTCCAACTTGTAAATATGCGTAGAGGGACTTTTATGAGATCACTATATTTGCTCTTGTTTGGCAAACGAGCCCACAGGACGCCCATAAAGGGCAGTCATCGCAGCCCATGGGCACACATTTCTGCCTTTGAGGGAGGAGAACAACTTTGAATAGTTGGAGGTCGTATCTCTCAGGGAAGACCCCCACCGGCAGTCGATTATAATAATATTTCGGCAGGAATTGAACCTTGATTAAACAATATCCATTGAGTCGAAAAAAAACAGCTGATAGGTTTATTTAGAATTCATGACCTTTGAGGGGTTAATGACCGCGATTGTCGTGAGAGTCCCGCCTATTTTTGTGCAAGGTTCGAATTGTATAACATTTATTGTTTATAATAATCATTCAGAAATTATATCAGTATATCAGTTTATCAGTGGGGTTATATAGTATTAAAATGACATCGGATTAATTTATCGAACATTTTTTATTACAATTGATTGGCACTCTTGTGTAAAGTTGAATTCAAATTTTATTTACGTGGTACACGGTTTTTCAACTACTTATTTCAATGTAAGTTAATAATTTTGATCAGTAAATGAAACGAACACTGTAAGAACTAATTTCGTTGTTTTTACTTCTGAGGTCAGATCTATTACCTAATCTATAATATAAAAATGAATCGCAAAATGTGTTGGTAAGCGCATAACTCAACAACACCTGGACCAATTTGGCAAATTCTTTTTTTATAATATTCCTTATAAGTACGAGGCTGGTTCTTACGGAGAGAAATATTTAAAAAAATTGAGTGAAAAGTCTAAAAACAACACTTTTCTATATTACCATACAAAATATTCGTAATAATACTTAAAAGTCAATTTGAACTTTAAACCATAGCATAAAGTTCAAGTGTTAGTGGAGGGGTTCCGGGAACGTAATTTTTTATTTTTTGACATAATGTATTTGTTGTCTTATCGACTTTCTTTTTTTTATCTTACTAGCTAGACCGGTGTCCCGAAAAGCAGAATAAGTATTTAAAAAAATAAAGAATCGACTGTTAGGCGGTACGATGTTCGCCAGGCCAGCTAGTATAATATACATATTATATAATAAGCTATTAATATTTCATAAAAAAAAACACTGTTAGCCCAACTAGGAACACAGAACATACTTCGACATATACGCATCGTCCCGGTACCAGATATGGCGATACTACACTCAATTCGAAAAATCCCCCTTCACGTCATACAGTATCAGTTCCATCTTCACATTGTCCACAATTCACGCACAAGGTGAATCGATTAATCTTATTCTCTACAAAACAAAAAAAAAACAAGAATTCTCTAAGTATAAAGTGTGGATAAAAGCATAGAGAGAGACAAGAGAGATTGACCTAATCACCCGCCCTACCTTTATATATAATTCTACTGTACTTGTGTATGTCACTGAAATCCTCTTATTCGGCTGGACCGATTTGAATAAATTTGTATGCGTTTGGGTGGCGCCCTGGATGGTTTAGATTCACAAATCAGCCCGGCGGATGACGCTACAGTCGGTATCTAGGTTATATTATAGAAATCTTATGTGGATGTGTTCTTAATTAAACTCCTAAAAGGCTGGACAGATTTTGATGAAATTTTGTGTGTTCAAGTGGAGTCGAGACAAAAAAATCCAATAATGTTTTACATTATTAGATTTTTTTGTATGTAAGACGTATGTTCAGAACAACTTCTGTCGGATCCGCTAGTTATTCTTCCCACCCTCGCTGTAATATCGTTAACATTAAAACACAATTTAATTGACAACTTTCAGGGTTTTGCGGTTAAACAACTGCAATTGGCCGGAACTGAGTAGGTACTGTGGTTGCTGTACGCTCTCTACTGGAATTTATATCCGGTCAATTTTAAGTCTGGTATGTTTGCTTACAATTAATCTTACTTTTACGAAACGAAAATATTTACTGTAACTCTTCTAATATATTTTAATTTATTAAAAATTAATAAAAAGAAAATTGAAACAAATTGCAGCTACTTGTGTGTACATGTTAGCCCCGCCTCACCTCCCTCGGACAAGCAAAAAAGCTGTGGCGGCCGCAGAGCAGGCGGAAAATATTAACGGGTTAAATATTCAAGTCTTGCCTTCTTCGATTTGGCCCTTTGTAGTAGAGACTCTTAGGCCGTGGGGTTCAAGTGTACAGGCGATAATTAAAGATTTAGGTGGGCGCCTGGTAGATAGTACCGATGACCCCAGAGCTGGTGCTTTCCTTAACGAATAATTATCGCAATACAGCGAGGAATGTCAGCGTTAAGGTTATACTGGCTTTTTAACTTTGTTTTAATTTTCTTTTTATTATTATGTAGGTTAAGAAAATCGTAAATACTGTATATTTTATTGTTTTGTTTATGTTTTAATAAACGATATATTAAAATATCCCAGCCTGTGAAGATGTCGTCGTTACAGCACCAGTGTTGCTTGATAGACACAAAGCTGTTGCAGCTAGCAAGGTGTCTGAAAAAAAAAATATTTACAGCACAGATACAATACTTATAATACGAGATATTTACATGCTACCTTAAACTATTAACAAGTTTTATGGTTACCGCGTTATTTTTAGAATTTATAAAACAATAACGTGTGTTGTAGCTGCTCACTCTCTTCTAGGCCAGCAACGCATTTGCAAGCCTTCTGGCAATGTGAGTGTCCATGGGCGGAGGAGGTATCATTTAACATCAGCTGATCCTCCTGCCCGTTTGCCCTCTGTTACATAAAAGATTTCCTGAGTTTTCTTAGAATACAATTTCAAGATATAAAAAAGAACTTGGGGAATCTTTAGACATCCTTTTTTCAGTCTCTATATTTTAAAACTTTAGCGAACCAAGCCGCTGGAGCAAGGTTTTTAAAATAAAATAAATCAGTGGCGCTACAACCTCATTAGGTCTTGGCCTTAGATTTCTCAATCTGTTTCATGATCAGTTTTAAATCTAATAGGCAAGTAGGTGATCAGCCTTCTGTGCCTGACACACGCCGTCGACTATTTGGGTCTAAGACATGTCGGTTTCCTCACGATGTTTTTCTTCACCGTTCGAGCAAATATTAAATGCGCACATAGAAAGAAAGTCAAATGGTGCACAGCCGGGAATCGAACCTACGACCCGACCCTCGACCCTCAGGTATGAGAGTCGCACGCTGAAGCCACTAGGCCAACACTGCTCAAGGTTTTTAAAATAAATTTATTAAATTTCAGATGTTAGTGGTTATCCTAATCGTTATCAATTCTTATGGACTATCGAAATTATTTACCACTGCGACTGCCCTGGATGGCGTAACAGTCACAGTAATTGGTGATCGGTTCAACAAAACAATCACTGAAGAAGACCTCGTTATGGTCCAAAATATAATGTTGGCATTGAAGATCTATCTAATCATATGGATTATTTTGAAGTGTATATATATTGTTACCATTTTGGCGGGATTTTACGCTATCTTTTTCGTAAGTATATTTATCAGTACAGTTAGTATCTATTGCTGGCCTATTTCTTAGCTTCGACCTTGAGGTTGGGCGTTTAAATCCCAGATAAAATGTTTCTCACTGTTTCGCAGACATTAAAACTTATCCGAACAGAGATGTGTATCAGATGCATATATGAAAACATACCTATGGAAAAGTAAAAAAAAAATAATTTCAGAAATTTTAGACTGCGTAAAATTTGGTGCCAATAACGAAATATGACTTTAGTATTACTTTTCGCAGTTATCGGAGTCGAAAGTAAAATCTAAATGGTTGCATAACTAGCTGACCCGGCAAACGTTTGTTTTGCCATATTTATAGGAAACATTTCTTTAGTTGTATAACTATCTGAAATAATAAAAATATAGAGGTTGATCGTAGAGGGGTGAAAATGAGGGGTTGTGTGTACTTTTGTATGATGTATTATAAAAAAATAAAAACAAAAATTTGGGGTGGTCACCCCTTATCACTTAGGGGTTTGAAAGATAGATAGTAGCCCATTCTCAGACTTACTGAATATGAAAATAAAATTTCATTAGAATCGGTCGAGCCGTTTCGGAGGAGTATGGGGCACGAGAATTTTATATACAATATAGAGATAATTAAATTCATCAAATTGTTAGACCTCATCTAGCATGACCTTGATGGCTGGAACTCTTCTATGGTCTGTTTCAAAAGAAATTTTCTTTTGCGAATTAGCGAATTATGGGTACCTTCCCTTCAAAATACGATTTCCTGTTTTTTTTTGTTTAAATAAAGAGTATACTCCTCATTTAAAAGACGGCAACGCGCAAATTAGGTGTCTAGGGGCTATGACTGTCCTTTTTGGGCGTCCCATAGGCCTGTTTGCCTTCCCTATTCTATAAGAAAAAACATAAATAGCGATTTATCGTAAGTTCTAGCCGTCCATGCCAACCCGAAACAACAAGTGTTTTGCTGAGAATTCAACCCCATATATTTAGATTTTGTGCAAGCAAAGGACATATTACGTTTTTATGTTAAGTAGTGGTAATTGACGGATTCAAAGAATGTATTATGTAAAATTTCAGAAAAAACCCAAGATTTTGAAATTTGTTTTCTACACGATGATACCGAACTGGATTTTTGATATTATAATATTAGTCGGAGCTAAAACCTTTCTAATATTGCCAATACAAGTATTATTCTTCGTCGGTGTATGTGAGTATAGATTATTTAAACGAATTTTTATATTTTTAATAATATTCATATATCAAAATCATAGCCCAAGTAATATTATGGAGGCGCATGCGCCAACCCCTTACAAAATTAAAATCTGATTCACTGGGAACTGAAAACAATTATTATCATTTACATTATGCGTGTTTCTGTTTATTATCAGATTTCTAAATCGTAAAGAAAGATAGAAAAAAGGTTAGGTTCGATTAGGTTAGTGCCAAAAATTTGGATCTTCTTTCAGTTATTTCAAAAATTACGATGTTTTAATTAATTTCTAAAGAGCATGCGCCACCATATTCGTATTATTGAATGGTACGCCATTGCCGAGTGATGAAAATATGTATGGAAAAAAAATTGGAGCTGTTTTGAGGTAGAGCCCTGATACAACAAATTAACCTTTGTCTCTTTCTGTCAAATTAAATATTTGTAGAATGAAAAGAGATATACAATTTATAATATTTACTGATTAAATTGTTATGAACAAGTGGATAAATCTATTTTTAGCGATGTTTCGAATCCTATTCTACAAATTTTTAATCACATAAAATTTATTGTAACTATGTATACTAATTAACCCCATCAATTACTAGCAGTTTACAAATCAAGAGCGAGAAGAATTTACTCTCCGCCACTCTTTTAAATTGCCAAGTTGGTTTATAAGAAAATTTTATGAAACTGCAACATTTGACATGCTTATCATTGATACATAAAATATTGTAACACATTAAACCATTACTATCAGTACAATCAGCAAACCCGCTTCCTAGTGGGAGTGCTGTGATTCAGTAGGTTCATTTTGTCTAGTGACATTTCGTTCGGTGAGAGAGGCAGTCCCTATACCTACTCACAATATTATGTTTGTTGTTATTCGTTTTGTACGAAATTTAGTACAACTTTTCGCAGTTATAGAAAAGTAATACTAATCCCCGTAAAAAAAAATGAAATTCAAGATTATTTTATAATACTCTCAGTTGCGAGTCTATATAAAGAAGGTAGAAAAAGTAAACCCTATTTCTCTTTACCGTCTTTAGACTAGACTTTTCTCCTTATAAACAAATTACACCGTTTTGACTAAAGTACTGATCTCATTACATCTGCGTTAATACAACTTGACAGAGACGAAGTAGCATTTTCGAAAAATTTCCTCACTTTCTTTAAAAGTGCGATAAAACTGATTTAGTTTTTATGAATCGACTTACGTAATAAACCAGCATTGCATTTTCAAGGTTCCGAGTTCTACAACTTGATCGCCATCAACAGTCAATACAGGCAAATGGCGTTCAAATCCCGCATCGTCCCCGAAGAGCCCCTGACCACTACATTTACAAGTCAGGTCGAAGCGTGGAACCCAAATATAAACGGTGGGTCCCATTGCCGAACCTGCGTTTGTCCCACACCACCTTACATGGAAATCAGATCTGAAAGAACCACTGTTACCAGCCTCTCATCACCTGAAACTCCTTCGGAATCCTTCGATGTCTTAAGTCAAGAAACAGAAGACAAAGTGGTGAATTTTAAAGATGGACCCATTATCTACAACCAAGAACAATTGCAGCCACGTGACGTGCTGTTTGTGAGACGAGATAGAGAGAGAGATGAGGGTGATATAGATAATAGAGATTTGCGACATTCGGATGAAGTAAGGCGATCGAGAAGACCCAATTCGCTTGCGCTTTAAGTATTACTTAAGTTATTAAGTGTAAAAGCAACACAAGTAAGTGAGCGAAATGTTTTAGTTATACGAATAATGTCTTCGGTTAAGGTGGGTTTACATTTAAATAAAACCTCATCATTTTAAACTCAAAATAACTTTATTCATATAGCTAACTAAGTACACTTATGAACGTCAACAGAAAAGATGTTAAATTGATTCTAAATTTACATTTACTACCAGTTCGCTAGTCATGGGCGTAGAACTGGCAAGAATATTTCCGCCACTCTATTTAATCGCCTAGGTGTGAGCAAATCAATTACAAGGATTAGTATCATTTAAATAATCGTCAATTTTTTTTTACAACAATTTAATTTACGGTTATCGAGAGTTTTGAATTTAATCAGTGATAATTCGATTTGGAGTTTGTTGTAAAAATGAATACTATTTCCATATAAGGAGTGAATTATCTTCTGGAGCCTGGTTGGTCGTAAAGATTTATATCGTGGAAATTGTGGTTATTCTAATTATATGAATTTAGAATAAAAATAGTTTTTTAATATAATATATATAAAATGAGGGTATTTTATTTCATTGATATTAAATACTAATTAGTGCAATATCAGATTGTGTTATGGTATTTTTTATTATCAATGTATAAATTTGTGATTTCATTATTTTTTATTAAAATTACGAATAGTAACGATTTATGTTTTAAAATATTCGCTCCAGCTCTGAAAATTCCTCTTATGTGATTACACTGTTTGTAAAATAAATTGTAAATAAAACAAATAATAGAACGTTTTAGTCGTAAAACATTTATTTATTTTTAACGCCTGCAGCTATTTACTTAGTAAGTCCAACACAAAAGAGATTTCCATTTAATTTATAATAATAATAAATTATTTATTAAAGCATAAAATCATAATAAAAAGATTATTGTTGTGTTAGTTACAATACTATCCTGAATATTTTATAAGGTTAGCTTTAAAATATATTCAATCATAAAATTAAATATTAATTATAAAATTACCTTAACAAAAATGGGCCCAAACTATACATATAGCGAATTTAAACGGGGCAAACGGGCAGGAGGCTCACCTGATGTTAAGTGTTACCGCCGCCCATGGACACTCTCAATGCCAGAGGGCTCGCGATTTAACATGTCAACCTTCTATACCCTTTCATAGATATCTCCCCATTATAAGTGTGTTCTCCTTTTCCACCTGAACCTTACGAGGCTTAAAATCACTACGATGACCGTGACGTCATACCATGAAACGCACTAACGAAGTTTTTCCGAAGATTTATATTTATACCCTTTAGGTTGGAGGAAACACCGTCCTTCCTTCACTAGTGATTAAGCCATGGTCAAATAGTAATAATTGTTCATATATCGTCACTATCTGAAATCCGGAGCGTGGGCGAATAATTGATACTGCCCACAATGGATTCATTCAACAACATTGGTCGGAGTTGTACATTTATTATATTTAGAAACAAACTACAAAGATGATTATCGAAGCACCGCTTTGTCAAAGATGCTGCTTTTGCCTGCCTCTTCGAAGGGGTATTATCGCGTTCGGATACTTTAATATTGTAAGTACTATTTTAAAAGTATTATTTGTGTCCAACAAGTTAAATAATTGTACAATTAAAAGGTATTTTGCCCATGCTTTTTTATCTATAAATTCGTTTTAACTAATCGAGTATTCATATCGGCTATGTTTACGTATTTCAGATATATAAAAAAAACTACCTTAGTAAAAAAAAATGAAAAAATGAAAATGTTTTTTTTGTATCTCAAATTTTACATTAAATACATGAGTTACAGCCCCCGTAAGTAGTCAGAGACACTTGTGTTGGGGTTAAATGTAATGGGTTTATGTAATGTTCAATTCTCAATATAAATATATATTTTTTATTATATATATTTTCTATACATTTTCTAGGTTCCTCTTAATCGGAGGTATTAAATAACTTACGTATATGTACAACTTAAGTAAATGGTATTAGTAACCCGGATCAATAACCTACCTATTTCTTTTAACAATTTTTGTATAGCATTCACAACAAATTCCAGAAAGCTTTTAAGTTCGTATCTGTTACTTTTATTCCATTGAACAGTCGGTCAGGACATGTAACACCGTCTCTTCAGCTGCATTGCTAAGGACAGGCAGCACTTCGTCTAACCCTGAACCTGTAAAGATACGACAAGAATCTACCGTGACCTGCCAACATCTGGTTAATCAATCCCGTTGGTTTTATTTGTTTAAATATCGAAAAGGCCAAATCGTCATTTATAGGAATAACTTAGTTATTGATAGATAATACAAATATTGCAGTTCGCGTCTAAGGCCCTTACTCCACTGCTCCGGTCCGGCGTCGGATACCGGAATGAGTCATGAGAAAAATATCGGAAGGCCGGATTGCGCTTCTCCACTTTATCCGATCCGACAATAATCGATACTTGTATATTTATCATGCAACACTTATATTAACTAAAACCCATATACAGTATATGGGTATTTTATTAATAAAACGTTATAAATTCTAAATATTTTATAACCCTGGCAAGTTTATTACTTTTTTTTATATTGTCTATCATAAAATATTATAATCTACTTAATAAATAGTTCACTCATACTATGGTATAAAAATATAAATAAACCTGTGAATAATAATTTATAACCTCTTGGATGCTTGAATATACTTGGACCCATAAAACACCGCGTTCCGATCTAGCAAGTTATCGGATCGTTAAAAACCGGATGCCGGAGTAGTGGAGAAGTACGTAAGTACTGCTGTGAGTTTCTAAATCGGATCGGCAATTAACCGAAGCAGTAGAGAAACGAAAAGAGAAAAGAAAGAGTTGGAGATTTTTTTTTTGACGTTCAAAAGTGCCATTTTAGATGGTCTAATTGAAATAAACGATTTGACTTTGACTTTGAAACGGCCTTAGAACAGGATTTGTCTCAGATCAACATAATCAGGACTAGAGCAAGTGAGACTCAGATATTGATAGAACTACATCGAACTTGCATACGAAAACGTCGGGATCAGTATCTGGCATGTACAGAAATATAACACAATTGACATAATTAAATAAAAAGGTGAGCAAACCAGCGGCCTATTCGCTTTCGAGCGATCTCATCAAGGCAACCACTCCGGAACTCCGGAATAGCTTTAGTCTTATCGATTAACATATGACAGCTTTGTTTTGTTTCGTTTTAAAGTTCGCAATTGTTTTAGCTTTGGTCGACTTTCATGACAGCGTTCATGATTTTCACGGACCATACCATTCTTCTTATACACGGGACGGCGCAAGACTGGGGTGAACCTGCAGCTTATATTGCTAGAATTATGGATATAGTGTTAAGCGCGGTCTTGGTTTTTGGCGGCCATAAGGTAATGAGTAAACATTTTACCGTCTTCGAGTAATAGTACATGTGGTGTAACAACAAAACTGAATATTTTAGAATTGTGTCGTCATTAATTTCAGTTGAAAACTTATTTTTAAAAGTGAAGCAAACTTCGCAGAGTAATATACATGTAAGGAAAACATAATATTTAATATTTTCCTATACAAACTCTTTTATGTTGTTTTATAATGGTATCGATCGGTTATACGAGTACTGGGGATAAATAAGGCGCAACTGCGTTTCTCTGTGAATACAAAAGAAACAACATTTAAAGCCTATATTCTAGGTTTTATAAAATAAAATAATATAAAGAAAAAATTAAAACATCTTACATCTATTATGTCAAGTGACAAATAAAACATCGTCGATCAGACGGCAAAGAAGAAAAATAAAATATAAAAGAGTTTGTATAGGAAAATATTAAATATTATGTTTTCCTTACATCTCCCCCCCTACAGAGAGTAACAATTACATGTAACTGTTACTCATCGACAATTACAGGGGATAATTAATTCTTTTCCCATAAGCCAGTGCTGCCAATATTTCACAGCTTCTTTTAATGCTAAACATTCTAGATAAATCGCCTTTTTTTTAACTTTGTTTAATTTTTTTGAAAAATAAGCAACCGGTCTATTGTCCCCGTTTTTATCTTCTTGTCTTAATACTTCAGAATATAGAAGAAAGTCTTCTTTATTAATGTCACCTAGTACATCAGGAATTTGACATTTTTTTAGAAGTTTTCATTTTTAATACCTCAGAATATAAAAGAAAGTCTTCTTTATTTATGTCACCTAGTACATCAGGAATTTGGCATTTGTTTTCTTTGAAGTATCGTTTCTTTTTTCTTTTAGGTAAAAATCATTAAACTGAATATTCTGCTCCTCATCTAAATATATATTTGATAACTCTTCTGTAATGGTTATCCATACTTTTCTAGTTTGGTATCTTTTATTTAAAGATTTTTTTACTTTAATGTAGTTGGGAGTTTTTATTACAGCTTGATGTAAATTTGCAGGCTGAAACTCGGCCGGAATTGAAAAAACCTGTCCACCAGTTGTAGCGATCGGGTCTATGCAAATATTAATCAATAAATAATTATTTTTTTTATTTCTCAATCTTTCCATATTTCGTAAAATATGTGCAGAAAATGTTGTTTTATAATGGTATCGATCGCTTATACGAGTACTGGGGATAAATAAGGCGCAACTGCGTTTCTCTGTGAATACAAAAGAAACAACATTTAAAGCCTATATTCTAGGTTTTATAAAATAAAATAATATAAAGAAAAAATTAAAACATCTTACATCTATTATGTCAAGTGACAAATAAAACATCGTCGATCAGACGGCAAAGAAGAAAAATAAAATATAAATGAGTTTGTATAGGAAAATATTAAATATTATGTTTTCCTTACATACATATATAAAAAAATCAGTAGCGCTACAAACTTTTCAGGTCTGGGACTCAGATTTCTGTATCTGTTTCATGATCATTAATTGTCAATCTAATAGGCAAGTAGGTGATCAGCTTCTTGTGTCTGACAAACGCTGTCGACTTTTTGGGTCTAAAGCTATCGGGTTTTCTCACGATGTTCACCGTTCACCGGTCGTGCGAATGTTAAATGCGCACATAGAAAGAAAGTCCATTGGTGCACAGCCGGGGATCGAACCTACGACCTCAGGGATGGGAGTTGCTCGCTGAAACGACTAGGCCAACATTGCTCTCACAACAATTGTTGAATATTTTAATTAAAACATAATACATGTTTAATTAATGTATACAATCAAATTTCTACTCAAGAGATAATTTGTTTTTTTTTTCAGAATTTGACAGTCTGCCTCAAAGTATTCTTCTATTATACATGTTTAACATTACTAGCCATATTCGTTATCCAGATATATGCCTTAACTAAATTATTTTACTACAATTCAGCAATTGAGACAGGGTTGTTCATCATCAGTACAAGTAAGTTAATAATATAAAAACTAAAGTACAATTACACCATTTTAACAGAAGTACAGAACGACTGAGTTGAAGCATCTAACACAGGACAACACTTCATGAGACTGACAGATATTCTCAATAGAGGCACCAAGAAGAAAACAAAAGAACTGCCTTGCGATTCTGTAACTCACTTTTCGAACTCTCACTGCGGTTATCGCAGCGGCGGTCGCGCTCAAATCAGTCGTGACTCGTGAAGCAGTCATTTTATGATTTGGCATTCTGATAAGGAGGGTAGCTTGTAGTTTATTGTTTCTGTGTTTTAGCGTAAATATTTGACGGATAAAGACAAAAGAGCAGTTTAGTAATAGTATTATAGAAGTGTCTATGATTAAGAACGGACATTTTAAAATAAATATAAGCCGTTTATGATTAGTTCAAAACAAACATTTAAATAAATTATTACAATTAGGGAAGTGTATAGTGTGAAATAGAATCTACTGATTGAGTTCAAGACATTCGAATTATCTAGAACATAGCATTAAATGATGATAGTCATAGTAACGGATTTACAAATTTTCAAGGTAGAGGTTGTGAAGTTTGTGCCGCCCTCGCCTTTTACAATCCAACAATTTCTTGGAAAATGCACCTAAAAAGGTTTGATTTTTGAGCCAAAATTATTCACAAACCAGTTCGCAGCCTCCAACCAGTAGTAGGACTGACACGTATAGGGGAAAGAGGGAAGAAGGAACTATACATTTCTACATATTCTGCAATTTCGCTCTATTCACTTATACAAAGTGTAAGCTAAGGGTTTAGGGGTGGATTAATGGTGGGGGGGGGGCTAACAGTTTTACAATATGAAAGTTTGCTACACCAAATGTTCAATGACAAGGAATCGACAAGATTTGTTGCTGTTTGATTTCTATGCGGTAGCAAAAAAAAATCGCTCCCCAAATATATACATACAAATATCTGCCGCCCTAGACTCCAGCCTACTCAGCCTGCTAGTAAATCCGCCACTGGATAATCACACTATTATTAGATACAGTTTTGACTACAGTACACATCTGTCTCTTTTTGTCACACCGTGAACTTACTTTGAGAGAAAGAGTTAAAACATTATCGGCGTTATTTTAATTTATGTTTTTTTTCCAGTTATTCATGTGTACCTACTACTGCAAATAAACAGTTTAATAAACAAAATAAACAAAACTACATTCGAAACAGGATATGAGAATCAGTTGGGTGAATTTGGTGCGAAACACATTGAAATTAAAAATGGTTCCACCGATGCTACTGTACACATCGAATGAAGCAACGAGAAGAAGTTAATATCATCTGAAATATAAGTACAGATCTTTTTTGCGGTACACATATTTACTAGTGCAACGCCCAAAGTCGTTTAAAAGATCTAAAATTAAAAGATTTTTTAGAGGCACAACCTAGCGCTGGATCCTGTATGTAAAAAAGATTTGAATTGGACACAAGGGAGCGTTTAGTCACGACTCTTTAAATTAAAATTAATCAAAAGATCAGAAATTTAAATTAAAAAAGTTTATCCTGTACAATTAAAAACCTTGCCTTTAATTATTTGTTATTTCTCATTTTCTTTCCTTTCTGACTCCCGGTGGATGTCTTCCCTTAGAGATAAGAGCTCCAATTGCTTAAAAAAAGAGCAAACTCCTTCCTCAAAGGCCGGCAACCCACTAAGTGATCGATGACTGCTCCTTATCCCGTGGTGTCGTTTGCCTCCTAAAAAACAAAACGAGTCCTTACGTCTGATTCACATACGTCAAAAATGTATTGACATTTGACAGAAGGGCGTTAGAGTTTTTTTTTCAAGAACAGGGGGCAAACGGGCAGGAGGGTCATCTGATGTTACGTGATACCGCCGCCCATGGACACTCTCAATGCCAGAGGGCTCGCGAGGCGTTGCCGGCCTTTTAAGAATCGGTTGCTCTTTTCTTGAAGGACCCTAAGTCGAATTGGTTCGGAAATACTTCAGTTATACTTCAACAGTGCAAGTCAGGGTTTGTTATTGGTGATTTCACTACAGATCCTAAATTTTTTTAACCCTAAAGAATATATTTAAAAACAGATACATTATCCATGCGTACATAATATATTTTACGACTGTTTATCTCTAATATCCATTGGATGAGTCGAACTACGTCGAATTGATAAGAGCATAATCAAAACAAAGTTACAACAACAAAAACAAAGTATCCAGAAGTTCCAGGAACTAAAGTCGAAACGCAATTGGATTTTACGTTATTTTTTCTAACCAAAGATAAAAAACCCAGTAAAACATCAGCCGATCTCAGTAATTTTTTTTTAATATGTTTAGTATGTTAATTTCTCTAAATAGGGTGTATGCTATTTCAAAGTCGAATCATTTATTTCAATTAGGATTATTAATATGCACTTTTGAAAGTCAAAATTACAAGTTATGTTATAATTTTTACAATATGTTGTATACATTGATTTGATATTTATATGTGAAGACCATTTACTTAGAATAAAAAAACTACTATACTAAGATAAAATAGGCGCATGGTATTATAAAAATCATTGCAGCAGATAGTTAAATTAACAATAATTTATATGACAACCAGTTTAGCTAGCAGTCAAATTTGTCTAGTTTGATTGTCCTATGGAGCAGGACCAGCTTGATTCCAAGCATTTTTATCTGGATTATAATCCTCAATTTACAGTATAAAGCATCATTGAGAAAGTTAGAACCCACAAAATTTCATAATTCGCCATATCAAAATACCAATATGTACATATTGGTACACTATGATACACTTGACTGGGATCACACACAATAATTCCTGCGTCACTTTCATAACAATTTTCTTCGGATAGAAAAGCTAGTTTTGAACAGGAACTGAATTCAGGATTGCAGTTTCCACAGGACCTCCATCATTCCACTAATCGCCAGAGGCACTATAAAATTAAAATCTTAGTGCCAAATTTAAAAAAAATGCTTAAGTAGGCGAGAAGAGAAATGGCAGTATAGTGAACAAGATGTTATAGGAATTGGGCGGTACTGAGTCTCTGTAGATAATTTAACAACGTCAGTCTTTATTAGATAAGTGGCACTTCGTGGCAGTTTACAATCGGGAGTGCGCACGCGCGGTTTATTAGAATAAAGGGAAAAAATTTAACAGGGGATATAAAATGTTCTGTGAAATACCGGATTTAGGTCGATGCTGCCTTTGCTTGCCTTTGAGGCAAGGTATTTTGGCGTTTGGATATATTAATGTTGTAAGTATGTGTATACATATATGGTAATAGGATGTATGACATGGATGAATAGGACCCAAAAACATACATAAACTTTCTCGCAAATTCATTTTTCTTTAACGCTCAAATATCAGCTTGCACTTTAGTTGTCAATTTATTAGAGAAAATAAATATACGACAGTTACATAGCTAGTTATAAATATTCATTTGAAGTCACAGCTATAACAATATTTCCGCGTATGACATTTCACTCTGATAACCTCTAGTTGTTTGGTTCAATGTTATGTTCTGGTTATTCTAAAGTCGCTAAATTGAACATCGGTAGGATAGAATTGATTATTAAATGGTTGATCGACTGTTCATTTCCTCGATGTATTGCGATAGGTACTTATTCGTTGAGCGAGGAAAGCACCAATAATTCACCGGTACTATCTACCAGGCGCCAACTTAAAACTTTAATTAGCGCCTGTGTACTTGAACCCCACGGCCCAAGGGTCCACTCCAAAGGGGACAAAATCGAAGTTGGAGGAAAGGCTCTTGTATAAAATACTTTTAAAAATAAAATATATAAAAGTATATTCTACATTTGTAAAGATTGGAACGAGCTTTATTATTATTATTATTAAATATTCAACGGTGCGATTCGTGCAATAGTTGTTTTATAGTGTCATTAGCTTACCCGGCAAACGTCGTTTTGCCATGTATATGACGAGTATGTCTAGGAAAGATTTTTTTGGTTCAATAAAAATAACTAGGTACATATTATCTACAATAATAAAAAATAGGGGTTGACCGTAGAGGGGTGAAAATTAGGAGTTGTATGTATTTTTGTATGCTGTAGATATCATAAAAATATAAAAACAAAAAAAAATCTATAAAATTTTTATTTTTGGCCCAACACCCCTTATCACTTAGGGCTTTGAAAGATCGATAGAAGCCGCTCCGCCAAGCTCTGATTTACTCAATTTGGATAAAAAAATTCATAAGAATCGGACGAGCCGTTTCGGAGGAGTATGGGAACGAACATTGTGACACGAGAATTTTATATATTAGATATAAAATAGTACTGTTTAGACAGTTCAGCTTTAGAATTTTGTATCTGTATTTTAAGAGATCGGTTTATGCGTGACACGCCATTCTATGTGAAAATCCACAGCCTGACTTGCCTACTCACTAGCGCTTCGAACGTTTTACTTATCCTAAGATTTCTTTTTCAGTTATTTTCGGTGTTCATGACTGGAGTGTACAGTTATACGATACACAGTGGATTTAATGAAACTATGTTAATGTATCACGGTTCGTTGATGCAAGTGGATGATGAGATCTGTCTTGTTTTCTACATTTTCGACTTTCTTTTTGCGTTGGTACTTGTCTATGGTGGACATACGGTAAGAATTATACAAATTATAGGTGGCGGCAAACATCTTGAACAAATGTCCTTGCCTGCGCAGAAGCGAAGTGTGTGTGTATGTGTACGGTGCGCAAACTTTCTCCCACCCCCTGTTTTAATGCTCAAGAAGTTTGCCGGTATCTGTACACGACTCACTGAATAAGGCATACAAGTGTTGGCAAGAAACAAAATCCGAAAAATAATGAAACTGTTCATTTGTCATGGCCATATCTGGATTTGGACATATTTTTTTTTAGATCAGGGGGCAATGGGCAGAAAGCTCACTTAACTAAAATTATTTAAACGTGAAAGTTGTCATGATATTACAAATCAATTCTCAAATAACAAAAGTATAATAAATCTGTGGCGCTACAACCTTTTTAGGTCTGGGCCTCAGATTTCTGTATCTTTTTCATGATCATTTGTAAATGTAATTTTTGGGTCTAAAGCAAGCCGGTTTCCTCACGATATTTTCCTTCACCGTTAGAGCGAATGATAATAATAAAATAAATCTTAATTCGGAAACAAAGTTCAATTTATAACACCACAATGGCGCTTATTTAGGTACGTTGTGAGACTGCCACAATCCTGTAAACGATCCACTTTTTCAATTAACCAATTCGCAACACGAGTTGTATGATAATTCCCGAAAAGGCATGGTAATGTAAGGAGGAATTTAAAATATTTCCTCAATGCCCTGTGCAATGTCAGTATAATTGCACATTACTAAAGCACTCTTTTATCACTTTCTGTTAAATTGAGATTGCGTTGTGAGGAATAGAGTCACGATTTATTATGTATTTATTTATTTATTTGTTCAACAGTATTCCTAATACTCACTAAACAATATCCAAACAATTACATTGTACACAAAAGCCAAAAACGGAATACACATTCAAACATAAACAAAGCACAGTCATGTCATGTCAGTTAGTTATTTATACAAAAATATAACAAAGTATATATTTATAATAAATTCTAAATTCTTTTAAAATAAAAAAGATTCATTGATCGTTGTTATAAAGAAAGAATAACAGAGCCATTATAAAGGATACCAGAGTTTTTTAAATTATTTTTTAAACATTTTTTAGTTACATTAAATATAATATGTATTTGCTGGTAATTTCTGTTATAAACAGAAGGTATACGATATATACGGTATATTATATGACGGTTTTATTTTTAAGAATAAAGGGATTAATATTAGCAATGTCGTTTTTTTTTAAATAATTTGAGGCAAACGGGCAAGAAGCTCACCTGATGTTAAATGATAACACCGCTCATGGACACTCTCATTGCCAGAAGGCTCGCAAGTGGTCAGCCTTTCAAGAATTGGAACGCTCTTTTCTTGAAGGACCTTAAGTCGAATTGGTTTGGAAATACTTGAGTGGGCAGCTGCTTCCATATAGTGGTGGTGGTCTGCCTCATGTCACAATTTATTTACTATGGAAATTTTAGTTAAAAATATAAGAAAACATACATTTTCTATTAGATAAGAACTTTAGTACAGCTAAATTGTAATAAATTGTTAAAACTACTTTTTTGTAATTCCTTCATTTATTACGAAATGGCTTGGCTAATCTAACCAGCAATCCCCATATAGGACGGTATTCATATAACGCGTTTCCCGTCCCCCCTATAACGCGGAAGTTATCAAGTTATATATATCTCAGTTCTTTGCACCTGTTTCCATTGTCTTGTTATAAAATTAAAAACAAATTAGTTTATTATATATTTGAGTTCCTAGGTTTTTATTAAGAATAAGGGTTTTACGAGAATTCTCCTACAACACGAATTTATATAACCCGGTAAATTGTATTATATAAAATTACTAAACTTGTTTAAAATATTTAAAAACAAAATGTATTTATTTTTTTTGTCTATCATTTATTTGTTATTTCAGAAAAACACCAGACTACTAAAAGTGTTCTACTACTACGCGATGACAACACTGCTTACTACTATTATATTACAAATTAATGGTGTCTTTTCATCCTATTATCCAGTCAGCTTCATATTGGAGACGTTTGGATTATTTCTTTTTTGGACTTTGTAAGTTATTTTTAATTTTATACATGATACTAATGCCCTACAAGACTTTGAAATCTAAAAGACCAATTAAAATTAAAAATAATATTTTCCGGCAAAAACAACCACCGAGTCACAGACTATAGATAATCCTAATGACAAATGTCACCACTGATTGCCGATAGACGCGGCGCTAGCGAGTAACGCGGCGTAGTAATATGTTGCTAGTGCTAGGTGCAAGGCTAATTTACCCCAACGTAACATAAATTAATATGAAATTCGCGAACTAGTCTCCAAGATTTGCTTCTAATGTTTTACCTTAAAACGAATAAAATAATATTTCACTGTAACAAACTTAGTTCCCAGGGTTCCCGTCGGCAATGAGTTGTGGCGCGCATTATACACATAGACTAGTTCCTCATAGAGCAGTTACACCATAAACAATAAGACAAATGCGATCACAGATGATATCACCTATTGACAACTGACAAATGACACATACAACACTCGCATACGTTTTTGACTTTTGCAATGGCTTTTTTTTTAGCAGAAAAAACTCTCAACCATCAGCCCTGCGAATCTGTAACTCACTTTTCGAACTCACACAGCGGTTTTCGCATCGGCGGTCGCTCTCAAATCAGTCGTGAAGCAGTCATTTTATGATTTGGACGAAAAGTGAGTTACAGAATCGCAGGGCTGGTCTTTTAAGCAGGCATTTCTAACTTGGTTTAGTTAAACAAAAATAGTTTTATATCTAAATTACAAATCCTTTTCAGGTCTTCACCTTTACTTGATATTCCTGGTGAGAAGCCTCCTCAAGAAATTGGAGATATCTGGTCAGTCATACGAAAATCAGCTGCATCAAATCGTCAATGGCGAAATTAAAGTGGATACCAACGGCGTATACCCAAGCACTGTTCTATCACACGAGACTGAATAAATTTAAGAATATGTTTTATTAATCTTGGTTCTATAATTAATATGGGCTAAAATTTCAATAGATTATTTTTGAATATATAATATTTTCTCTCTTAATTATAAACGTAATAGAATGTATTTATATATAACAATTTGTCTATAATAAATAGCTAATTGATTCTTATTGTATGTTAAAAGTTTAATTTATTTTATCCATTATGTTTAAAGTAGCAACAATTTTTCTAAGTCGGAGCAATACCTATACAAAGAATCTCTAGACCCTATTTTTCGTCTACAACAATAAATATTATTAGAAATAGGAGGACAATCGTGTTCTTAATAAATGTATATTATTATTATAGATGAAAATAAAAATATAGAATAAATTTTGTAATATTAAAAAAAACACAATTTTTAATCAGTAATCTACTTAACAAACTATATATAGTATTTATTACACATAATAATTAACTTATTACTAAATTTCTTTAAATACAGTCTTTACCGAAGTACTAGGATGTAAGAATTTAAAAGAGTATGTGTTTGCGTTTAGACATGCATGTTCACGAACGAACAAACGTATCGCGGCAGCGTTTCGTCTTTTGTTTTACATTCGCACTAGTCTCTGTTCATCAAAGCGTAAATAACCGACAAGAAAGAGATAGAAGAGTTTTACGTTATGATTCTTATAATTATTGAACTTACTTTATTTTCTTTTAATTCTCATAATATTGTTTAACGATATCTTTTAATGTCTAAAAAAGGCCCAAAGGTTGTTTTATTTACTAAACTTAATTGTACATAGTCTAGGCGTAATATTTGTAATGCTTAATGTTTTAAGTTACCAACATTTGCTTGAGCTGTGATTGTTTTTAATAAATATTTTTAATATTTATTGTTTTATTTACTAAACTTAATGTGTGACTGATTAAGCATAATTAAATTTTCAATTCTACTTGAATGCTATTTCTAGATTAAAGACGTATTTTATAAATTCATATTTTTTGAGAAAAATCGTTATAAAATACTCGATAACTTCTCCAAGTACACTTCGTACGTCCCGAATAAACAATTATATATTATATTTCTGTTTCTAAAATAGCGGATTCCTCTGTCTGTTATTATAAATTTGACGATTATTTAAATGTCCTAATCCTTGGGATTGATATGCTCCAGTTCAAACAATTTGTATGTCAAAACTTGGCGATTAAAAAGTGTCGCGGAGAGTATCTGGCCTGGTTCTTCTTGCCGCTCTACGCCCTTGACTTGCGAACTGGTAGTAAATTTAGTATCAACGTTGATAAGTGTACTTGGTTACCTATGTGAATAAAGTTATTTTGAGTTTGAGTATTCATTGCGCAAGGTAAAGAAACAGTATTAGCGAAGATATGGACTCAAAGTTGAAAATTATAATCTGAGTGTAAAACAACACTACAAGAATAGAAAAATCCTAGCTAATGTGGCTTAAACAGGAAAGAGGAATAAATGGAACCTATTTAAAAACCATCAAGGTAATCTAAGAACTATTTTTATGTTATACGTAATAGATTTAGAATTCAGGAAAACATGGGAACTTTTGCGAAACGATGCATGCAATAATCAGTTCATTTTTTTTCTTACACATACTTTATACATTTGAAAGATTCAACTCACTTTTCGAACTCTCACAGCGGTTTTCGCAGGGGCGGTCGCGCTCAAATCAGTCGTGAAGCAGTCATTTTACGATTTGGCATTCTGATAAACAATAAACTACAAGCTCCCTCCTTATAAGCGCGACCGCCGCTGCGAAAACCGCTGTGAGAGTTCGAAAAGTGAGTTACTGAATCACAAGGCTGCACAATCACGTCGCCATTTATAATTTATACTGTAGTCTATATATTGGCCCCATATTATTAATATATATATTATTATTATTATATATATGATAGCTATACACTTATGATATCATAAGGATTTTATTATTATTACGTATAAATTATACATATTCTTCCTTTCTAACTTAATTCTTAATTTTCTTATTATTAACTCTACTTCATTCCGAGTCTATCTTTTTCTACACACATACAAATTTTTAGTGTTTCCTATCCATCCTCTATTAATGAGAAGAGAGAGTTAAATAACATTGATGAACTCACATTGAATAACATGATATGACTAACAAAATTCTCGTCAAGCTGACAATATAATTTCCGAGTCTTAAATGGTAAATAAGATGATTGCAGTGAGCATGTCAGACACATTCAGATAACTTTTGAACTTGCTGTTCCGTGCGCTTATTTCTAGTCAACAAATACATTTTGTGTATTCACCATGAGAATAGAATTACCGGAAATGCGGCGTTGCTGTTTTTGCTTTCCGTTACGGAGAGGTGTTTTGGCATATGGATATGTTTGCTTGGTAAGTTGTTTTTGTCTTCATTCATTGTTTTCATTGTTTTAAAACACAGAATTTATAAATTCACTGTAACTTCAGGTGTAAACAAAAAACATTATTTTGAAATTTAAATACGGTATATATTTTGTGTTTCAATTTAATTTAACTGAAATAAGCGTACAAGGCGAAAAGTGAATTGTATCTTTGCTTCGTACACATGACATAGACGAGATATAATACAAGAATTTCAGATTTTTACAAACAATATTATGAGGATGTTGATATTTTCCACCTTACCAAAGAGGATAAGTGAGGAAATATTTGAAGAGCTGTGAAGATTGTGAACAATTTAGTTATTTCTTTGAAATATTAATTTTCAGTTCTCTTTTATTTTTTTGTCTATTAACGTACTTATGTTTTCTGTTTCATATATATTTTTTATCAATGTACTTAATCTGTTTTAGCCTTGTATATTGTCTAAGTTTTATACTATGTATGTGTCAGTGGAAATTCAAGCAATAAACTTCTTAAGTGTGAAAGCACGTAGCCTGAGTTCGATTCCTGGCGAAATTATTTGTTAGTACACACAGCTGATTATGTACTTGATAGATATCTGAGTCGGTTACAGTGACCATTGAGGGCCACAAGCTTTTTATGGCACTCTAAGATTTAGTCTATCTATGTTTTTAACATATTACTCATATTTAGTATTTTATAATATACCGTAGATATAACATTATTATTATTCTAAATAAAATAAAAATAACATAACACTGCTAACATAATTAATAAAACAAAAAGCAATAACTTACCTAAAAATATAATACGTAACTAAAATATTTTATTAAAATGAGTCCCTTTAGGCAAGGTTCCGAAGATACTGGCAGCGTTCCCCCTTTGAATAGTTAGGCTAATTCTTTGTCCGAGGTAGCTGCCAGATCTTCGGTACATATTTTATTGTTCACGACTTGACTTACCTGGCATAATTTCCTAAATTTTTTTGTTTTTTATATGTAGATTTTGTATATTATGGTAACGAAGTGTAAATAAATAAATATTTAAGTTTATATTAGCAAATGTTTATTATGGTACAAAAAAGTAATGGAAAAAGTAATACAACTATAACTTATTACAATTAAAATTACAATTTTTTTAGCTTTTCACTCTATTCTGCCTGTGGCTGGAGATATACCTCGGGTACGGTGACCTCACGGGAATGACATTGGTAGCCTATCATGGCAACAGTTTCTTCACCCGGGCGTGGCTGGCAATTTTATTATACGTTATAGATTTCGTTTTCACGATTATTATGTTAGTTGGGGCACATATGGTAAGCAAGTTTAGTAAATTTGTCGAATCACGGCTCCACCTTACTTGTATGTAGTATCCCAAGTATTATTAAGGAGGCGCATGGCTTTGGACCCTTAAAAAATTCAAAAAACTGATAATATTAAATGCTTGATGAACATGATATTGTCGCAGTTCTTAAAAGGTTAAGTCAGGCTTTTTAAATTATATAAATAAACTTGCGCTCCGACCGGGAATCGAACCCGATACCACTCACCTAGCGGACACTTAATAAAACCGCTAGGCTATGAGGCCCTTAGCCTAACCTAACGCAAAAAAATTTGGAGCTGTTTTAAGGTGAAGCCGTGATTCGACAAATTTACCACAAATTTTTTAGTATGATAAATTAAGATAAAATATCAAAAATATACAATTAAAAAAAAAGATTCGAATTTAAATTCGGTTACAAAGGTAAGTCGCGATGGTTTCCAAAGTACAATAAATTTACTTCCATTTTTTTTTATTAGTATATCTAGCGATTTCAGGATAAGGCATGTCAATTTCCTCACGATGTTTGAGCGGGTGTTAACTGAGGACATACACAGCTGGGGTTTGAACCTACGACCTCAGGGATTAGGCCCGCTCATTCTGCTACCAGTGGCATAACAATAAGGTGGCAGGGCTGGCAAAATGCCACGGGCCCCCGAACCAAGAGGGCCCCTGCCCAAGAGATGTTATGTTCTATGGATGAATGTGATGTCTCCAATACGCATTGGGCTAGTGTGGGGACTACAGACCATTCCCTCTCGCCTAAGAGAGGAGGCCTATGGCCAGTAGTGGGACACTGTTATAATATAATATAGTAATTGCATAGAGTTCGTGCTACATTAGAATCTGTCATTTTATGTAGTAGAACGGAAACTGGCAGAAGGCTCACCTGAAGATAAGTGATGGACATGGACAGTGCCAGAAGGCTCGCAAGTGCGTTGCCGGCCTTTCTTGCACTCTTAGCGTGGGGCGTCCATTCGTTTGTTATCATAATTTCAAATGATAATTAATTTTTGTGTCTATAGAATTTAATGCGAATATTATTAAGAACTCTTTCACATTCCGTGTTTTTGTATTACTTTTCAGAAACGGGTTCGTCTTCTAACGATATATTTCTACTACGGCGTGACTACTACACTGGCTACCTTCCTCACGATGTTTATAATTAACTACGACTTATTTAACAGAGACCTATATAATGTGATTATAGAAATCACATTCATCTTTTTTGCTTTAAGTAAGTACCAAAATACCTACTCGACATCTTGATATTTTCCTCTGTATTAGCTTTTCCATGTTTTTTAAGTGAAACTTCTTTAGCGCTACCCTCATGCAATTTTTACGCAAACGTCAAGATGTGCAGCGTTTTTGTCGAAGATAAGGAAGAGAGAGATCGACACCGATTGAGAGAGAGTGAGACGGGCGAATTACCTTATAGAATATTTAAAATTAAAATTCGTAAAGAGAATTTATGAAATATTAGTATTTTATATTTTATGCAAAATAACTAATAAAAATAAAAAAAAATATGCCACGTGATTTTATTACCGAAGAAATAAATTTAAAAAAATATATAATTTGTATTAATTTTCGACACTATTAATATTTTAATGACAATTAAATTAATTGAATTCCTAACTTATCTTCCTTTTTCTCTCCCTCTAAGTCTCGGAAATCTAATGTTTTAGATTCGTCTAAATATGAACAAGACTTAAAAATTAGTTTGCCAAAGAAGTTTCACTTCTGACATGTGTACTTTGTACGCACGCACTTTTTTTTAAGATCAGCCTTCTGAGACTGACACACGGGGTAGGTTTTAGATCTAAGACATGTCGGTGAACTCACAATTTAGCAAGTGTTTATCATGGTACAAAAGTAATTGCTGCAAAATGGAGATTTGGATCAGTGAAGCAAATTTTCAGATCCAAATATTTGATTTCTGGATCTGTTTCTCAATAACAAAATTAATAAGTTAGTTAAGTTAGTCTCCAGATCTTTAACTCTTTAGAGACTGACACAGGTCATAGGTTTTGGGTCTAAGGCATGTAGGTTTCCTTAAGATGTTTTCGTTCACTGTACGAGCGAGTGACAACAGAAAGTCCACTGGTGCACACCCAGGGATCGAGCCTACGACCCCAAAGATAAAAGTGGCACGTTGAAACCACTAGACCTACAATACTCTGATTATGTTAATAACCCTTAAATTAAAATACTATAATCTTTATATAAAACTCGTTAACACTTTTTTTCCTTCACTTTAGTGCTGTGTTGACGGATTCGTAAAATAAATCTCTTCTATCGAAAAACAATCCTCTTTCTGTAGCGAAATGTTCTGTTAAGCTGTGAAATGTAATTTATATACTCATGTTTATTTTCAGTTCTCCATGTTTATATGCTGTGTTTGGTGTGGAACATGATCAAGAGGTTAAAACAGAACAGTGGACTGACCTTCGTGAACCAAGTCGCTGAAGTGGTTATAGAATATCCCACTGAAAATATACAGAATCCTCTTTAAAATATTCACAAAAGAAATGTTTTACCAACACCTTGTATATTATATAATTACTAGCTGATCCGGCAACGTCGTTTTGCCATGTAGATACATATCATTTATAAAAATTTGAGTAGTGGACATTTAGGGGGATGAAAAATAGATGTTGTCTGATTCTCAGACATACCCAATATGCACACAAAATTTCATGAGAGTCGGTCAAGCCGTTTCGGAGGAGTTTAACTACCGCGACATGAGAATTTTATATATTAGAAAATTGGGCAACATGAAAGTGTGTTTGAACGATTTTAAAAAACGCCGTTCGATGTTATCAGTTATTGGACAATTGAAACGTTTCTTTTCTGGTCTAATTAGTGTCGCCATGTGCGTCTAAAAAGCTTCACCAGCTATCAGAGAATAATGACAAGTGTAAATATTTATCGATTGGATCACTTACATCATTACATATCGATATTATTAATTCATAATATGGCCAGTAAATTATTGTAATATCTTGAAGTGATTATATTTAATGAAGTACAATTAATTAGAATTTATAAAAAAAAACAGTGGTGCTACAACTATTAGGTCTGCGCCTCAGATTTCTGTGTTTCGTATTTGTATGGCATGCGGCATGTGATAAATGCGCACTTAGTTAGGAAGTTTATTCGTGTACAGGCGGGGTTCGAACTTCTGAGATGAGAGTCCCACGCTGAAACCATTATTACTGCTGTGATGATAAGTAGTAAGTAAGCCTAGTGGCTTCTTCTTGGTACTGATGAAGCAAATAACTAAACCTCAGCAATTAACTTGTCATATTTTTTTATAGAACTGCCCTGCGATTCTGTAACTCACTTTTCAATCGCAGAATCGCAGGGCTGGGCGCAAACGGGCAGGCGGCTCACTTGATGTTAAGTCATAAGTCTCCGCCCATGGACACTTTCAATGTCAGAGGGCCTATACCTTGGCCCTTCAGTTAAAATGCCTATCAGGATTTTTAGAGAGCTTAGGGTGGGCTAAAATAATGAAGTCTTCTATAAGGTTTGCAAATAAAGTTCTTATAAATAATTTAACATAACTAAAATGTATAGGAAAATATACTTACCAAAAGTTCAACAATATTGATAACGAAATTGGAAGGTCATAGTGTGACACTGGTGTTTTGTGGCTAGTTAAGGCGACGCGACGTGTCAATAACAATTAGGCTTAGTTCATATGGCCGCGCGTGATTTATATTGATCTTGTACTGCGCGGTTCGTAGTTCCGCGCGGTACAAGATCAATATAAACGGTTATTATCGTCTACATTACCGCGCGGTACCGCACGCCATCGCGCGGCGCGCTCCGACCCGCGCGCGGCACAAGTTTTGCAAACCTGTATCGACCTGTTCAGTTGATCCGCGCGGCTTGAGACGGAAAGACACATAGATCGATGCAAAATGGATCTTCACTGGATTTTAAATCATTTTCAATAGAATCGTATAAAAATCAAAGGATGCAACTGACATCCAGAAATAGTTAAAAAAATTATCTTCGTGTAACCTCAAGTCGGGATATCCAATTTTAAGTGACAGACTTTCTTCCAGCCTGTTTGTCACTTAAAATTGGATGCACCCAGTATCGTCTTTGTCTTCTTCTGCGACGTCTCAGTCTTCTATATAAAATCCATAAGCAAATTGCCTCCTCCACGTCCATTGTCAATCAATGTTGAAGCCACACTGGCGCGCGTACATATACCGTCATGTAAATGCTCCAACCGCGTGGCGACGCGCGGCTACGCGCGGTCATCTGAACTTAGCCTTATCCACCATAATTAATTATAAGTTGTATAGGACATAATCTTGTATAGAAATGGTATATCCAAATTTTATTGTTTTCTATTTGTAAAGCAAAAAGTAATTTGTCTAAACTTAGGGTATTCTTTCCATTTCAAACACATACATATATGTTACTAATACACTACACATGATACTAATAAGTAAGATACTAATGTGTTTTATTTATTATTAGTTCTTTACAAATTATTTAATAAATGTTATTTAATTATTTATGCAAAAGAGCATAAATAATTAAATAACATTGTAAAAATTAACTCGCTAAGAAATCGCTTAGTTACCGCTACTATACGATCACTTCCAGGCAGTCCTAATTGAAGAAAACAGAAAAAGGTATTGTGTCTTTACAAAAAAAAGTGTGGCAATTAATTAAAAATACAAAAGATCCTTTTCATAAAATAATTAATGAAATGTAAATATTCAGAAAGACAACTGGTAAATTATAAACTTATTTAAACACAGAGAAAAACGAAAAAAGCTAATGTAAAGATAAACACATGATTATTAAAAATGTATCGCAATTTATTGATTTTACCAAAGAACTGTAATTTTTATATTTTTACTAGCTGACCCGACAAACGTTGTTTTGCCATGTATATTATTTCTAAGAAACATTGTTTTAGTTCAATGAAAATAACTATCTGCTATATTAAAAATAGGGGTTGATCGTAGAGGGGTGAAAATTGAGGGTTGTATGCATTTTTGTATATTGTATCATTAAAAATAAAAGCAAAAAAATGTCTTTAAATAAAAAAACTATTTTTTGGGGTGTACAACTCTTATCAGGGAAGGGTATGAAAGATAGATAATAGCCAATTCTCAGACTTACTGAATTTGCATATAAAATTTCATAAGAATCGGTTGAGCCGTTTCGGCGGAGTATGGGAACGAACATTGTGACACGAGAATTTTATTTACGAATATTAGATTACATATTTGTGACAATACCTAGAGCAAACGCTTTGCCTTAACACATGTGATAACGAAAAATACTTTATTTAAAAACATTTTTATGTGAGCATTGTTTAGCTGTGTGTGTTGTGTGTTTAGCTAGTGCCTTGAATAAAAATGAAAATTATTAGTTCTAAGTGTTGTTTTTGTTTACCCATTCGAACAGGATTATTAATAATATGCTATTTAAAAATCGTAAGTACCTTAATGCTATATATTGCAAAAATCTTTTATTCATATAGGTAACACAATGTACACTTATGAACGTCAAAAAATAATAAATGCTTCTAATTTTACATTTACTACCAGTTCTCAAATCAAGGGCGTAGAACGGAAGAGAAGAACTGGCAATGAACTCTCCGCCATTTTTTTAAATCGCCAAGTTTTTTGATTTACACAACGTTTGTAAGGAGCTGTCACCATTACACCATGTTCCACATGCCATCTTAAGTAATAAATAGTAATAAAATAAATTAAAAACAAAGATTTGTCCTCTATCAGCAGGAGGCATGGTGAAATAGGAGCACGCACTTACATTCTCATTGCTGTTAATACCTACCAGTAAAATAAAGATTCAGAGTCGATACTTAGCGCCAAGGACTCGTGTACGTCAAAATCTAATATGTTTTATAATAAACGGCTCAAATATAAGTCGTTCTTCTAATTTTGTTCCCTTTGGAGTAAAGACTCTTGGGCCGTGGGGTTCAAGTGCACAGGCGCTCTGCAAAGATTTAAGTTGGCGCCTGGTAGATAGTACCGGTGACCTCAGATCTGGTGCTTTCCTCGCTCAACTAATAAGTACCGCAATAGGGTTTAGGTTTTAATAAACAATTATATGTTTTCGTATTATGTACTGTATACGTACTTAGTGCTACTCCTGCATCGTAGAGATGAAAACAAAACTCTAAGAAATCTAAACAAGAATTAAATTACATACTACAGTTTTATATCAAACAAAACTCGACTAGCTGCACATCGGGGCGTATCCCGACGTACATACAGTAGTGAAGGTTGGGTGCAGTGGCGTAACAATAGGGTGGCAGGGCTGGCAAAATGCCACGGGCCCACGACCCTAGAGGGCCCCTGCCCAAGAGATAGTATGTTCTATGGATAAATGTGAAGTCTACAATACGCATTGGGCTAGCGAAGAGACTACACCCCTCTCGCCTATGAGGCCTATGGCCATTAGCGGGATATAAACAACGTGTAATTGAGTACGCTGAAAATCTTGAAGCTACTCAGTTTAATTTTAATAATTAATAAAGGGACGATTTTTACTGATAGGGCCCCATCAAAAGAATTGCTACGAAAGAAGATTCACGGGCCCCAGTTGGTATACTTACACCACTTACGTACAACGGACCTATTGAGCGTCTTTGTGCGGAAACTGAGTCCACAAACCAAACCATAAACCAAACACCACTGGTTGGGTGTGGCAGAGAAAGAATGAAAGTAGAATAAATGCCGTGGAAATGGAATAGGATATCCAAGGCAACCGTGGATGGTGAAGTCGGGTTGGGTAGGCCTTGGGAAGGGCCAAAAAAGCATGGGAAACCGACGAGCAAGTATAGTGAACGCCATGAAAGTAGATGAAGCAAGAGATATGTCAGGACCTATGCTTATTTATAAACTTAACATGATTTATTTATTTATTAATATCACCACAGAACCCCTTCTGTGGTGATATTAATAAATAAATATAACATGTTAAGTTTAAACTATTCATATACGTAAATTAATCATTAATCTTTTTATAAATTAAACCAATTCCTTGGGATTCATTTGCTCCAGTTCAAGCAATTTGTATGACTCGAAACCTGGCGATTAAAAAAATATGGCGGAGAGTTTCTTGCCAGTTCTTCTTGCCCGCTCTACGCCCTTGACTTCCGAACTGGTAGTAAATGTAAATTTAGAATCAATTTAACATCTTTTCTGTTGACGTTCATAATTGTGCTTGGTTACTGAATAAAGTTATTTTGAGTTTGAATATATTAATATAGCTGCATTTAGTTGATTTTTGGTAAGATAAAAATTTCCCTTTTCAGGCAATATGTACTATCATCTCCTTATTCATGCTGAGTAACAGGCTAGAGTCATTGGGTAACCTAGATGATAATATATACAAGTATATTGTATTAGGAATAATAGCGGTTCTGGAATTCATTTTCAGCATTGTACTTATTATTGGAATCCACAAGGTAATCTAAGTTTTCTCTATTTTATTATCCTCTAAACCAACAGTGTTCCTCTCCATCCTAAAGTCGTGTGATTCTCATTGGATGAAGGAAAACGCTATAAGAAAACCAACACGTTTAAGCAGTATCTAACTGTAACTGTCGACACGGGAAATATCTAAATATTCTAAATAAATCTTTTTTTTTCCATATATTTTGTTATTTTTCTTTTTTGATTAATATTATTATCTGTTGTGTTTCTGTGTGTGTTTCGTTAGTAATAAATGTTATATCGGTCTGTCTGTCTATTTGGCTATACACCAAACCTTCTCCTACTCTCCTTATTTTTTTTATGTAACAGGAGGCAAACGGACAGGAGGCTCATCTGATGTAAAGTGATACCGCCGCCACCCATGGACACTCGCATTGCCAGAAAAGTCGCAAGTGCGTTGCGGCCTTTTAATTTTAAATAAGTCGCATCAGTTGAAGAAAAATTATTGAAGACTATTTTTCAGAAACACATCACAATTGTTCGTGTTACATACGTCTACAATGTCCTGATGATGGGTATCCAGATTCTTATTGCTATAATCTACGTGCCTCTTCAGACTTATGAGCTCTTTGTAACAGGAAGAGGAGATAATCCTCTACTTATGTTAATGGCTGCTATTCTGCTTGTAGTAGGTGAGAAAAAAGATTATATTATTTTATAAGGGCCCAGTTACAGCTTACGTTCTTTTGACAGATGAACTCTTGGAATCACATAAAACTCTAACTTTCTTGGCCATACTTTCTTTCTTGACCTTTCTGCGAAAACTCTAAGCAACTCACTATCACACGCTACACTGGTGACTGAGAAAGGATAGCCTTTTACACATGAAAGCCTAGTCACTAGCCTGACTACTCTCAATCCAAAGATGAGACCAACATTGATTTTTTCTGTATATCTGCGTTAGGAATGTTTAACATTGTAAGGAAACTGACATATCAAGACTCAAGCGACGAGGGTCATAAGGAGAATGCTTTCCTAGTTTTTTTTAAATCCATCTGCAATCAGCCTCTTGGCTTATATCAGATTTTATGAAATTATGGCAAAAAGGGAACGCCAATCCAATATTTTTTTATTTCCCTTCGTAATCCGCAAACTATAAGACTGCGGCAAGTTTCGCCCTTTTCAGCCGATACACGCAGTCCGTCGTTTCCAAGAGGCCTGAAGCTAGGGGGTTGTCGTGTTGCTGAAGTCTCCTTTTGTATCGTACGGTTGATCTTTTAATCTCTTCCTCGACAGTGGCAACTCCCTGTCTGAAAGGAAAGTTTACATTTCAATTCAGAGCGTTATGTTTAAAATGTTAGACGACTTCTTGATGCCTGAACTTCAAAACTTTCCTAGCTAACCAAAGAACATGGTTCCAGCAGGACGGAGCGACGTCACACACGTCTGAAACGTCTCTGCCACGAGTTCGTAAAATTTAATCAGGCAAATTGATCTCCAGGAGAGGTGACATTAATTGGCCTCCTCTATGAATTTTTTCTTATGGGGTTATCTTAAATCTAAAGTCTACGCCAATAAGCCGACAATTGAAAGAAAATATCCGTCACGAAATGGCAGCCATCACTGAGTCCACCTGCCGAGCCGTCATAAGCAATTTTATTGTTCGATTAAATGAGTGCCGCGAACGCGAGGGTCTACATTTGGACGTTATTATTTTTAAAAAATAAATTCCCAAAATGAGTACTTTAATGAATAAACACTTTTTTGATACACGGCTTCCTTTTTTTTTAAATCGATCAACTAAATATGAACTTTCTCTTGAGACACCTGTTATTTGGGAGTTGCCACTGTCGAGAAAGACATTAAAAGATACATTTAATTAATAATTGTATTTATGGACTTTTCCTAAATTACCACCAATTCCAATTCAACCTATTCGACTTAGGGTCCTTTAAGAAAAGAGCGTATCAATTCTTAAAAGGCCAGAAACGCACTCGCGAGCCCTCTGGCATTGAGAGTGTCCATGGGTGGCGTTATCACTTAACATCAGGTGAGCCCGTTTGCCCCCTGTTCTATTAAAAAAAAAATATATAAAGAAAGCAGATACAAATATCTGAGAACAAGACCGAGCGTACCCATTTAATAGGCATCTCCTCGACAGGCGTCCAATAGGCAACATCTCACTTAACATCAGGTGCGATTGTGGCCAAACTATCCAGTTATGTATAAAAATGTTTTAATATGTATTAAATGTTTTTTCTCAGTGTTGCAACTCTACGTGGCATCGCTGGTGCGTCGTCACCTCGGCCACTTGCGGCAGCAGTGTGTATCCGACCCAAACAGTTCAACGTATTCGCCTCGAAAGCCTTATGTCGTATACTAATCTTAGTTCAATTTATATAATTATCCCCTTATATACATTACTTACTAGTTACACAGTTTTACTCAAGCCTCGCCACGGAATAATATTCTAAATTCAAAATCATTTATTCATACAGGTAACACATTGTACACTTATGAACGTCATAAATAAATACACATTAAATTAGAAGCTAATTTTACATTTACTGCCAGTTCTCAAATCAAGGGCGTAGAACGGAAGAGAAGAACTGGCAATAAACTCTCAGCCACTCTTTTTAATCGCCAAGTTTTTTTTACACAACGTTTGTAAGGAGCTGCAACCATTACACCATGTTCCACATGACATCTTAAGTAATAAATAAAAATAGTATGAAAATTATTAGCCTATTTTTATGGAGAATAACGTATTGCAGAAACGAACGAAAGCGGTGTTAAATCATCAAGTAGTTCTTTTTTTATAAGCCGAAAAACGAGCCTAGTTATAACACTCAAATGGGTGTTCATGGGCACTCACCTTTCACATGACATCTTAGGTAATTTTTAATAATAAAGTAAATTAAAACCAAAGATTTGTCCTCTATCAGCAGGAGGCATTGTGAAATAGGAGCACGCACTTACATTCTCGTGGGAACAACACGCAAATACATACTCGAAATAACTAACATCACAGCAAACATGAATTCAAGTACGACCAGTATACATCACAAGTAGCACCGTTCACGAGTATGACGCATGGCGATAGGAGGAGTTACCTACGTAAAATATCTTCTACTGAAGCTTTCATCTTTTGCACTTCTAATATTTCAAAGTAAGTTTAGGCCGTGATTAAAAACATGCTTTCGTCACCCACAACACAGAGATATCCCTTGTATGGGGACTTGCATCTGTAGGAATAGAAAATATATTATATTTATCTATTATTAGACAAAACAGTGTAGCTCCTTTGTAATAAGGTTTAAAGATTTAAAATTATTAACTGTAAATGCCAGTTAAACCCCATTTAGTAGCGTAACTGTGTTGAAATTCTGGTGTTAGCGGATTTCGCCTACCGCTGTATGTATATGTCTAGGGCCCTGTATTGTATAGAACAAATCTATAATATTTATTTATAAGTACTGTTGACGTTGTAAGGAGTTAACTATTTGAAATTAGACGTGTAGTTTTTTATCTGTAGTCCTAATAATTTATTTGACAATAAAATATTAATAAAATAATTGTATTTTTATTTCTATCTAATCTAATTGGTGTTTTGTTGTTTTATAACTTTATTGCTTAACATCTGTATATAAATATATATAATTCTACTGTACGTGTGTATCTCACGGAACTCCTCTTAAACGGCTGGACCGAATTTTATAAAGTTTTTTGTATGGTGGCGCCATAGATGGTTTAGCTTCACAAATCAGGCAGATGGAGCTGCAGTCGGTATATAAGTTATTTATCTATACTGCAACTAAACAGCTCGTCTACCGACTCGTGCAGATACTGTCCGGACATGGCTGTTTCGGCAGCTATTTACACAAGGTAGTCGGGCGTGAGGAGGCACCAACCTGCCACCATTACGACGCTGGTGTTGTTGATGACGCGCTCCACACCTTAAAGGAGTGCCTAGCATGGGAGGTGGAAAGGAGGCCTCTACTGGGCGTGCTACAGGGCGAGGACGCTACTCTCGATAACATTGTGAGAGTAGCAGTTACAAGCTCGGACAGTGACGGCATGTGGGAAATCTTCCAGAGATTCTGTGAAGGCGTCATGCACCATAAGGAAGAGGCGGAGAGGGCCAGGGAGGATGATCCTGCAACCCACCCGCGTCGCCGTAGGAGACCACAGCGTCGCCATTGCACCGTGCAACCCTGTGTGTAATCTTGGGCACGGAGTTACTCCAGCGGGGGAACAGGGGCTCATGCGTCCAAAAGAAGGGATGCTGACACATCCCTGCAAGCATTGTATCCGGTCTCCCCCAGCTCTATAAAACAGGATGAATTGGCCGATGTGAAAGGCCCTTGCTGTGCCAAGGTCCATTCCACATCATTCGTGGCCGTAGAGGACCGTAATATTAACGGCTGATCGCGTGGCTGGATGCGGACAAGGCTAAGCTGTTACCGTGTCCTGCCCCGGGCGATTGCTGGTGGCGCCGTGGGGTTTTAGTGGGTATGCACAACAGCGAGTCCCACATAACCCTTCCTCACCAGGTCAACCATGCCGAGGGAGGTTATGCGTAACGCATTTCCCCACGAAAAAAAAAAAAAAACTAAACTGCTCGTTTAGTATCCTAATCCCTTGAAATATCATGCAGGGCCGTCGGATCCCCAGGCTATAAAATATCAAATTAACTAGTCTGGCCAAAAAGATTGTACATAAAAACTTATCTTAATTTTTTCAACTTTTTCATTTTTTTTTTATATGTAATAGGAGGCAAACGGGCAGGAGGCTCAGCTGATGTTAACTGATACCGCCCATGGACACTCACAATGCCAAAAGGCTCGCAAGTGCGTTGCCGGTCTTTCAAGAATTGGTACGCTCTTTTCTTGAAGGACCCTAAGTTGAATTGGTTCGGAAATAGTTCAGTGGGCAGCTGGTTCCACATTTTGGTGGTGCGTGGCAAAAACTGCCTTAGAAAACGCTCAGTTGTAGAACGACGGACGTCGAGGTGATACGGATGGTATTTTGTATTTTGCCTAGACGTCCGATGATGAAACTCAGCTGCAGGTATTGACCGAACTGCAACTCCTCTAAACACTCTCCATGGTAAATGCGGTAGAAGATGCAGAGAGATCCCACATCTCTACGCAACGCCAAGGGATCAAGCCGCACGGAAAGTGACTGGTCGTCGACGACGCAAACCGCTCTTCGTTGAATACGGGCAAGTGGAAGGAGCTGGTACTGGGGAGCTCCCGCCCAGAGGTGAGAACAGTATTCCATGTGGGGCCGAATTTGCGCTTTATAGAGTTGCAAGCGGTGGCCTGGATTGAAATACCGTCTCGCCTTGCTGAGCACACCAAGCTTTTTGGAGGCTAATTTAGCCTTTCCTTACAGATGACCGCGAAACTGAAGGTTATTCCATATGAAGAACAGGGAATTTTAAAAACTTCTTTCGATTTTGCGCAATTTCATTTTTTTTCGTATTCATTAGCAAATTACAATACGGAATGGGGTGTTAAAGAAAACAGGATTGTAATGATCGCCTTGCACAAAGTGGGTATGGAGCCACCGGTCATGCTCCAGACACAGTATCTGGTACTTGGTATCAGCCGTTTGTTCGTATATCGTACTATTAAATATATTTAGAAATATGCATTTTCCTTTGTAACGGAACTTATAGCTAACTTAGCTCCGTCTCTATCTTCCTTTAAATTTCTTCTGTATAAACATTACCTGTCCACATCGTATCCCTAACTTTCGTAATAACTACTAACTGACGTGAGACTGATCTTAAATTAAATTATTATGATTCATGTGCACTTTTTATTTTTTTCATGTATCCTTTATTAGTTTAGTTTGTTTTTTTGTTTCTGTTTAGTTTATTTTTTCTTAATAACTATATGTTATATGTATCTTTGCACTTTGCCTACCTTATCTAATTTAATACATTTTTTTTTCTTTTCTCACAGTGGATGCCTTAAAGAGATCGCTCGAAAGCAATAAGGCCGCCAGTTGCCCTCCTTTACATTAAATTAGGTTAAATTTTTTACATTGTATTGCAACGAAGTAACACTTCATAAATAAAAAATATAATAAAGAAATAAATATATTTCATTACGACGCCTTATCTATGTGCTTATTAAAGGGTTATCAGTAAAAGTCTATTTTTATAAATGGTGATCATACTAACACATAAATGATGATTCATATTATACAAAAAGAAATATAAATTACTATTAAAAAACATAATAATAAAATAATATACATTGAAATAAATAACTAACCTTAACATAAACTAAAATATATTATTAAAAGACCCCTTATTCCTTGATTCATATTATATGTAAATGTATTATATTAATTACTGAGAGCAGTGTTGGGCTAAGCTTTAGCGTGTGACTATCATCCCTGGTCGTAGTCAAGTAGTAGTAGTAAAGGCTAGACTTGTTGTATATGTGCACATTTAACACTCGCTAGTACGGTGAATGAAAATATCGTGAGGATACCGGCATGCCCACAAAGTCGACGGCGTATGGCACAGAAGGGTGATCTCCTACTTGCCTATTTGTAAAAACAAACATACATAACAATCTGAGGCCCATACCTTCAAAGGTTGTAGTACCGCTGGTGTATTTTTGTTACACTTCGTTACTTTAAACATTCATATAAAAAACAAGTAACATTAGTTATTAGGCAACGGGCGGCCTTATCGCTAAAACGCAATTTCTTCCAGGCCTAAAATGGAAAATTAAAAAAAGAAACACCAATTGAGGGTAAGGTACAAGAAGTGCCTAAAAAATTTCAAAAAATCAAAATTACATATAACACTAGAAATACTAACTACTAGAGACTTTTGGGCCGTGGGGTTCAAGTGCACAGGCGCTAATTAAAGATTTAAGTTGGCGCCTGGTATATAGTACCGGTGACCAGAGCTGGTGCTTTCCTCGCTCAACAAATAAGTATCGTAATACACCGAGGAAATAGCTATACGAGGAAGAAGTGAAATTCTCAAAAAGAAGATTCTTACTTATTTCTTAAAGTTTTTTACCCATTTACTTAAGTCGATCAAGAATTCACATTTATATCATTAACTTAGATTTTAATCCACCTCATGCGGCTATAAAGTACCAACTATGATATTTTATAGGGAATCTTAAAAATGGCTTAGTAACTCTTGATAAATGATTCTGAGGCTTGCTTATCCTCAAAAAAATGTACAATTTTTCCTTAACGAAAATCTTCAAGTGATACAACAATCAAAAGTTCAGTATTAATTTAATTATTCGCTAGTTCACTTGTGTTTGTTATGAATCCTCAATATTCGACTATTTATATTATACAAATACTTCTCCTTATTGTCATAGATTGGTTTGTTGGCAT